TCGTTAATGGTGTTACCTAAAATTTTAATTGGAAATATATGATTAGTTGATGATTCAGTTTTATCAGCTAAAGTTGGATTAGGAATTGTTTCAACTTTATCAACATTTTTAAATCTAATGAAAACTGAATAATAATAATTTGTAATAACACCAAAATTTGAAGATTTATGAATTAAAGATGCAACTAATTCTTTAATATAAGAAAGTATGACTTTATTTTCAATTAATTGACGTTTTGGATCTGGATTATCATATAATCTATAAAATAATTCTTTAAGTAAAGGTGTATTTTTAATTTTAACAACAAAAGATTCATTCCCATTACTAATAGTTATATCATCATCAACATTATTTGATGATTCAAACCAATGTAGTGATTCTTCATTTTTAGGGTTTAAATAATGTACTTCAGATGTTAATGTTAATGGATCTTCGGGACATATGGTACTATTAACAATATCAACTATTGTTTTTGATAAAGATTTGAATTTGTAATAAATCTTGATATGATTTTGATGAGCAAGAGAATCTATAACTAATTTAACAATTTTATTATGAACATGTTCTTTTGATTCTATAATTTCTGTTATTTCTTCAATAATTAAGGATTTTAGCTGGATATCTCTTTTCATATCAGCTTCTTCTTCAGTTGTATCTAATAGTTGATTCCAAAATCCTAAAACTTGATAATTTGTTAACAATGTTTGTGATTTTGATTGAACAATATTGGTACCAAGTGTACATATATGAGAAATTTCATTTGGATCAAATCTTTGAGGATTAATAATAACAAAATCATTCATTATTGACATTGTATCATTAATAGTTACAGGTGGTGTATATTCTTTCAAATAATTAAAAATTGAATACTTAACTTTTCTAATAGCTTGATCCACATCAGAATTATCTGGAAATGTTATTTTAATTAATTCAAACCAATCAATATATTCCAATGAAGGTTCAAAAAATAAAGCTTGGAAAGACATTGCAAAATTAAACCAATCAAACCCATGGAAACAACTTGAAATGTCATCAATAACCAATTTGTTCCAATTACCAACATTTTTAGAAGTTGAAGAAATAATAGCTTGTCTATAATAATTGATGATTTGGAAATGTAATAACTTCTTGTTTAGTTCAGAACCATTCAACTTATCAGTAATATCATGAGGACCATCCCAGAATTTGGCTAGTAAATCAACTCTTTCATTGATTTCAGTAGGATTTTTGATTTGAGTTATTTTAAAAGCTTGTAATTGAGCATCATTCATAAGGTTCATAATGAATAGCAGTGGATTAGCAAATGAAACAGCCGCCTTGATAGCCAGTGACTCCTATGATTCCTTTACCGCCCTGTGATAACCATCTCCTATATGTATTTGAATTAGCCGCCCATTACTTTCCCATAGTAAACAACACAAACACAAATGAAACAAAACAAATCAAATAATAAACAAATAATAAACAAAATAAAAATAAAAAATCACCTGATGCGTCACCTGATCACAAGTATTACCTCATCGCTTACCTAAGCACTGACTGTCTCTTAGGCTTCCTTGGCTGTACTGCTTTTCTCAGTGTCCCCAACCAGCACGTGTAGCCAATTTAATAAAATATTCCAAGACTTTCAAACAGAAATTCAAAATTATCTTACTTTGAAAAGAACTCGTGTGACAAGTTTCCCATTTGAAAAAGCTGCTAAGAAGTATTGGAAAAACTTTTCTTGTGTCGTGTGAGCTTATACTACAAAAGGTATTAAACCGTTTTAAACTTTAGTGTCAAAAGCTTAATCAATAGTTTTCTTGGTTATAGAGGTATTGTTTTATACCCACGCGCTTGACACATAATAATTAAAAGTCATATTTAACAGAGATTTCAGATACTCAGAGATAACACTCATTTCACCACTCACTGCACAGTGTTTTACCCACTCATATCTCACGTTCGTGCTCAAATTTTGGTTCTGCAAACATCCAACTTGCATATCTCAAGGTTCACTAAATTTTTGCAACTTTTATACATCCATTTTCTCTCAATCAATTTATATTTAAATATAAAGAGAGTTCCTGATTTAAAAGTTTAGCCGTTCTTACGTTACAAGTTCTTCAACGGTTTTCAGAAAAGCTATCAACATATTCAAAGAGATTTTATTCATTTGCTTATAAGTATTACTTGCTAAAATCATGAAATTTTCACTCTCTTTGAAATATAATTCTGTTCCTGAATGGCAGGACAAATATATCAACTATTCAAATTTGAAGAAATTGGTATATGGTTTACAAGCTCAACAATTAAACAACAGTGATGGTTCAAATAAAAATTCGGGTACCACTGGATCAAGTGATCAATTAGATGAATCACCTACAAATGTTGAAGGATCTACATCAACTTCAAATGGTAAATTAGATTCAAGTAAGAAATTTTTCAAAAATGCATTTAATTTTAATAATAATAAATCTGAAAAAAAAAGAAGAGATTCTTTTAGTTCTGATACTTTTGAATTAGATGATTTAGAAAGTTCAATTGGTACTTCAATTAAAGATGTTAAAAATTTTGATCCTGTTAAAATTTTCTTGGATAAATTACAAATTGAATTATTAAAAATTGATGATTTTTATAAATTAAAAGAAGCTGAATTCAATAAAGAATATCATAATTTAATTAATGATTTAGAACATAATAAAATCCATATCTCTACAAATCATAATAATCATACTTTTAGTGATGATAGATCAATACTATCTCATAAATCATCAATAAATCAAGCTGTTATTAATGCTGCTAATTCTTTTAATCTTGAAATTGATCAAGATTCAAAAGATCCAAAACATCAAGTTGAAACAAGTTCCAAATCTATAACTAAAGCTCCATTAGATGATGATGATGAAGATGAAGATGAAGGTTCTGGTTCAGAAAATAGTGCATTATTAAGTGATGAAGATTTTAATTTAAAATCACAAAAATCAATCACTTTAAAGAAAAGAACAACACAATTATATATTGATTTAACTCAATTAAAATCATTTGTTGAATTAAATAAAATGGGGTTCAACAAGATTACCAAAAAATTTGATAAATCTTTAAATACAAATTTAAAACCATCAATGTTTGATACTAATGAATTTTTCACAAATACTTATACATTCACTTATAATACATTACAAAATTTAGATAATAAGATCAATACATTAATCGAAGTTTATGCTTCATTAACTCATAGATTAAATAACATTGAAGCTGTTAAACAAGAATTAAAATCTTATCTAAGAGAACATATTGTTTGGGAAAGAAATACAGTATGGAAAGATATGATTGGTATTGAATCCAAAACTAATGGTCTAAAGGGAACAGCAACTGATGCAACAACAACAGGTAATGATGAATTATATAAATTAGATTATTATTCATGGCCATTACCATGCGGTCCTATAAATTTAAAATTTACTACATGGGAAAATTTTAAAATACCAAAATTTTTAAATACTTCAAGAACTTATAAATTAGCAATTATTATCGCAGTTACTGGTGTGTTATTAGGTGTTAAGACTTTTAATGATGGTGCTCAACATCGTTGTATGGCTTTATTAGCTTGTGTTGCGTTATTATGGGCTACTGAAGCTATTCCATTATTCGTTACTGCTATCTTGTGTCCATTATTATGTGTCTTATTTAGAGTTATTAAAGATGAAGATACTAAAGAAATTATGCATGCTGCTACAGCTTCTAAATATATTTTAAGTCAAATGTGGTCTTCTACAATTATGGTGCTATTAGGTGGGTTTACATTAGCTGCTGCTTTATCAAAATATAATATTGCAAAAGTTTTAGCTTCTTATATATTGGCATTTTCAGGTACAAAACCAAGAAACATCTTGTTATCCATAATGGGTGTTGCATTATTTTTATCAATGTGGATTTCTAATGTTGCTACACCAGTTTTATGTTATTCTTTAATTCAAGGTGTCTTGAGAACATTACCTGTTGATAACCCTTTTGCAAAAGCTTTAATCTTGGGTGTTGCTTTAGCTTCAAATATTGCAGGGATGGCATCACCAATTTCTTCACCACAAAATATTGTTGCAATGACTTATTTATCAAGTTATGGTATTGGTTGGGGTCAATGGTTAGGTGTTGCATTACCAGTTTCTATAATTTCAATGATTTTAACTTGGGTTTTATTAATTTTTACATTTGATATTTCTAAAACAAAAGTTATGAAATATAAACCAATTAAAGAACAATTCACTATAAAACAATGGTTTATTATCTTAGTTACAATTGGTACTATCTTGTTATGGTGTGTTTTAACTAAATTAGAATCAACTTTCGGGGAATCTGGTGAAGTTGCCATTATTCCAATTGTTTTATTCTTTGGTACAGGTTTATTATCAACTGCTGATATTAATAATTTCCCATGGAGTATTGTTATCTTAGCTATGGGTTCATTAGCTTTAGGTAAAGCAGTTTCATCATCAGGTTTATTAGCAACAATTGCTACTGCATTACAAAAAAAAGTTATGAATTTTGATTTATATGTTATCTTGATAATTTTTGGTATTTTAATTTTAGTAATTGCAACATTTGTTTCTCATACAGTTTCTGCAATTATTATTATTCCATTAGTTCAACAAATTGGTGATCAATTACCTGGTGATAATGCAGCTGTTGTTTTAATCTTTGGTATTGCATTATTAGCATCAAGTGGTATGGGTCTTGCATCATCAGGGTTCCCTAATGTTACTGCTATTTCTATGACTGATGAATTGGGTAATAGATATTTAAATGTGAATACTTTTATTACAAGAGGTGTTCCAGCAAGTTTGATTGCTTATTTATGTGTTATTACTATTGGGTATGGTATTATGAAATCAATTGCCTAGATCAAAATTCATTGCATTAACAAACATTGATATATTAATTTATATCACAAACTCATTTTTTTATTAAATTGCATTTCATTGTTATAATATTTCATTGATTTTCTTTTCATCACACACACACATACATTTACTATATGATGTTGTCATTTTATGCATTTCTTTTCTCAGGAAACATTTTCATGTTTTGTGTTTCTTTATGTCATGTTTCTGTATACTACTTCAAAAGTTTTAATTAGATGATTGTTTTATGATATTAATCAATTGTAATATTCAAAAACTATTTGAAATTATTTGAAAAATCTCTATATGACTGTCATTTTACCCCGGGTTTTGCCTAAATTCGCGACAAAAAAAAAGCTAAATTCGTTGGCGGTCAAAAGAGGTCGAAACAAAGGACAAATAAAGAAAAAACAAACACAATCAACTTTGATCAAGTCATAAAGGCTGTCTATAAGCTGCTTCAGGATCATTTGAACCCGCTGCTGTGCAAAAGACACCTTTGATTCGTGGAGCGCTGTGATAAAACCTGATTAGGAAATTTATTTTGAAAAAAATTCGGTATTCCACTTTAATCCATTTGTATTTATTGTTTATTGTTAATCATCATATTTTGGGAAAAGGTTTAAAACACAACATGACTTTGGAAAAATCATCGTTGAATAGTGAGAATTATGGACATATTGAACAGGAACAACATTTTGAAGGTGCCGCTGTGGGTGAGATTCAAGATTATAAGCTGGAGGATATAATGACGCCTAAAGAGTCCGAGGTGAACCCATTTGATGTTGAGCATGGTGCTGCAAGTGCCACTAATAGCAACAATAACAATCATGAAGGTCTCAATTTAGATGATGATGTGGATAATGATCATAATGATGGCGCGGTAGAGGTCCAAGATCAACAGGAGAAAGTTGATGATGATGTTAATGGTGTTAATAGTCAATTACCATCAATTGAAGAACAAAGAAGTATCATAACAGGTTTATTACAAAAACAAAGTGATTTAACTGAAGGATCTGAATTAAGAGCTATTAATGAAACTTGGTTTGAAGCGTTTCAAAATAATGAATTTAAAGATCAACAAGATGCCTTAAAACAATTAAGTCCAATTAATACATCTCATATAATTGATAAAAATGGTATATTTGCTGATCCACAAAGTTATCCATATATTGCCATCTCGGTAGAAATTTTTGATACACTTGTAAGTTGGTATTCATTGGCTGAAGGTTCAAAACCAGTTGTGACATATGCAATTGAGGTTGGAAATCAATTAATGCCAGAATTTTCAAAACCATATTTCCAATTACATCATTTAGTTGTTGATACACAAACCAACTCAACAGGTCATAGTTTCAGTTTAAATTTAAGTCATACACCAATTCCAAGCTTTACACTATCGGTATTGAATTCTTGTTATGACCTCGTACAAAAATGTATTGAGTTATTAAATCAACATGTAAACCCAGCATATCATCAACTTTCGGATCCTCGTGATGTTAAGTATAAAGTATGGGTTGTCTCTGGTGATAATCTCAAGAATTATGAAATTCCACTGAGTAAATTTGAAAATCTTGCACAAAGAGTATTGATCAAGAAAGAACATCATCAAACTCTTTTGAAATCAACACAACTAAGAAACGCACATTTAGTTATTGAAAAGAAAATTACAAGTCCAGGAACTAAAAGTTATTGGCCTTCAGATTTTAATATCCATTTTCCAGCAACTCCATCAAATGGATGTATAGGTTTAACGAATTTGGGTAATTCTTGTTATATGAATTCTGCTTTACAATGTCTTGTGCACATTCCAGAATTGACTCAATATTTTCTATTTGACTGTTTTGAAAATGAATTGAATCCTGATAATCCTTTAGGTTTCAATGGTGATATTGCAAAATCTTTCGGGAGATTGATACATCTATTATTTGATAAAAAATCTTTTAGAAATTCTGCTATTGCGCCAAGAGATTTCAAAAACATTATAGGTCGTTATAATTCAATGTTTCATGGTTATCTACAACAAGATTCTCAAGAATTCTTTGCATATTTATTAGATGGTTTACATGAAGATTTGAATAGAATTATCAACAAGCCAGCAACTGAAAAACCAGAATTGAATTCTAAAAATGCTACTATCGAAGAGGTACAAACATTAGCAGAACAAAGTTGGGTCCAGCATAAACTTCGAAATGATTCGGTGATTATTGATTTGTTTGTGGGTTTATATAAATCTACACTAGTCTGTCCGGATTGTTCAAAAGTCTCAATCACATTTGATCCATTTAGTGATTTAACTTTACCTTTACCAACAGAAACATTTTGGAGTTTTAAAATATTACTGTTTTTAGATAAAGGGCCCATGAAATCATTTGAAGTTGAACTACCAAAAGGTGCATCATATAATAAGTTGAAACAATATGTTGCTGAAAAACTGTCCTTAAATGTGAATTATTTGGCTGCTATGGATATCTTTAATGGTCAATTTTACATGAATTTTGAAGATCCTGTTTCTAAATCAGGATACCTTCCGGTGTCTGAGTTGTTTAGTGAAAATGATTGTATCATTTTTTATGAGATACCACATGAAAAAGATGATTTAATCGTTCCTGTTGTTAATACCAAAACCGCTTCAAATTCTAATATTCCATCTTGTTTTGCATATCCATTTTTTATCACATTGAAACCAGAAGAAACCAAATCATTTGGTACTATTAGAAGAAAGTTGGAAGAAAGATATGAACAATTGAGTAGTTATAAATATTTTACAAAAGTTCGTGAAAATCAAAATAATAAGTCTTTCACAATTCATGATTTCCCATTATTATCCCAATCATCTGGATCTGCAGCGTCAGAGCAATCTAATAATGAAGATGAAGGTTATCAAAGTGATGTTTCGTTAGCTAATCCAGAAATTTCAGGTGATTATGCTTTTAAAGTCAAAGTTCATGATGCATCAAAAGTGAAAATAAGACAAAGAAGAACAATCCATTCACTTGGAAACAATTCAAGCTTAACTACATCAGAAAATCAAGACGTTATCTACGCACCAAACCTAAATAATGATTTTACAAATTTACCAGATCTTTTGGATTTTGTTCCTGAACCAAAAAGATCATATTACACATATGGACATAAATTAGATATTGATAACTCAACAAATAGTGATATATCAATTGATACACCAATTTCAAGCTCCAATGGAACCAAGGTTGATTCTTCATCTTCGAATTTGGGTTTTATAGAGGCTAATATTCCTGAAGCTTCAAAAAATGGTGAAATAAATCAAATATCTTCAAACGATGATGAGGAAACCACACCAGAAGTTGATATGGCATTGGATATTGCCTCGGGTAATAATGATGATAACAGTGAACCAGGATTGTCACCTTTGTTTGATACTAAAAACTCATCAGAAGAAGATGGAAATCTTGTGCCAATTTCAGAAACATTAGGTTCAGTTCAGGCTGTTACTGAATCATCAGCATCAACAAGGTCATCATCTGATGAATCACTAATTAAACATGGTCGTACCGCACTTGTTTGTGAATGGACTTCAGATTCTTATGATACATTTTTTTCAGGTTTAGATGATGAATGTGAAGGTGGTACAAATTTATGGGAAAATCTTGAAGCTATAAGTAATGAGGAAGTTGAAGTTGCTAAAAAGAGAAGAATTGATACTAAAAATGAAAGTATAAGCTTGGATAGTTGCTTGAAAACTTTTTCCAAACCAGAAGTTTTAGGTGAAGAAGATTTATGGTATTGTTCTGATTGTAAAGAACATCGTCAAGCATCTAAACAAATCTCAATTTGGTCAACACCAGATATTTTAACAATTCATTTGAAAAGATTTACAAGTCAAAGAAGCTTTAGTGATAAGATTTCAAAAGTTGTTAATTTCCCAATTGAAGGTTTCGATGTTTCACCATATATTTCAAGTCCAGTTAATTCAAATGAAGAAACAATTTATGATTTATTTGCTGTTGATAATCATTGGGGTGGTATTTCAGGTGGTCATTATACTTCCAAAGTTAAAAATTTTGTTGATAATCAATGGTATAATTATAACGATTCTCATGTCTCACCAACATCTGTTGAAGATTTGATTTCTGCTGAAGCATATCTTTTATTTTATAGAAGACGTTCATCTAACAATTTGGGTAGTGCTCAATTATCAGAAGCAATTGAAAAAGGTAGAGAAGAATATGAAGAATATGAAAGAGATGAACTGAGATTACGTCAAGAGTTTTATGAAGATAATAGAGATAGTAGCTCAGATGAAGATGAAGATGAAGAAGAACATGAGCAGGAACATGAACAAGAACAAGATTTAGAAGATGTTACATCATCTGAAGAAGAAGAGGTATCCAGTATTCATGTTGGATCAGATATTGAAGATGATGAATCAGCTACACGTCGTAAACAAAGAGTACTTGGTCGTGGTAAAAGATCTTTACTGAATGATAATTATGTTCAATCAGATATTGATACATCAGCTATAGGTTCACCAAATTCTGTTATTTCAGATGATCCAATGTCAGAATATAGTACATCACTGAATGTTCCCACATCAGTTATAGGTTCAAGTGTGAATTCACCAAGACCTGGTACATAAAAAAAATAAATATAACTTATGATTAATGAAAAAACGAATTCTTTTGGAACTTTATTTTATAATTATTTTACATTCATTATAACGTAGCTATTGACGTATTTTCTTATTTAAAACTTTCAATAACTTTTTCAAAAGTTGGAATAGTTTCTGAAGCACCATTATGTTGAATAGTTAAAGAAGAAGCTTTTGTAGCAAATTTAACAGCATTTTCAATACTTTGACCTAAAGAAACTTGAGTTACTAATCCACCAAGGAAAGTATCACCAGCAGCAGTAGTATCAACAACATTTGAAACTTTTACAGATTCAACAAATTTACTTGTAGAATCATCAGTTTTTCTTGGTGATGTAAATATAGAACCTTTTGAGCCAAGTGTGATAACAACAACGTTTGAGTTTGATTGATCAATTTTAGTTTTCAATTGAGTTGCTAATTTTAAAAATCCATTGATTTCATTGGATTCAATTTCTTGTTCAAAATTTTTAAATTCATCTATAGGTAAAATATCTTTTGCAATATCTAAAGCTTCACCTTCATTAACAACTAATATATCAACTTTATCAATGATTTCTGAGCTTTGAGAATTATAAGGAGATGGATTGTAAACAACTTCAGCTTGTGGTCTATTTTCCTTTAGCCATTTAATTGTATCTAAAGTACCAGGAATTTCATTTTGGAAAACAACAACTTCCTTACCAAAATCTTTTGGAAACAATTGAACTAATTCATCATTTGAATAATGAGCTTTACCATTAGCACCAGCAGTAATTAATATTCTATTTTCACCAGAATTTTTTTCAACAATAATGACAGCTACCCCAGATCTTTCACCTTCAATAGCTTCTACATTTGACACATCAACACCTTCCTTGGTCAATTCTTCAATTAATTCTTTACCAAAAGCATCTTGACCAACTTTCCCAATTATACGAACTTTTAAATTTGAATCTGATACATGAGGTGATAATTTTGCTAATGAAATTGTTTGATTTAAACCTTTACCACCGGTATGTGTCTCAAAGCTTTGACCAGCGTAAGTCTCACCACCAGCTGGGATTCTATCTGTATAGGAAACTAAATCGTAGTTTAAAGAGCCCACCACGGTCAATTGAACCATCTTTGTTGAACAAATAATCAGACAAAAGTGTTTAAATGGAAAATTCTTTCACTTATATGAGTAATTTTAAGCCCCACTGTTCAATAATAAACTGCAATAATAGCACATTGTACTTGGTTTCAATTTACGTACGAGGATTGCCAGAAGACCGGGTGAGTCTCGTATCTTTCGCGGCCGCGTGCCGTCAAAGCTATATACTTGTTTAAATACTTTTCATTTCTTGAACCTTTTCACTTTTCCATAATAAACATGGTTAATTGGTGATCCGTTATCAATTACATTACATCGTATATAACTTATAAGACTCAGCGTTTATCTCCAGCTAGTGGCACTTACAGCTGGCGAAACTACAGATCAATACTATTAGCTAAAGATCAATCGCTTGAAATTCATATCATGTATTAATTTAATTCTTTTAAGGCTAATTATCATAGTTAACTAGAGATCCAAAGATTGGTTTAATCAAAAAGAGAATAAAATAAATCCTAGACCGATTAATAGGATGATTGTATTTTGCATCATGAGGTATTTTTCGGGATCCATATCACGATGTCTCATGTCATAAGCTAATGGTGTTATAATAATGGAAATAAAGCAAAAGTATAAGAGGATTGGTAGCTTGTCATACCGTGATTTATCTTGCACTTGAAAATTAAGTTTAGTGAATAGATCATCAATAGTTGTAAAATATGGTTCCACATCAAAATCATTGTTGTATAAGTTATCTCCACACATCATCGTTTCTATTTCTTCAAGCTGTGTTATAGACTCTAACATGTCTTTTGCAAGATCACCGGCATCACCATTTGATAATTTTTCAAGAGCATCTTTACTCACATGTTGTAATACATGTTGTAATACGGTGCTAATGTTGTTACAGTATGTTGACCTTTTGATTTTTTCTGCATTTAATGATCTAGCTAGTTTCCAGAACCAGCTAGTTATCAGACCTATTGACGCAATAGCTAAAATAATACCAACACAAACCTTCACAAAAAAACTTTCTTGTTGTTCAATATGATTCTGTTGCTGATGATGATTTTGTTGTTGATAATTTTGAACATGATTTTGCTGATGATATTGCTGATGATTCTGAACATGATTTTGCTGATGATTCTGAACATGATTTTGCTGATGATTTTGAGTTTGATTTTGCTGATGATTTTGAATTTGATTTCTAACATGATTTTGAACACGATTCAAATCTTGCTGTAAACGATGAATATGATTTAGATCTTGTTGTAATTGAAGAGTATGATTGTGACCATCTTGAGGTTCAAGACCACCTAATACACGTAATTCTATAACTTGATCAGCTGGTCCACCTGCATTCATTATGGCGCTTGTTTCTTGATTGAATATAGTATACCATCAGTTAGCCGCTGAGATCAAGATTGAAATTTGGATCTTTTTTGATATTTATATAAAATTCAAATTCTTCATCTTATAATATTTGTCGTTACCGCTGAAAACGTATTCGTTGATACAATGGAAACTTTTAGCTGAGATTCTTGTAAAAGATACCACTAATACCCTTAGCTAATTGTACCTCCCCATTAAGAGATAACTGTATGATCATCTTGAACTTCATTGAAGGAACTTCTCATTATTATCACACAGCTCCATACAAATCAATTGTCTATATGTCAGTTTTATGGCCGGGTGAGTATCGTGAGTTTCATGATGATGATCGCGACAAGTCGCGAACGTCAACTCTCGGCTCTAAGAGTTCACCAACCAGCCGTTAGCCGGTAAGGACAACATTGGTGATTTCAACAATAAACATTCTCCTGTTCACCTGGAAACTAACATTGGTACCAAAATACTTGAACGTTATAACTTATGACTATTTAATATTTATCAAATATATTAAACTCATGTAAATTGTAATAGTCTCTATTTAAACTGCAATTAAATTGAACAACATTGCCGTCCCAGCCCCATGATCGAATTAACTTAAATATTACATAGGGTTCTATCGATGTCATGCATGCCAAAGATAACGTACAAGCGTACATAAGTACTAAATATTAACTATTACCAATCTCCAAACATTTTTCGAGCTAAAATTGTTGCATAATATCAGTATTGAATATAGATAATTGTATATACGAAGTCGTCGATTAATAGACACTTCCATAATTTAGGCTAATTACCTTTCATTCAATGTCTGAATATTTTGGCAAAGGTTCCTTTTCATACAAGTCATCACTGCTTCTGATGTTTACCTGATCATTTACACATTCCATATCATATATCGAATATGTCAGACCATCATATGATGAAGGGTTTTCAAAGTTCACACTTTCGAATGCATATGAGTAGCTCTTTAAAAGCTCATCATTGATACATGCTTCACGATTTCCCTTCTGTGGTAAGAAGAAATAAACACAATTTCGATGAGGTATTGTTCCTTCAATGCTAACATAATTTGAGCTTTGTTTCTGTATAACTTCACCAAGCAATTTATGTCGTGAACAATAACTTGAGTCTAATGAGTTTGAGTAAAAATTTAAAAGTTTATGAAAACATTTTAAGAGTTCGGGACTTCTAGCCATAATCAAAATCCTTGGAAGTCTTTCACTGTTGAGTTTGCAAACATTATCATCAATATATTTATCAGGCTTTAAAGAACCAACTTGATTCAAATAAGTTAAAACATTTGCTATACTCAAGTCTGGTCTCATAAATATGTACAAGTAATTTCCTGCTCCATACCAATCAAGAAAGGCTTTGATATTCTTGATATCTTCCTTATTTAATGCTTTTGTGGGATGACTTTTCAATTTTAACTTAACAGCAAATCTAATATATTCCACATTTTTAGGTTCCACAATTTGGAAAATTGCATTTTTTTTGTATTCAAATGAAGTTCTTGGGTCAAGTAGAGCAGCAATAAACCGATCTGATTGATGACATTGATATATGTTAGCTGCTAATTCACTTTCTTTGATATTTGCCGACTCCAAACATAACGTTCCAATTAAATCTTCATATGTCAAATTTAAAATTGCATGATATCCTTTTGTCTCTGCTACTAAATTATCATTCATTTTAGAGGTGTCTAACTTTCTATTAATCAACAGGTATCTAAGCTTTGAAAACATAATCTAAGTATTAAAATATTGTAATGTTATCATACCGTAAGAGCTGTTACAAACAAATAGCGCAGAGAACCAAGAATAATATATTTATAGCTGGTCAGTTCTGAGGTGTTTAATCATGAGAGTATTATGATTGATTTACAATACTGAGAAGAATCGAATCGTATTAATCGCTTCGAACTGAGAAGTTAGCTACAGCATCATTTTAATAGCGTTTATAATATCAACTGGAATCTTATTTGAGTGTTGAAAATTATACATCTTCACCTTCTACTGGGTACTTGAAGTATATTTATTTCATTTTTATAAGCTAGTTATCATCGTAAAATAAACTTAAATAAACTTTCAAAGATTGTCATTTAAAGAAGGAATAAAACAAAACCTAAAGCGATTAATATGAAAATTATCAACTTCATCAAGTCCTTTTGGTGGGGTTCCATTTTAAGAGAATCCATGTCAACAAGTATTGACATTATAACAAAGGGCAAACAAGAAAAGTATAACATGATTGGTAGTGGTGGAAAAGGATTCTCTGTAAGAAGATCAAAAATGGATTTATTATTTCCACATATCATCATTTCTATTTCTCCAAGGCATTTTATAGACTCAGTTAGCTTTTCCTTTGCAACATCAGCGGTATATTTTCTTGGTGTTGGTGTTAAATCACCACTATATATACCCTGTAATAACTTGGTAGTGTAGTTACAGTACCTTGACCTGTCTGTTGTATTATATGATCTAATAAATTCCCAGCACCAACTTATGATCAGTCCTGTCCAAACAATGACCGAAATAATCTTATTGAATTTTGCCTCAAAAGCCTCCTTTTGACGATTTCGCTCATTATTTTGAATATGATTGTGACCTTCTTGAGCTTCAAGACGACCTAAATCACGTAACTCGATACCTTGATCAGCTGGACCACCTGCGCTCATTATAACGGTTGTTTCTTGATTGAATAGAGTATACCATGAGTTAGTTGATGAGAAGAGAACTGAAATTTGAGAACTTTTTTGATATTTATACAATTTGAGAGCTTTTATACAATTTATACAAATTTCAAATTCATCTTATAATACTGCTTGTCTTCACCTGGAAACATTCTTTGATACAATGGAAATTTTAGCTGGGATTCTTGTAAGCTATACCGCTAATACCCTTAGCTAGTTGATACCTTGCCATTAAGACATAGTTGTACTATCATCTTGAACTTCACTGAAGAAACTTCTCATTATTATCACTTGCTCCACACAAATTGTCTATATACCAATTTGAGGGCCGGGTGAGTTTCCTGAAATTCGCGACCTGTCGCGACGCATAGAAAAAAATTATATTAGTAGGTAATACTTGATCAAACTAATGTCAACAAGAAATCAAAGAGATCAAAGAGACAAAGGATCCATTGGAAAAAGAAGAGATTTATCGCAATGTCTGAAGAGTTCGAGTTCAAGCCTATGTCATTTCCACCGGCCGTTGTTGCGCGTATATCGCCAGAATTATCATTACAAAGACATTTAGCCATTGGTATAAGACCAAATTTAAGAAAATTTGAAGAATTTAGAAATATTGAATTCAATGATGGTGGCTTAAGTCGATATGGTTCTGATGACCAAATTAAGAATACTTCAGTTTTAGGTTCCTCTGTTTTGAAATCTGGTAATACCACTGTTATAACTACAATTACTGCTGGTATTATTGAAGAAGATTTACCAGCTCATGAAATTAATGATGACGCTGCTGCTGTTAATGCAGTTTTCGCTAAAGACAAAACTGATGATTCTAATAATGATATACCGAAGAGTCAATTGGATGAATATGAAAGTATATATCCAGTTGTTGAAGTGGAAAGAGGTAGAGTTGGTGCACCAACTGATGAAGAAATGATTTTATCACAAAAATTATATGAAACTTTTTTACATTCTAAAATTTTATCCAAAGATTCATTAAAAGTTAAAGTTGGTCTAAGGAGTATTGATTCCCAAGGGAAAGTTGATATTTATTACAAAGATGATGATGATGATTCAGAAGATTTTGGATTAGGACCAAAAAGAAGTTGGAAATTTGTTCTTTATGCTAAAGTTAAAGTTTTCAGTCGTTCAGGTCCATTATTTGATTTGGTTTGGGCTTCTGTTTTATCTGCTTTACAAAATACCAAGTTACCAAGAGCTCATATTGATGAAAATGCTGCTGATATTAAGATCCCTGTCAAGATGCGTGGGAATCATGGTACTATAAGAGAACAATATCAAATTATCTGTGATGCAATCTCTAGGGATCCATTGAAGCTAAATAACGAAGCTATAGGGATTTCATCAAATTTTGGAATCATTGATATTGATGAAGAATCAATTCAAACTCTACAAAATGAAGATTCAATGGAAATAGATTCAAAATCCATATTATTGACAGATATTGAAGGCGAAGAAGAAGAAATTTCTTCTAAAAAAACTATTTCAATAGTTTCAGATAGAGATAGTAAGAATTTAAAATCATTAACAATAATAGGAAATGTTTCAAATGATCAACTACGGAAATCTTTTGAATTAACTAAATTCAGATTTAAACATTTTGCTAAATAATTGTTGTAAATATAATAATAATAATAATAAAATTGTCCATATATAAATAATAATGGTACAAATTGATACAATACACAAGATTCATGCAAATAAAATTCAAAACAAAATTGTAAATACATAATCTCTTTTAATGACTTTTTTATATTTTTTTTTGGTGTATCATCCTCTTCAACATCTAGGATTGATAATTGTAGGGGGTATCTAAGCTTTTCTTCTTCTAATAGTAGATTCTCTTAATCTACGACCAGCTGGTGAAGCAGTTCTTTCACTTCTTCTACCATTTGGTGCAGGAGATGGTGATGGAGTAGCAACATCTTTCAAATCAACACTAACATATTCATTAACTTTATTACCAAACCCACCAACTCTTTTAACAACTCTTGATTTTTTACCCTTTTTAATATAAATATCAATATAGAATAAGATAAATAATAACAAGTATGATGAAATGATTGACAATCCAGCCCAAGTTGCTAATGAAGTACCAACACAATCAATACAAACACCATTTGAACAACCAAATAATCCAAAATCACTTCTAACTTTAATGAAAGCTGCATAATAAATAAATGTTAAATCTAAAACAAATTGAATAATTTGACCATTTGTAATCCATTGTTTCCACCAAACTCTAATACCTCTAGCAGCTAAGAAATAATAGAAATACATAACAACATGAACAGCTAAATTCAATGAAATAACAACCCAACTAATAGAAGTTTTACCAATCAATTGAGTATAACATAATAAAGCTGTAGCACCATGATGATAACTATGCAAAAAGATAATCTTCTTTCTTTTGACAACAAGGAATAAAGTATCAACAAATTCTAAATATTTTGTTAAATAATTCAAAAAATATAAAGTAACTAAAGGTTGGGTCCATGCATTTTTGTTACAAATTGCATAGAAAAGACCATGATTATAAATAATTGGAATTAATTGTTCAATCATCAATAATAATAAAGTTAAAGAAATAAAAGTTAAACTAATATTATGCAATTGGAACAAAAAATTCAATTTCCATGGTTTCAAATTAAACTTGTTGAAAATAGCTTGACCCCCAAAGATAATAAAATAATAAACAGTAATAACAATGGCAACTGGTGTGAATGTTGATAATAAAGTTTCACCTTCAATAAATTCAAATTCTGATGGAATAAATTTATTAAAAGTTAAAGTTGAAGCAACGGTATTAAACAACGACCATAATGAAATACCAAAAGGTCTATCCACTGAAGGGATTTGGAAATCTAAAGATGCAGACATGATCTATTTCCCACTGGAATTCAAACCCAATAAACGTCAAAACCTTTGAAAGATGGAAATTTGAATAGTTTTTTTGTTTTTGTTTACGTTTTCTTTGAATTTTTCTCCAATAAATTTAAAATTCCCGAGAATATTTCATAGACGCGTTTTCGAGAATTTTTAAATATTAGCGTGATGATCTCAGAATTTTTGAAATCAAAGATCATCTACAAAATAATTAATTTATAACACATTGTTCATGACCGTCATAATTATACATTCTTTATAAAATTAACAAAATTAAATAAAAATCAAAAAAAAACCACTAAACACCAAAAAATATCTTTTATCCCAGATAAATTGATAAATTATATATACATGTATGAACAAAAAAAACTTTAATAAACGAAAACCCTTCTTTTAAAAAACAGCACGATAAGAAAAACACAATTTTATATATTCATTAGTTTGATGAATCTCCTGATAAAATATTATTAAAATTTGAAGGTAATTTATATGAACTTGAACTTGATTGAGATGAAGGTTGAAATTGTGAACCTTGAGAACCTTGAGAACCTTGTGACTTTAAGGGTTCTGGAGCTGGATTGAAAATATCTAATCCCCTATGTGAATGTGGAGCTGATTGTACCAATGGAATTGATGAAGTAGATGTAGGTGTACCTACTGGATAAGTATTTTGACCATTTGTAAATCCTCCATTAATTGCATGTTGATCATTTCTTTGTCCATCAGCTGCAGCTAATAAAGTTGTTAATGGATTGAAAGGCTTTGGTTGTTGTTGTTGTTGTTGGGATCCATCATCTGAATTCAACATACTTAAAACACTTGATCCACTTGAAGTTGTACCATTTGAAACAATCCTTGAAGGTTGATGTTGAGGGTTTGGTAATGAAATAGATTCTTCAATTTTTGGTACAGTAAAACTACCAGGTTTTGGTAAATGTTGTTGATGAATTAAAGGTGGAGGTGGTGGTGATGTTCTTCTATCTTCAGATGGATTTAACAGACTTGTAATTGAAAATGGATTTGAACGATTTGTAGAGATACCAGGTTCTTTCTTTGGTAATAATGATGGAATAGATTGGGGTTGAGGATTTCCAAATGTTGGAATTGAATTTGCAGTTAAATTATGAACTGATGGTAACATACCATTTGATTGTGGTTTGGAAGCTTGAATATTACTTGGTAAATCACCATGAGAATTGAAAACACCCAATGGTGGTTTTTTAAGTTCTTGTTGTGTTTGAAATTGTTGAATAACTTGAGGATATAAATGTTGAGGTTGTGGATGAGGTTGACCAGGAGCTGGTTGATGGAAAACTGGGGGTTGAACTTGCTGCTGTTGCTGTTGCTGTTGTTGAGCCTTATCTTGAGCTTGTTGTCTTTCAAGATGAGCTCTATAAGATTTATTCTTTTCATCAGCTTCTTCAGCAATTGATCTCCATCCATTTGCATCAGCATGTTTAGCAAAATAATTACGACACATCGTTGTAGTTTTTGAACGAAGTTTACTTGCAACAAAAGGCCAATTTGTACCATATTCACCAATTAATGAACCAAAATAATTAATATCTTTAACACTCCAATAACTTGTAATTGGAACTGAAACTGATGTATTTGCAAATTCTGCGGCAAGTGGATTTTCATTAATTGGTGTAACAATTTTAGCTTCTTCCTTCTTTCTTGTTCTACCAACTCTTGCCTTCTTTTTCTGTGGAGCAATTGGTAATTTTGTTGATGATGAACCATCTTCATTAATTTCTCCATTTCCATTTGAGACTTCTAATGAACGTTTTCTTTCATTTTCTTTTTCTTCATTTGTTGGTGGTGATTGTGATTTTTGTACTTGCTGAACATTTTGCTGTGGATGCTGTTGTGATTGTGATTGTTGTTGTTGAGCTTGTTGTTCAGCTTCTTTTGGTTTAGAAGAATCAAAAACAGGTGCAGCTGCACGACGACGACGTCCAGTATCAGTATAAATATCTTCACCTATAGTAGCTTCTTTAGGAATGAAATTTTCCAATTGTAATTCCTTTTCATCACCACTTTCATTTGGTGTTTCAACACTTGGTGTATTTGGATTTGGTGTATTATTTGAACTAACATCTTTTGATTTATTTGAACGATTTCTACCTTTATTTTTACCTTTTTTTTTCTTCTTAGATGCTAATAATTGTTTATAATCAGTTAAAGATTTCTTAGTTTTATAATAATGTAAAACACATTCTTGAGAACTTCTTAATCCACCCATTGATGCTGAAATACGACCAAATTTTTTTGGATTTGATAAAAATGCTTCACAAAATAATTCATGTTCCTTCTTAGTAAATGTATCAATTGGATCTGAAAAAATTCTTTTAGCCCAAGATTCTTTATCTAAAACTAAATTATTAACATTCAAATTTTTCTTATTTTTCTCAATTGGATTTAAAATCATATCAGGAATTTTAGCAGCTAATGTTTCAGCTTTAAAAATTGGATCAGATTCTTTTTCTTTTTCTAAATTTTTCAGAATTTCCAAAAATTCAGCTTCAGATCTAACAGTATCACCATGATAACGACCACCTCTTTTTCTTTTAGATGAAGAAGATGTTGTTGTTTGTTCTATATCGTTATTGGATTGTTCTTGATGATCTTCAGATTCTCCTCTTAAATGAGGATATAATGATTTCATTTGTTGATCCATATCATGCAGACGTTCTTGCCATTCATCATTTCTATTATTATATTCATTCCATAAAGATATTTTATGATCAAATGTAAAACCTTTTAAAACAGATAATTTTTCAATAATTTTAATTTTAAAACCTTGTTTATGAGCTAATAAATTTCGTTCATAAAATGGATAATCTTTCAAATCTTTAATTGGTTTTTTCAATAAATATGGATTAGCATCTAATATATCCTTTTTAGAATGATTTTTCAATTCCCAAGCTCTTAATTCAGCTTTTTGCATTGGGAAAATACAACCATTAATAGTTTCACGAGGTATAATAACTTTTGGTTTTTCATCTTTAATAGTCTTCAATGGAGCTGAGCTTATTGATGTTTCTTTCTCTTCAATTTTTGAAACATGAGTTATCTCTTGAGTTGCAGTTTTTGTTTGTGAACTTATTTGAGGGGTAATATCACGACTAAACCCAGTTTCAGGATCATAATTATCAAACTCTTCATCTTCCTTATTATCATCGGTTGTTTCTTGTTTAGATTGTTCCAAATCAGGTTGTTTTGAAGGTAATTGAGATTCATCATTATTTACATTAACCTTGTCTTTTTCCAAATCATGATTTTTTGAAATAATTGTTGATTTAGATTGTTCTTGTTCTTTTTCTTTTGGATCTTCGTCATCTTTTTGTGGGGTTTCATCACTGGGTATTGGTTCAATATCATAATGAGATTCTTCTGAAGATTGACGGGTGATTGATTCACTTTTGGAAGAATGTTCATCTAATTCTTCTTTATGTTCCAAAGTTAAAGGTAATTTTTCACTTATTAGTTCTTGTTGATGATCTTTTATATCATTTTGTTTTGATTCATTATTTTGATTATTATTATGATTATTTTCGTGATGATCATGGTCATCACCAACATCACTTTTAGTTTGAGTTGAAGATTCTCTTAAAGCTTGTTCTAATTCATAATCATCTTCATCTTCATCATTTTTACCATCATCTTTGAAATTACTCGGTATAAGTGAAGGTCTTGATTTTCTAACATAACCTTGAGTTGATGGTGGGATTGATGCAGAAGGTTTTGAGACTGAAGGTTCACTATATGGATCTGAATTTAATGGACTTATGGAACGTTCATTAATAAAAGTATGATCATTATTGAATTTATCAGATTTTCTTGAATTATTGAAATTATTATTTGGTGTAAATGATGATGATGAGTTTGAAGAAATTAAACTGGAACGTCTATCTCTTTGAGGATAATAATGATCTGAAGTTTCCATTGGATTTGTACGATAAGATTTAATACCACCATCATCGTGTTGATTTGAATTTGAAGAACCATCAGCACTCCTTATCCATCTTTGAGAAGAATTTTTGCGATCATAAAAAGATCTATGATTTGTAATATTTGATTTTTTATTATTATAGTAATTTGATGAAGAATTTAACCCAGAACTTGAACCATTCCCACTACTCCTACTTCTTCCAGAATTTCTATAGTTATAATATGAAGAACCTGAATTATTATCTTGTGGTGAGGCAGTATAAGTTGAGCCACCATTTCCAATTGATTTCTTAGGATTATAAGAATATGGATTGGTTGCACTATAACTATTTCTTTGATTATTATTAGTGGTATAAGGTCTATAAGAATCACCAAAATTTTCATAAGGTCTATTTGATTTTGAAGATAATTGATCATCTAATCCAGGTCTATTTGATAATGATGAAGATGAATCATTTGATTTCCTTTGAGAATCTCCAGATGACGGTTGTCTATATCTTGAATGACCAGTTTGTGAATTTGTTGGATTTTTATCATCTCGATCACCATAAAAGCCACTAGATCCCCAGCGACCGTTATATTTGGATCTTGGATTCCAATCGGCTGACATAGCCCTATTGTACTTATGTATGTGTTGTATAAGGATTATAAAGTCAAAGCTTTATATTTGATTTTGTTGTTGTTGTTGTGTTGTTGTTTATTTTCCACTACTTTGAAATCTCACAAACCACTTTCACTTCTTCTTTCTTTCTTTCTTCTTGGTAATTAGTATTGTGACAATAAGCAGCGCGTGTACTGTAGCTTTATCATATAAAAGGAATTGAATGCAATCGATATTCTAGTTTCTTGTTGAATACAGATTATTGTTTTGATATTGTAAATTTTTCTCACACAAAAAAACCAAAAAAAACCAGCACAAAATAACAAACACTTATAACACCGTTCAAAACACAATTAACTTTGATTGAAACTTGGTTTACCCCTATTTGTTATGAATTGTAGTATATAAAGACCAAGTTTTTTGATTAAGAATTGATGAAATTGTTGTTGTAAAATAGCAAAATTAAATTAAAATTCATAGTTAAAGGAAACCTTTTGACCTTTTTTTAAAAAAACAAATATAAAAATAAAAAAATCATCATTTTGCAAATGAACTGCTGAGTCATCAACGAGAGCTAAATAAGAAGGTTGTAACAAAAAGATACAAAAACAAGGTTAGAATGGTTATTTAGTGAATATTCAATATAATATTTGGATTCTATGGTTCCAGGACTTTATATACCATGTTTTTCCCACCTGTTTAAACCCCTTGTTTACACCATACTTTCTTGATTTCTGATTCTCCTTCGAAAGCTTCAGTTGAATTTTTTTTGGTTCCTTGGAAAAATAAAAAATTCGTGGGAAGTAGGGAGACTCATTCTGATACTTACACTGGTGCCACTGAATTAATTATTTGGATGTACTGTTATTTACACAGAGAGTCATTCCATTAAAATAAATATTCTGTTTAAATTTAAATCTCTTCTTCCTTGTAATTATAAAGAATTCATTGAAAACATAAAGATCACAATGGCTGAACAGACGATGATACTCTATTCTTTGTCTGTCTTATAGTGGGAGAACACATTGTGTATGTTTGTTCTCTATGATCTGAGATTGAATCACCAGTTTTCTATTGTCAATTAAGATAATTAGATGCATTTCAATAAACTATTCCATGCTTATTGAATGAAAAACAATTATCTACAATCGAATGTTGGGTCAGAAGTTGGAAGTTAGAAGTTACAAGCTAGAAGTTAGAAGTTATATGTCACTTATGGGCTTATTGAATGTATTATCCATACATTCTCTTTTAGAAATGTTCAATTGACATAAACAATCAATTATTCAATTATCAATATTGATATCAACATGATTGAATAGGTATAAGATCAATTGTTGATGATTAACACTTTGATGAACCATAATATATGTAATTTAAAGCTGGATAAGATACAAATCTATAATTGATCGACTGAATATCTTGAACAATAAGATAAGAATAAAGAATTCTACGTACTTTATATAAAATTTATACCCTTATTCCCTTTTAGGAAACAGGCTTCTCGTTAAAGCACCTGTAAGTACCCAAACAGGACAGGTACTTATCCATTTCAGTCTTCCAACACTACTGTTCCTGAAACTCTAACCTTATTCCAACTCGCTAAACTTCCAATTTAGGTCAATCTCTAGTCTATTTTAAGCGCTTGCCATGTCCAAATCTGTTGCTCAACCTTGCCCGAACCGGTGATTTTAATTTTTTAAAATTGAATTGTACCCAGCATAAACTTGAAAAAGATGGAAATTACCAGCCATCTTTGGTTTAAAACATGAAAAAACCAAAATTCAATTACACAAAGAGAATGTTGGCTGGAGATGGCAGGTAGTTTACCAAGGGTATCCTTAGGATTATGAGACACAGGAGTCCTCTTACGCACGCACACGCTTTCTTATTCAAGAAAAGTTTTTGTTGGTTGAAAGCTGTTTTAAGTTAAATGGTATTAAATTCATAACTTTAACGTGTCAGGTACCATTCAATATAAGAACTTTTGCTAGCCTCGTTAAAATAATTTATTACATCACAAGCATTCATATAAATACTTTTATACATCTTCAAAATCTCCATTTATTTTAAAAAGGGTTCCTAAATTGTTTCCATATTGTTTAATCAACATCATTATCATCACTTTTCAATAAAGGGTTTCCATCATCATATCATAAACTCACAGGAGAGGATTCATTCATTCATTTATACATTCTTTTCATCCTTATCCTCATCCATTCCATCATCATCAACATCAATTACAACAAAAAAACCCTTAAGTGAAATATAAAAATATATAATTCAAATTATAACTATTTCAAGATTCAGTTTATTTGATTATATATCCCCAATTTATTTGTCACCATTAATTTGCGTTGACGTCCATTCATTTTATAATCTTTTAATTCAACTAAAGTCATTCATTATATATCAATTTTTTTTCAATTTCAGTCATTCATTTTAATAATTAAAAGATACCAACTAAATTAATAATTAATAAATCATAGAAAAATATATATACCAACAATGAACTTTAATAATAAACGAGGTTCATTCAAAAGATCAAGAGAAGAATTACCTTTGAATTCAAATCAAATCAATCAAGATAAAGAATTTTCAAGACCTTTAAAAAGAAGTTCAAGTCCAACTTTATATTCATCATCAAATTCAAATTCAAATTCAACTATAAACTTACCTAAAACACCAGAAAAATCACGTCACGTAATTGGTAAAAGAAATAAACTATTGACCAGTTTTAAAAAAGCATTTTCATCAAAAAATGATCAATCATCATCATCATCAAATGTTTGTCAAAATGTGTTTCAATCACCAATTTCTGATGACGAAGATTCTAAATCAACAACTTCATCAATCTTATCATCACAATCAAATTCTCCTTGTCCTTCACCAACTTCACAATTCAATTTCCAAACCCCACCATCATCACCATTAAATTTTAATAAATCATTAACATTAAGCTTGGATAAACCTTGTCATGATTTTTCATTTGATGATAATGTTAATAATTTACATATTTCAAATTTATCATTAACAACAACAACAACAACAAATACCCATCAATGTCATGAAATTTTTCAAATTCCTGAAATTGTTTCTAAAATTATTTCATTTGTTGATTTACCTTTTTTACCTCATGAAGAATCACCAATTAGAAGAAGACCATTATCTTATCAACATGCTTTATTAATTTATAAAGATGAATCAAAAGCACAAAGAGTTTGGAATGATGCAATGGAATCTTCTACAAGAAATCAAGGAAATCCAGAAACTAAACGATCAGTCTCTCAAAATAATTTATATGGTTGTTTATTGGTTAATAAACTTTGGTATAATATAACATTAGAAATTTCTACAAATAAATTATTCTTCACAAATGAATCTAAATGGTTAAATTTTGTTAATAAAACAAGAAAAACACCAAAAAGAAAAGTTTCAAATACTTCATTATTTATAATGCATAAAATCACAAAGGCAAAACAAGAAGATTTAGAAATAGTAGCACCATCAATAAGTGGGAATTTAGAATGGATTGAAATGTATATTTGTCCAAAAATTTTACCAACTTTTTCAATGTTACAAGGTTCATTATTGAAAAAATTAATATTACCAGGTTCTAAAATTGTTAATGATGAATTTATAACAAAAGTTTCATTAATGTGTCCAAAATTAGAAATATTGGATTTAAGAGCATGTGAATTAATTTCTGATAATAGTATTGTTCAAATTGCACAAAATTGTTCAAATTTAATTAATTTAAATTTAGGTCGTCATCTTAATGGTCATTTAATAACTGATAACAGTTTAATCAATTTATCAAGAAATACCAAGATTCAAACTTTAGGGATGGCTGGATGTGCAATTACAGATCGTGGTGTATGGGAATTAGCAATTAATTGTAGTGATTCTTTGCAAAGATTATCAATTAATAATTGTTACATGTTGACAAATTTATCATTACCTTCAATTTTCCAACATGGATATTTTCATAATGTATCAGTATTAGAAATTAGGAAACTTTTAAATTTAACAAATTTCAAATCCATTTTACAATATCAAAAGGCAAAACAATCCCAAGGTGAAATTGTATTAATTGAAGGTTGTGAAGTTTTAGAATTAAGAATGAGACAAGAAGAATGGAGGTATGAAATGAAAAGATCTTCAATGATTTTAAATGATGTTTTCAATTGGGCTAATGATGAAAATGATGGTGATGTTCCTCTGTCTTATCTTGTAATGAATTAATATATAAATAAGAAGCTATATATTATTGTATAATTAAATTTTAATGATCATAGACGAATTTATAGGATAAAAGAGGTAATATAACTGTAGATAAGCATTACAATGTTGTAGATTCAACCATTGGTCTTTCTATAATTTTTTATATCCACAGTATATCTATCTCTATTCAACTATCTTATCGATAGCTTATTGTCTCGTATTAAATCATTCATATAAGGTTATATGTTTATATTGCTTAGTCATAGATTATTAATCATAATACTTCAAATACTATATTTCAAAGTTTAAGCCCAATTGAAGTATTTTAAGCTTGATTTTTTAATCTCAGTGTTATTGAAGGCTTATCAATGAGAATAATCTATTATTTTCATGATATTCATACTTTGGATTTTTGACTTTTTCGTAATTATACAAATTTAAACTAAAAATAAAATTTATAATGTCCATCTTTTTATTAATATTCAAAAAGCCAAAATTCAAACCTCTTCAAATAAGCTCAAATGAACCTTCATATAATTTGTTGAAAAAATCCAAAGTCTTTAAATATTCAATAAAAAACCTATATTTAAATACAAATTTATAAAATTATTATTTAAAACTTCTTTAAATTATCATGATTACATAATCACAATAAGATATGTGTCAGAAGTTACATATATGTTTGAAATTGTATTATTATTGCCTATAATGAAATCATATTGATACAATATACTCATATAATTTGAGCAGCTACATGACATGTGTTTTCTAATAAACTATTTGTATTAAAATTGGTATCTATATATAAATTTAAAAAAACATAATTACATAAAATTACATGTACATCATAAAAATCATGATTAGAACTGAAACAAAAAAACAACCAAAGAAAGGTTAGCCTAATACCATAGAAATGTATAGTATCAGTAGCCTAAGTATTCAATTGACTAATAACAGATTCAATATAATCAATCTGTTTATGTCTAACAACATCATCTTCAACATAAATCCCATTCAAATCAAAAACTAAATTTTCACCAGAATTTGTTGTTGAATTAACTTTATATTGAGGCCATTCAGGTAATTCAGCTTGTAATTTAACGTCTTTAGAGATATTTGGATCTAGATCATGAATAAAACTAACCCATGCTTTGGACATTGTATTTGCAATTTTTGAAGCTTTCGGATCTGGGAAGAAACCTGTACCATCATCTGCAGTTTTTGAAGTTTTTTGATTATCAAACACATATGGAATTTCTTGTGCATGAGTGACACCAAGGAATGGTAAAAAGGCAATTTGTAAAGCTGGGATATTGAAACGATATTTATAAACTGGGATCTTATGTTCAGAATAAAGTCTTGATGTTATTTTAGTACCTGCAATAAAAGTTATATCTCCATACATTGATGCTAAAGTTTTGTATTGTTTACCAACGATTGATGATGGGTATGTAATAGCACTAGTGTTATAAGTTGGATCTTGTGGGACAATAGTTTCTGAATTATTTGCAGGGTATAATGAAATTAAATCTTCAATTGTTTGATTATTTAAATTTGGTAAATAGAATTTCAAATATTTTACAACATCTTCAGTTGAATTTAAAGTTCTATTAACAAATGCAGAACCTTCATCAGTACTTGTACCAATCAAGATTGGAACCTTAAGGAACCCTTCACCACTTTTCAAAACTTCATAACTTGATTTTGGAATAACATCACCATCAATATAAGGGAAATTAAAACCCACGTCAACAACACCATTTGAAACATTAAAAGCATTTTGTAATTTTTTAGCATCAACAGTTGTTAAACATTCAAGATAATCAGTAACATTATCAAAACAATCAACATGTTTTACAACACTTAGGAAATCTTCTTGATTTTGTTCAGTAGCTGCAGGTTTAATATTTGGGAAAACATTTGGACCACTTTCCATAATAGCACCTTTAATATATTCTTCATCTAAATAATTATCTTGACTTAATAATTTCCCAATTGATATAGAACCAGCAGATTCACCCCATAAGACTAAATGATTTGGATCACCACCAAAACCTGCAATATTTTCATGAATCCATTCAATAGCTTGGATTTGATCTCTTAGACCAATATTTGTATAACCTTTTCTTGAAACTTCATCTGAACTGAGGAAACCAAACCCATTTAATCTATAATTTATAGTAACACCAATAAAAGGTTTACCAATATCTATAGAATTTTGAACAATCCATGATAAATTAAAAGCACCACTTACACCAGAACCTTCAGTAAATGAACCACCATGAATCCAAATCCCAACTGGTAAAGTTTCATTTTCCCAACCATGAGGTTTAACAATATTTAAAGTTAAACAATCTTCAGATTGTGGTAATGTTGAAGAGCCACTTGATGCAATACAAGCATCACCATATTGTGTAAAATTTTTAATTTCTGACCATGATTGATTATATGGTTGAGGTGGTTTAAATCTTAGTTTTTTCAAAGGAGGTTCAGCAAATGGGATACCCAAATAAGCATCTTGATTGAAATTTTGGATAAATTCACCAGTTATTGAACCATTTTTAATATGAACAATTGGTGTATTTAAATCTTGTTGAGTTGAATTCTTGGTTATTGGTGCACATGAACCAAGTGTGAATACTGTTAAGACAGCTAATGAATTTATCCAAACCATTGAGTCCCTGAATCCTTGAGAAGCTTAAAGCATACTTCTCATGAGAATTGAAATAAATTGGGGGTGTTCTCATCCTTATATAGACATGGATAACCATGGGTAGTACCTTATTGTTTATGAACTGATAATCGAGGATCTTGGTTAATCCTGGGTACTCTTATAGGGTCATAACGCCTTGTAAATCTCATCAGACGTAAATAAACAGAAGGTATACGATCAAGTATGGCTTAAAAGGGTAAAACGGTGTGTTTAATTACTTCTTGATTGGGATGGTGTGTGATGTTTTTTGAGTTAATTGGAGTTAATTGGAGTAAAATAATGTCTATTAAATTGTTGGGTTTTTGCTTAAATTTAGTAGTTGACAGTTGAATGAACGTATACGCTAATCAGAGCTAAAGAGAAGTTAGAACTACAAAGAGCTAAACTTATAAGAATCCTCGAGAAGATCTAATGAGGATACAATCCTTAATAAGATCAGCGATTGTGTATGTCGGTGTTTAACAAGGTTTTATTTAAAATGCTTATGTGCTTATTGTGCTTTAAAGGGTATTAATTATGGGGAAAAGCAAGGAAAGACACTGAACATTGAACAACAGGTGATGGTTTAACAGTATTGGAATAATGAGATATTGGGTAAATGGGAGCAAACAGAAGTAGACTTATTGTTAAATTACACTGGGGTTATTGATCGTACAGTATTCCCTCTGATTATCTTCTCATGATCGTATAATGAGATCTACCGGAGACAATGGAATCACTAGAATCATTGGAATCACTAAAATCACTAGCATCACAAGCATCATTTGAGCCAATGGAACCAACTGGAAGGTAATTGACTACAGTAATAGTAATACTCTATTCAAAATTCAACTTTTTGATTATCCATTCATTCAAAAATCCAATTGATTAAAAGTTTAGTATATAAGGTATAGATAGGTACGTGGCCCACTCACCATAATTTATCCGATTCTACTATTCTTTATCAAAGACTGGAATAATGACATGGTAAATGTGATCAGATGCTAAAGTCTTGTGATACATCAAAAAGTCCTGTGATACATCAAAAGGTGGCATTGTTCGTGTTGATTCAATTTTTGAGCTTATCAAACTGATTTAACTATATGACGATATTTGTGTACGCCTTATATTATTCATTACTCCATGATTTGAATATATAGGAAGAAGTTTACCAAGAGTTATAATGGAATTCAATAATCACATCAATATCATTTAAGGTTTTTCTTTAACTGCTCAGTTTTATAAGAAAGCTCTCTTTGATTATTGTTGAATATACATTATTTTACCATACAACCAACACAAATACGTAGAATTAATAAAATACGAACTACAAATTAGATCATTTTGAAAGAGAACAAATCAATGATTCTATACTAAAACATAAAACCTTATTCAAGTCTTAATAATCTTAGCATTTCATTTGTATATTTCAATTGTTTATATTAACTATGGAAAGAACATATGAATAAATTCAACAATAAAACTGGCGAATAAGCATAACCGTGGGAATGGCTCAAAATCTATAGCACACATGGTGTAATGATCAATTTCGCTTTATTATTTATCATTTGAAAGTCAAGCTATAACTAGAGTTCTATAGCTATAAACAAGATATACTAAAAATTGTGATGATTTACATGGAACAGCTGAGTTATAATAGTGAGAAGTTTTTTCAATGAAATTCAAGTTGATAATACGATTATATATTGATGGTAACTGGTCAGGTATATGTATATAGTAATATTTCTCATTAAATACAAAAGTTTTAATATCTTCTAACACTTAAGATTCTAGTTAATTTGAGCGTTAAAATGATGGTGTAGCTAAGTACATGAACTATAACTGCTCAGTTTGAACCCATTAATACAGTTTAATTTTTCCCAATTTTGAAACCAGTGTTAATCTTCTCATAATTAAACACCTCAGAACCTACCAGATATAAATACTATACACTATCTTCCACTATTACTTATGTAGCTCTTACAATATGATAACATTACAGTATTGTAATACTTGAATTATGATTTCAAAGCTTAGAAACCTGTTGATTAATAGAAAGTTAGACTCATCTAAAATGAATGATGATTTAACAGCAGTGACAAAAGGATATAATAAAATTATTAGTTTGACAGATGAAGAATTATTTGGAACGTTACGTTTGGGGTCGGCAAATACCACAGAGAGTGAATTAAGAAGTAGTATGTACCGAAGTCAACAATCAGATCGGTTTATTGCTGCTCTACTTGACCCAAGAACTTCTTATGAATACAAAATAAATGAGGTTTTTCAAATTGTGGAACCTCAAAATGTTGATTATATTAAATTTTCTTTTAAATTGAAATTGAAAACCCATCCTACAAAAGCATTGAATAAGGAAGATATCAAAGATATAAAAACCTATCTTGATTTGTGTGTAAATCCACATCACTTGCACATATTCATGAGACCAGACTTGAGTATATCAGATGTTTTAGTTCATTTGAATGAATTAGGTTCTTTGAAGTCTGATAAAGATGTTGATGATGATATTTGCAAACTCAACAGTGAAAGACTTCCAAAAGTTTTAATTATTGTTTCAGATCCCCAATTCTTTGGATGTTTCCAGAAATTATTGGACTTTTATATACATTCACTTGATTCATCAAGTTATTCATCAAGACATAGGTTGATGGGTAAAATTATACAAAAACAGAGTTCAAAATATATTAGCATTGAAGGAACAATACCTCATCGTAACTGTGTTTATTTCTTCTGTCCTGTCGAATCAGCACATGAAGATTTATGTATCATTGAAGATTTTATAGAGGGCTATTCATATCTCTTTAAAACCCTTAAGTTTGATAATCCTAAATCAGATAACCAAAGAAGTTATTCGATATATGATATGGATTTTGCAAATGATCAGATAAACATTAAAACCAATGATAACTTGTATGAAGAGGAAGTTTTACCATCATATTCAAGCATTTGATGAAAAGTGATTACTAATTAGTTTATGAAAGTGTTTATACTCTATTTGTTACGTTCTATAGTTCTATACAAGTTATTACTCAAAACGCTAAGATTTATTCAATGACATTGCGGATCAACAAATATGTAATTCAACATTTATGTTGTGAAACATAAGAATGAGTTGTATGAAGTGTTTGTGTTGCTTGATACTTGATGTAACGCGTTATATTATAATAATAAGCTGTTTTCTTAATATCGATAACTGAAAATGGTTATCTTAAAATGATTATAGCACCAAGTAACGGAAAATAAGTATAATCATTGGATACCATAGAAAAAATATAGCACTGTTGATAACATGTTGAACAATATAGTCTATTAAGTGATGTTAAGTTATCTAATCATCACTATTGGTTCAATAATTCGTGATGTATATATTGTTTGTATTCTTAAGATTGAAGTTAATTGTCGAATCACTTTTGGATGTAACACGAATCAATGTACATGGAAATGTGAAATTTCTAATGAGATAGCAGTGGTATTATCACTTTAATGAGTTGATGGTATTTGACTTAGGTATAGTCTTGACTAATTGAAGTGAAGTTGTGTTCAATATCTATCAGTGATTGTTTATCAACTTCTATCAGTAGTGGACATTTGATTATTGAACTCGGATTGAAATCTTATTGTTGTAGTGTATTGCTTATTTCATTGTGTGAAATTAAGAAATGAAAAATCATCAGAATGGATATTAAGATATGTGTTTTGGAAACAATCTGTAAATGTTGTTTAATATGTGCTTGTTTTCAAACCTGAAGGCAATAAAGTTCAGGGGAAAACCTGGGGCTTGATTTTGTTCAAAACAAAAGTTATTTTGAATAGTTTTCTAGTTATTCTAATCATGATCATGTTGATTAAAATTGATTGTGTCAAGCTAAAAGATGGAAATTAAAGATCAGCTTATATAAGGATTATTATTATTATAATTATTTTAGCACTAATTACCCTGAATTTCAAAGCTATATAACAAAAATTATTTACCTTTATTTTTAAACTAACCAATTTTTTTTCACATTTACTAACTATTGCTTTTTAAAGTTAACTCTTCAAATGGGGCAAGTAATCTGTATAGTATGTGAATGAATATCCAGTCCATATCATGGGATTTAGCGTCAAAATGTTAATGTCTTTTAAACTATTCATTAATTTAAAATTTCAATTTTGTTGGAATTCTTAATTCTTAATAATTGATAAATGAATTTAAGATTTGATATCTAATCATTTATTACAATTATTAATGACCATGTCAAAACTCATAACAATCAATATCATTGAAAAGTCTTTTCTTTAACTATAATTATAGTTTCAAAAGAAAGCTTTCTTTGGTTAAGTTGTTGTTGAATATACATTATTTCACCATACAATTACGTAGAAATAATATAGTAGTACTACAAATTTATTCAAATCATTCAAAAGATAATAAATCAATGATTTAGTATACTAGGAAACAAGACCTTTTCAAGTCTTAAGTAATCTTAATATTTCATTTGATTAATGTGTATATTTCAAATGTTTATATCAACTTATGGAAGGAAGATATGAATAAATTCAACAAATCTTTAATTAGTTTGGACAAGAGAAATAAAACTGGTTTGCAAATAGTTCTTCATCTAAATTCTGGTGTTTTGAAATTTCAGTTTCAGTTCTGGTTATCAAAAACCCCTTGATGGCATCACGGTCATTTGTCATAAATATTTAAAGAAATTAAAAGTAATTGGAACTCCTTAATTTTTATAGAATACTAATTTTTTATTCGCGGTTTATTCTTGAAACGTTGAAATTATTTTAATACCAATAACCAACAACTAAAGAAAATACTGTGGTGTCCATCTCGGTTTTTTTTAAAGTTTTGTTGGTCATCATGCTCTGGAATTCTGGTGATAGTAATGTGTCTGATCACCTAAAAACTAGAGCTATTGCCACGTTTAATCCTTTTTGCATATCACTGATCACTGATGATGTTCGATTCGTTAGGTTTTTTTAAATGATTCTATATTGATTTGAAATTAAGTTTGAAAAGATATTATCAATAATATATCATCATACAAATTGCTATAATTATAACGATATTATTAAGAGTCTTTTCTTTAACTTAATATTGGTTTCATAAGAAAGCTTTTAATGATTATTATTAAATATACATTATTTTTGATAGAAATTACTATACTAATACATGTAAAATCAAGACATCAAGACGTCAATAGTTTAAACTACAAAGCTATTTGATTATTCATAAAATTAATAAATCAATGATATAAAACTAGGACATCAATCTTTTTTCAAGTTCAAATTATCCTAAAAACTCATATGATTGTGTATATATTTAAATTGTTAATATATATTCCCATGGAAAGAAAAAATTAAGTTAATTAACATCTTTAAATATAACTGATATTAATTACCAATTCAAAAATTGAAAGTGAACTGGTTTATAGTTCTTCATAATTAAATATGAATACAATTCGTTTTTCAAACCTAAATTGTTTTCAGAATTATCAATCAAAGATCAAATCTCAAATTTCAATATCAAGCATAAAACTCTTTCACCTCCATTTTATATATGATCCTTAAGTTATCTTATCCAAACACAATTGATCAAACAATTCACTATAATTGTTAATTAGCTTTTCTGTTAAATTTTTTTATATGAAATTGCGAGATTTTGAGCTGGATTTAAATTAGATTAGTGCAAATTACCCTGAAATTTAAATCTATGTTATTCGAAGCTTGAGTAGCAGTAATTAAGAATTAATAAGATGAGTTGAATCAATTTTCAATAGCTTTTTGGTTGCTGTGATGTTTCTTCTGTGAAAATTTAATATCCAACCTTCGGTTTGCCTTTTAATACTTTAAGATGCATTGGTTTTTACATTTATTGATAAGTCTTTCAGATTGAATTAAGTCATTAACACTATTATTATGATAACCATCCTTACTCTTATTTCAACAAGACCATTGAAAAGTCTCTTCTTTAACTATCATAGTTTTGAAAGAAAGCTTTCTCTGGTTGTTGTTGTTGAATATACATTATTTCACTGCATATAATCTACGTAGAAGTTATATTACCATATTACCTACAGATTTATTCAATTAATTCAAAAGATATTAAATCAATGAAGGTATACTAAGACATAAAACCTTTTCCAAGTCTTAATGATCTTAATGCCTCATTTGATTGTGTATTTCAAACATGTTTATACTAGATGAAAACAACACAATTATATATCATGTTTAAACAAAGTCCTTAGTACAAAAGCTCAGCTTTACGAAAACTTGACAGTTCAAGAAAATCTTATATTCAAGTCTTAGAGAATTTTTTTTTTAAAAAGTGTCAATCCAAATCTGATTTACTGGCCAGTATTTAATACCACGAAAAAATGTAACAAGTGTAATTGCCATAAGTTTTCTTTAAAAGTATGTAAAATGTTGATATTAAAACTCCTTAATTTGTTTTTTTAATAAACGCGAAAGAATGGAATGGAAAACGGGAAGCTGAGCTTCCCAAAAATTTGACAATTTACTATCAACAAATTTTAAAATTATAAATGGCACATATTAAGCTATATCATATGATACCTAATAAATTAATCAACATTCTTTGTTAAGATACTCAGTTCTTTAATAGCTTATGTATTTCACAAAGTCGTAAAAACTAATGTTTTAAGGATCCAAATTAGTCACTTTATTGAAAAAAAAAACACTTTGATGGTCCAGTATAAGCTGGAAATTCGCGATATAACAGAGTGATTATAACAGAATCTACAAATAACATTACTACTATATACAAACATTTATTAACATGGCTAAAGAGCTAAATAACTATAACTATAATTTTGATTTTGATTCATTTTGAACATCATAAAATAAATCTAAATATTGTTTCAACCCAACTTTATTATTAAATTTATCATCATTTAAAAATGATTTAATTAAAGATTCTTTTGATTGTTCTTCTAATCCTTGTGCAACACTAATTAAATCTTGTGATTTTGGTAATCCGAAATTTTTTGGATATTGATTAAATGTAATATTAAAATTTTCATCTAATGGAGATGATTGACCTTTTTTAAAAAATGGTACAACTTCTTTTGCTGGGATTTTTTCAATTGATTTATATTTCCAATTTGGAATATTTTTAGATTTTTCAATTAATTTTGATGATACTCCTGTATTAAAATCTGAATCTTTCATGAATTGAACTGCTGCATTTAATTCATTTGTTAATGCTGCATGAATATCTGAATTAGAACCTCTTTGTAAAATTTCTAATCCAACTTTTAATGATAATGGCGATTTTTTCTTTAAAGTTTCTAAAGTTGTTTTAGCAAATTCTAATTTTGATTTTTTTAAATTTTCAAAAATTCTCTCCATATTTGTATCTCTTGTAAAAACTTTCTCTAATAATTGTAATTCCTCTATAGAATATTTAAATTTATAATTAGTTGGTAATGGTTCAACAAATTCTTCTAAAACACTATTAATAATTTCATATTGATCTTCAACATTACTTGGTAAAACTAAATTAGTTAAACGATCTTGTAATTCATGAATCTTATTTGATGAAACATAATGAGTACCTAATCCACTAAAATAAACATCCCAAGAAAATAAATTTTCACCAGTTAAAGCTAAATACCAACCTAATGAACTTGGGACCAATTTATTTAAAGCAAATGAAGTACCAACATCTGGACTAAAACCAATATCCATTTCTGGCATTGCCCATCTTGTTTTTTCAGTTATGATTCTAAATGGAGTATGAATACTTAATCCAACACCACCACCCATAGTTATACCATCTAATATAGAAACAATAGGTTTATTATATGTTGCCAAAAGATAATTCATTGAATATTCTTTTTGGAAAAATTCAATAGATTGTTCAAATTGACCCTTTTTATTTGCTTCAACACATGAAGTAACATCACCACCTGCACAAAATGCACGACCATTTGAATTTTGAATAATTAATTGAGTACTAAAAGATTTTGAATATTCTTGTAATCTTGGATAAATCTTGGAAACCATTGATGCATTTAATGAATTTAATTTAGTTGGTCTATTTAATGTAATAATTTTAGTATTATTAACATTTTGAAATAAGACATCATTTTCTAATTTTGCATCAACACTATGAGTATTGACTTTAGTTGAATAATTACTACTCATGGTTTGTAATCTGAATAACTGTTGAGCTCTTATAGAATGTGATAATTTAGATCTCAACATGGTGGGCAAAATGAAATCAAATAAGAACTAAATTGAGAATAAATCCCTTTTTTTATAGATTTAGAAATTTCCCCATTAAAATTGTTGTTTTTACTCTTTAAAGTGATTTTCTTTAAAAAGAATTTTACTCAGCGGTTGGAAAATATTAGTGAACCGGTTGAATGGCAGATGGTGAATTCGCGGGTTTTTGTTTAATTTCCAATGAAAAATTGAAAGAAATCAAAACAAAATCAGCGGCAAAGAAGGTCAAACAGAGGGTATATCAAGCTAGAGGTTCACAATCATGAGTAGACAGTATCATAAGTGAGTTATTTGGGTATGGTTTAGTGCTATAGGGAATTTGAACTAACTTTTTAGCAGTCCTGGTTCCAGTTCAGGTTCAGGTTATGGAGATTATAGAAGAGAAAGTTATGGACCTCCAGGTTCAAGTGGATTCAGAGGAAGAGGTGGTTACAATTCTAGAGGGAATGATCGTGGTGGGTATGGTTTCAGAGGAGGTCGTGGTGGTGGAGGCTTTGGTGGGTCTTCTTATAGTCCATATGAAAGTAGGAATGCTAGATTAGATGAACAAACTCATAGTGGTGAATCAACTCCAGATCATAAAAGACATTCTTCACAAGATGATATGAGTTATAGATCATCACCAGGTGAATACAGAGGTGGGTACCGTGGTAGAGGTGGCTCTAGTTCTTTTAGAGGTTCTTATAGAGGTGGTTATAATAGAGGTAAAGATACTTATAGTCCATATCGTCGTGAAAGTAACATAGCACCATCAAATATCCCAGATTCAAGATCAAATTCAACAGATTTTTATACTGTTACAAATACTCCACCTAAAGTCCCAACTCCATCAAATATCCAAGATCCACAACAATCAATGGGATATCAAAGAAAATCTCAATCAAATCCAATTAAATATAAATCTCCATGGATTGAATTATTAAGATTAAATGAAAAAAGATCAGGTTTAGAACAAATCGATTCAGATTTAAAATTAAAAGAACTAATTAAAGAACAAGAAGAAATTTATCAAGAACAAGAAATTTTACAAAAAAAATATTTAGATCAAAAATTAAAAAATTTAAAATTAGAATTTGAAGTTGGTACATTAAAAGAAATTTCAAATAAAGATTCACTAAATGTTGAATTAACTCAGGAAAAATTAGATACAATTTCATTTATTTGATTAATACCCCTTAATCTTAAAATTCAACTGCTCCATCATGAGATAAGACTTGGGATTATACTTCCATAAAGATTGATATTGATTGATGTAACAGAACATCAAATATCAAAAGACTAGTAACCACTATAGACATAAGACCACTGTTCCCGTTGGTTATGACTATATTGTGAAGACTATGTTCCAGTAGTGTGCATATGATTAAACACAAATTGTGGTATATAGATATCAATGTGTCACATCAAAAGAACACTGCTAATGAATAATGACAAGAGAAACTTGAAAATAAATACATACAATTCAAGGACCTATCCAATTTTGATTGATCTACAATAATACTTGTAGATAATTAATCAATGATCATATTTTCAAAACATAATATTATCCATGTTTACTTATTCTGATAGAGAACAAATATTGATACATCATCATCCAAATAAACTCTGTCTCTTTCAATTTAGTGCAAATATTTCAGATCTATTTGTTTGTTGATCGACTGTTGATGGTTCATTTCCCGAACAAGACACTGAGACTGAGTACTAAACAGAAACAAACCCAACAAAATGGAACAACAAGCTATGATCCAAGATAACTAGTAGTAATAAGTCCCTATCATTGACACATAACTCAATAGTAGATAATCAAAGCTCCAATATTTAAAATTGTAGGATTTCAACTCAAAATTTATTTATTTACTTTCTGCATCTCATTTCCGAATCCGGTAATTCTGCAATGTTTACGTTTCATCAGATTTAAAAACATCGTACTAAAAATGAAAAAACCCAGATGAGCTGTGCTTTTGTGGATTACAAGATGGAGTTGAGTACTGATCTTCTCTTACAAGTCTGCTTTATCTTGTTTCTAATATAAACAAGTTGTGATCCCCAGTTTTAAATTTTTCTTAAATTTTTGTTCTGTGAAGACATATATCACATTCCATAGCATATTAATACGTCTCATATCGTACATTAGTTCAAAATACCAGTACCAAAAAAGGAACTCCTTTCAAATAACAAGTGACAAGTCAAAAGTAAAGATCATATAGTACAGAGTTACAAATATTAGTTTAAGAGTCCACATAATATGAATGATATTACAAGTCAATTTAGTATGAGAGATAATAGATCTATAAATACTCAATCTAAACATCTACGGAATTTTAAAGATTCAAATGTGATACAATCCCAACAATTCTCAAATAATTTTCAAAATTCTGCAGATGTCCCCATCCAAGCAGATTATATAGACAGGAATGTTCTAGATGCACCATTAGCACAGCTTCATAATTTAGATATATCTTCAAATTCAAATATTGATATAAATCTAAATAAAAGTTTTGAAATATATAATCAATTTGAACAAGAAGTACCAATTCAAGAACCTATCAAGTCAAATCCACAACTTATAACAAGAGAACCTATCAAACCTCAACAATCAATACCCAAACTTAGAAACATGAAATCAAGATTGGATATGTTGGATAATTCTCAATTAACTTCTTTTCCATTAGCACCACCAAGAGTTTGTTCTGAAGCTATTACAAATGGGAATAATTTGAAAAGTCCTGAAATAAATGCACAAGATATAATACAAAGTCGACCAAATTCTCAATTTTTAGATATTGATCCAATTGTACTTGTGGAAGATTATATAAAACAAAAACAATTAAATAGGAAAAAATTATCAGTTATGGATTTGAAAACTTCAATAAAGACTTTTAATTCAATGGATCAAAATGAATCACCCCAGGGACCAAATTATTTAACAAGAGCTAAATCGATTCTTTCAGAAACTTTCCCATCATCATTACAAAATTCACAACATGATAATCAAGATCATCAATTACCATCATCACAACCAAGTACATTACTTTTAACAAAAAATTCTATTGATGATGAAGAAGAAAGTATAACGTCATCTAATCAAGATTTTTATAGTGCCAAAACTTCTCAATCAAGATCGTTATCATCAACAGGATCAATTCATACAAATGTATCACATATTTCAAACATATCAAATGTACCAACTTTAAAATTATCAACTTCAAATGATCAAACATTTGGTGAATTTTCAATCCCATCAACTTCAGTATTTGCATCATCAACAACTTCTTTAATTTCAACAGATTCTAATAATATAAATGGTGATTCATCATTAAGATATTGTGTTATTTGTGATTCTCCATTATATGAAATAAGTAGTTTATTAACTCAAGATAATCAATTTTCAGAATTTGTTTGTTCAAATTGTACAGAACAATATGAACAATTATCAAAATTAATTGAATCATTTGATCAAAGTATATCAGGGATGAAATCTATACCAGAAGATTCATCAATTGATGATATTGAAGAATTATTAAATCAACCAGTTTTGAAAAAAACTAAAATCGAATCATTATCATCATCAAAGTATAATGGATTCTCTTCCCATTTAGTTAATAAATTACATACACAATTAGAATCTTCAAATTTATCACCAAGATCTCCTCAAAGGTTTAATCGTCCATTAATGCATCATCATCAACAACAACGTCATCAACATACACAACAACATCAACAACAAACAAATTTAAATTCAAGACAATCACAATGGTTGAATGAAGCAAGAAGAAAATTAAGATGGAGATGGAGATTAAGTGGATTATTACCACAATTTTTAGAGAAGAAATGAGAAACAGTAAAACATTCATTCATTAACAATACCATTATTTTAAACCAAATTTAGCATAGCAAGGATACCAGGATACCAGGATAGCATAGGAATACAATCATTTCAGAAACAATTTTATATTATATATATCTAATTATAATACAAATAATCACGAATATAATGAAAAATAAATATACTTCAGATCTAGATCACTAAACCTTTATAACGATTTTAAATAATTTAAAGCATCTTCTAATTCCCCCTTTTCAAATGAATTTATTTTACCTTGCCATTTACCCTTCCCACCACCTTTTAATCCTTTAATCTTTGATTGTAAAGATTTAGTAATTTCATTAATCTTATCTAAATTTGAACCAAAAATTATTAATGAACCACCTGTTTGACCTTCACCAGATAATAAAATCACAGTTTTATCTTTTGGGATTGATTTAGAAACTGATTTGAATATGAATGTTAGGTAATCTAATCCAACATCAGGTCTATGAATGAATGCAATTTGTGAGGTTTCCAATTTGGTTAAGATTTCATTTGATTGATAATTTGCAATTTCTTCTTTCCATGAAGATTCGTTCTTGAGAGTTTTCTTGTAATTAATATTTAATTGTTGGATTTTATTATTTAATTCATCAAATTGACATGATAATTCTTGAGAAGATTTTTTCAATAATCCATGTGAATAAATTGCATATTTACGAACTCGATCACCAGCTAAGAAATGTAATCTCGAATTTGTTCCTCTAACTGAAGTTTGATGTAATAAGGCAATTGATAAAATTTGAGAAGTTGATGATAAATGAGTACCACAACATGGATTTTGATCTAATTCACCAATCTTAATAACACGCAAGATCCCTTTATCTAAATCATAATCATCTGGCATTTTTTGTTTATTAACAAGTTCCTTATCAGGTATTTCCACAGATATTGGAATTGATTCAGCAATTTTGTCATTAACTTCTTCACTTATTTTGTCAACTTCATCATCTGTTAAACTTCTTGGTAATTCGATATAATTAATTAATTCACCCATACTCCATGATAATGTAGGTAATTCATACTTATCTAAAACAGCAGATAACAAATGTTGACCAGTATGTTGTTGCATATGATCCAATCTTCTTTTCCAATCCAATTTTAAATTCACTTTTGTACCAACTTCAATAGGTTCATCAACCAAATGAACAGCACGTAGTTGATCTCTTCTAATATAAGATACACCGTATTCTTTATCGTTTGAAGTAACAATAGTACCTTTATCTGAAGGTTGACCACCACCTTCTGGGAATAAGATTGTATCTTCCAATTCAACAGCATACTTGGTAGTCTGAGGTTCTTGATCAACTGATTTTGATTTTGATTTCTTGTTTTTAGCTGATGGTTCTGGTTTCTCTTCTTTACAAGAGATAACGATTGTTTGGAATTCTTTTAAAAAAGAGTTTTTTTGACATTGTAAAGCCCCCACGATCACTGGTGTGATATCTGTACCCATTTTCAAGTTATTTAATCTGTTTATTGGGAATTTGAGCACTTGTTTGGTGGATTTTTCAGTGGTTTCATTGTTCAAAAGATAAGCTGAGTAAACTCGAAGATAATATTGGTTGGAATAATATGGGATTATGTCATCAGATATATAATTACGGGCCTTAACTATGGGGAAATTCTTCAAATTAAATTATAAATAAACTTAATAACTTTTGTGTATTATATGCTATTAATAATAAATATAAATTACTCTATTTACAAGTAAACAACTTCTCTTAATTTTAATAGAAAACCACTCACAATGCATATCTAAAATTAGGATTCTCTATATCTGTAAGATCTTCAAATTCATAGTTTGAAGATAATTCAACAGGATCTTTTTGATCTTTTCTATTGTTTTCCCATTTAGAAATCAAACCAACCAATATAGCTAATGGAATACACATGATTGATGTAACAAGTAATGTAATTTTAGCAGATCTATAATCTGGTTTTTCATAATCTCTAAATAATTGAGGACCAATTAATGATCCAATTGAAAATGCAATCATTGTTAATCCATTACGTGCTAATTTTTTGGTATGACCTGCTGTATTTGCACTATTCCATGAATAAAATAATCCAATAACACTTGTTGAAAACATTGCCATATAAATTGCTATTAAATTTGCAACACGGTTTTTGGTTGTTAATAATATGATATATGCCACTATTGCAGGGATACACATTCCAATAAATACTAAAGTTCTTTTCCCATAATAAGAACAAATATATGATTGTAACATAGAACCTAAAATCATGGCAGCACCAACTGGTGTTTGAACTAAAGCTGCAATTTTACTTGTGAACCCAAATGAGGCAATTATAGTAACTGACCAAGTTCCCAAGGCGCCTGTAGACATCATTGATATTATAGTTAGGAAAAACAAAGGCCATGTATGTTTATCATGGAATAATAATTCTTTTATTTGTTTTATCTTAAAAGTTTTAGATTCTGTACCTGTTTGATTAGATCTAATATGTTCTAAAACAATGATTTTTTCATCATCATTTAAAAAATTAGCACTTGTTGGATTATTTGGTAATATAAAATAAGTGAAAATACCAAATGCAACAGTTATTAATCCCATAACTAGGAAAAAAATTTGCCATGATTGGAAATCAGTTGTAACATGTTGGAATCCAAATGATAAAAATCCACCAATTATAACACTTAACCCAGCCATTGAAACCCAAATACCTGTTCTTTGTAAATTTTCAGATTTACTATACCACATTGATGAAATAACAATAAGACCTGGTGATAATGAAGATTCAAAAATCCCTAATAATGTTCTAACAATCATAAGACTAGCATAAGTATGACAAGCTGAATGAGCAGCAACAACAATCCCCCATGAAACAATACAAAACGCTAAGAATTTACCAGTGGGTAGAACTTGTAAGAAATAATCAGCTAAAGGTTCTGCAAAGATATATGAAGCATAAAAAATTGTACCTAAATTAGCAAATTCATCACCTTTTAAATTCTTTTTAATACCCATAACACCAGCATAATTTAATAAATTCTTATCCAAGAATTGTAAGAAATAAGAACCACATAACACAGTCATAATTCTCCAATCTATTTTCCTGAGAAGTTTTTTGGGATATTTCTTGGATTGTTCTTCATCATCTAATAATGAAGTTTTCGTGTCTCGAAGAAACTTGATGGCTTCATCCTTATCGTTTCCTACTAAAGTCGTTGTTTCTGACTTGCTTTCCCTTGTATGGCTCAGCACTGGATCCTCCTTGTCTTCCTTTGTGAACATGGTGACTGGTGGATAATTCCCTTGCAAATGTACGTAATTAAGCTGATAAATACAATATAAAAGATCTCTTTCCCTAATTATATAAAATGAAAATCTTCATGATTTTTTGGTTTGTTGCCCTGTTGCTCGAAGTCTTTTGACACTTTTTGAAGTAAACAAAAGTAAACAAAAGTTAAGCAGAAAGTGTTATCGTTGACTGTTGTATGAAGAGGGTTTACTATGAGTGGTTATAGGTTATTTGGATGAAAAGTGTGTGATGATTTTGGGTGCTATATGGTTTTTTTTCTGGGATTTAAGTGGCAAAATACGGGTTCTTAAAGGTGATACTGGATGATGTTGATGATAACTGATACAAAGCTGATATTTCCTACAATTCAGTGGCATTCATTGGTTTTCCATTTGGTATTGCAATAAATCTACTACATTTAGTACTTCTGAGACATCATCATCTCGTTGTTTCTCTGGTGCTTTTTGTTTGGACTCAAATTTTCATTTTTGGGGCTTTTGTGTCATTGAAAATAAAAATGGTGATAGTAATTACAAATCTCAAAAATTTACATGTACTACTCTGGGAAGCAATATATGGCAGGAGCATGGGTTCAGCTATCTGAAAAATACATATAGGTTTGCTGCTGGTTAGGAGAGTTAGTTGTATGCTGATATGACCTTGGAGGATACCAATGGTGTACGTCAAGAAGGTGCTTCTTTAGTTGTTCTGCAGAGACAAACTTCAAATGATGGTCAATATGGAAGTCATGAAACTTATTCAGCTGATGCTCAATCTCAAATAGATTCTTTTGTTACTGCTCCTTCACCTTCAAAGAGATCAATTGTTTCTAAAACTCCCACTGTTTCAAATTTAGGTCTTCCTCAAGCCTTTTCTCTGATAAATTCAGGAATTAATACTTCACAATATATTACAGCTAAATCAACATTATCACAATTAAGAAATCAACCATCTATTACAGCAAGACCCAATCTCCAAACACCAATGAAAACTGTACATAATAAAGAACATATATTAATGTTTGATTCAAATTCATATGATGCTGATGATGATTTTACAATTAAAGATAAACTTCAAGATGATATAGATATAAATGAAATTACACATGAACCTCCATTTCTGCCTGCAACTCATAGTTATGCAAGATTTGGCAAATCAACTTTAAGACAAACCATTATCGCAAGACAATCAAATAGAATGGTTCCGTTACAGGATCGTCTTACAGATCATATGGAGGAACAAATGATTAGATGGAGAGCTCCACAATCATCTTATCAAGCTGAAGATATATTGAGTGGGAATCATCCTTATCAAAAAACTGAACTTGAAAATCATGAGATTATTAAAGATGGAACTTTAACATCTGATCCAGAATCTGCTCTAAATCCAAGTAATATAAGTACAGATAGTGCAGTTAATAGTATTGCAAAATCTCCATTTGTGAATGTTGATTTTAAAACAGGTGCTTCATTAGTTAGAAATCATAGAGTACGAGAAACTTTCCGTGAACATAATGATCTTCCAATAAATTCTAAAAAAGAGGCTAAAACAGAAGTAATTGAAGTCAATGATGATCAAGATGGTGATGATAATTATAATGCTGATAGTGGTTCAATTCAAGAAAGTTTAAGATTTAATCTGCATAGTGACGAACAAAAATCTGCATCTGCATCTTCTTCAATTATTAGAAAATTAAATCAAAATTCAACTAGTGATGATGATGAAAAAGATCCAGGTCTTGAATTAGCACGTTGTCCTGGTGGGATACCAACTTCAGGTAGAACTATTGATGCTGAACAATTGAATCGTGAAGATTTAGAAAGATTAGCTAAAGATGATCCCGAACCTTTAAATCTGTTACAATTTGATCAAAATCCAAATGATCCACCAAATCCATATGATAATGATGATCATGATCAAGGATGTTGGGATGCCTTTTTGGAAGCTTGTCAAGATGTTTGGAAAGAATGTATTGATATATGTACTTGTAATTGTACATGTGATGAAGATTTAGATCCAAGAATAAATCCATACTCTATCAATCCACCATAAGTTAATTCGTGTTTTCAAGTTTTTATAGTTTTTAATGTTACATTGTGTTTTTAATTAGTCTAATATACTTACTTTAGTCTTATACGTTCAATGTAAAAGTTAAATTAAACTAATTTTTTATTACTTTCAATGATTATTATATGACAAAACAACTCTAACGGTCAACGTGTGAAAAAAAAAATGATAACATATATACTAAACAAACAAATTCCTATAAGAAATCATGCTTTATATAATCTATTCGCTTGCTTCAGCAAATCTTTCAGAAATTGATGAAACTAATTTTTCAAATTCTTCTTTACCAGCAGCTTCACCTTTTGAAGGTTCAAAGAATTTAGCAGAAGAAACAGAATGTTTAACATCTGAAGTTTGTTCAGATAATTTAGACCAATTAGCACCATTTGCAACAGCTTTTTGAGCTTCATCATAATAACCAACAAAAGCTCTCATCATATCAAAAGTTTTCCAAACTGGACAGAATTGATCATAAGTTGAATAACCATTTTGTTGCAAGAAATCTTCTTTAATTAAATTTGCAACATCTAATGTAATTTTATCAGAATCTGAAAGAGCAGTTTTACCAACTAATTGAACAACTTGTTCTAATTCTTCTGCATTTGATAAAATTTCTCTAATCTTATCTCTTAATGATGGGAATTCTGGATAATTATCATCATAATATTTATTTAAAACATTAGTATATTTAGAATAAGAAACTGATGTGTTAATTGAAGGGAAATGTTTTCTTTGAGCTAATTTTTTATCTAAACCCCAGAAAACTTGTGTAATACCTAAGGTTGATGTTGTAACAGGATCTGAGAAATCACCACCAGCTGGTGAAACAGCAGCAACAATAGAAACTGAACCAACACGATTTGGTGAACCTAATGCAGTTGCCTTACCGGCTCTTTCATAAAATGAAGCTAATTTAGCACCTAAATAAGCTGGGAAACCTTGATCAGCAGGCATTTCACCAAGACGACCTGAAATTTCTCTTAAAGCTTCAGCCCATCTTGATGATGAATCAGCAATCATTGCAACGTTTTTACCTTGATCTCTGAAATATTCAGCTAATGTAATACCAGTATAAATAGAAGCTTCTCTTGCTGCAACAGGCATATTTGAAGTATTTGCAACTAATGTAGTACGTTTCATAATTGGTTCTTTACTACCTGAAATTTCAGTATATAATTCTGGGAATTCCATTAAAACTTCTGCCATTTCATTACCTCTTTCACCTATTTGATATTTTGTTAGTAAATTGTACCAAGGAATAGAAAGATCTAATTGAAAGTTTTCATTGTTGAGTAATTATCTTCATTCTCGTTATTAATATTACCAAAACCACCTCAACAAGAAAATCATCAACATTTTGACTCGAGAATACTTACCACAACCAACATAAATAATTGCATCTGAATTTGAAAATTTTGATAAAGATTGAGAAATAACAGTTTTACCACAACCAAAAGCACCTGGAATACATGTAGTACCACCTTGAACAACTGGGAATAAAGAATCTAAAACTCTTTGACCAGTTAATAATGGATAATCAGCAGATAATTTTTCAGCAACTGGTCTTGGAACACGAACTGGCCATGTATGATACATTGAATAATTATGTTTAACACCATCAAATTCTAATTCTAAAATTGGTTCATCAATGTTATAAGAACCAGCTTCTGCAATAGAAGTAATTGTACCTCTTGCTCTTGGTGGTAATAAAATTTTATGATCATTTAATAAAGAATTTTCAAAAATTGAACCAAAGATATCACCTCCACTAATATGATCACCAACTTTTAATTGACCTGGTTTAAAATCATATTCAATAGATCTTGATAAGGCTGGAGCATCAATACCTCTTGGAATATAAATAGATTGTGATTGATCTTTAATAGTTTTCAAAGGTCTTTGAATACCATCATAAATAGTTTCCATTAAACCTGGACCTAATTCAACAGATAAAGGTTTACCAGTTCTTAAAACAGGATCACCAACAGTAACACCTGCAGTTTCTTCATAAACTTGAATAGTTGCCTTATCAGCGTCAATTCTAATAACTTCACCAACCAAGTTATCATGACCAACTTTAACTAATTCATACATCGCACAACCAATCATATTTTCAGCAATAACAACAGGACCTGAAACTGAATAAATTGAACCATATTCAGATTCTTTATGATCTTCTAATGAGATTCTTTTAATCTCTTTACGAGCATTTTCAAGAGCACCGGCCTATTTAATATCTGTTAGTAAAATGAACCAAGGAACGAAGATCTAGAACTCATGATTGAAAGTTTTCATTGTTGATAATCATCATCATTCTCGTTATCAATATCACCAACAAGAAAACCATCAACATTTTGACTCGAGGAAACATACCATTCTTGCGTTCTAATTTTCTCTTTTCTTTGGATATTTCAAAAAATAAGAACAGTCAGCTCAGTAACAACAATTGCAATTAACTGAGAAATCCAATTGAAACCTGATTCTTCTTAGTTATCTATCCATAGATTAGGGGGCCACGGTGAGCATTAATAACAATTTCAAATTTACTACGCAAAATTCGCGAAAAGAGGCTGCCAGCTTTTTTTGCTTATGTAAGGATGGTCTCTTAACTATGGTGAAATGTAATAAACTGGGATTTAATGGGTGAAGATGAAGGTTATTTGAGGTGAAAATGGGTTAGTGATGTTTACAGAGAGTTTTAGATACTATTTATGCTTTTAAATATTCAATTTCTCAAAGTTCTGGCTCAATTGTGTCGCTTTTGATGGGTTTTGTACCCAGAAGACCTTTGCAAAAAACTGTCAATTTGGATCATCACCATACTAAAAAACACAAAAGCAAACAAGTTTTTAGAGTATTGGGAGTCTGTTAATTGGCTTGAAAGTATGTATATGTGTTTACGTTGGCGAGAAGGGTATACTATATTATTTTTTTGGGCTTCAAAATGAGTTTTTTTGTAGAGATTTATGCTTTTCCAATAATCAAGATCTCATCGTCGGTTATTTCAACTCACCAAAAGACGCCAGAAGTCCTATGATCTCATGATGTCCCAAATTCCTATTGTATGTGGATCTATTCTACTCATTTACAATTCTCTACAACCTGTTTTTAAAAATATACAACGAATCATATATTTATAGATTTAAAAATGAAAATCAATCAAAAGTTAAAAACTCCCAATCTCAAAACATTTATAGACTATAAGCTTAATAAGAACCAGCATCATAAAAATTGATAACCATTTAATAAAGTTAAATATAATAAAACCATCAATTAAAAAATCTTAATTTCAAGAACAGCAACTTCAAATATTATCTACCATAAAACATCTTCAACAATTGTAAACTCAACCATCAGTAGCAACAAATTTCCTAATCAATAGCTTCTTCAACTATATTCAATAAAAAATCAATCCGCTTATTTGGATCTGGCTCTAACCTTCCGTCTCTTTCTCTTAAGTCTTCTGACTCTCTTCTTTCTCCATTTATTACGCATTTCTATGAAATTTGTTAGTAAAATGGATCTTTTGTACTTTGTTTAAATCAATTGAATTGATGGTAATGAATTTCTATTCCATTTTCCAATTGATTTTCATGTTTTAATATTTCAATAATACATACTGCAATGATTTGTTCAATACGAGTTATAGAATTAAGAAATTGTAAAAAGAAGTTGGTAAAATCAATGATTGAATTTTCAAATTTCAATACGTTCAAAGAATGATTGAGAGTTGCGCTCAATACACCTCGGAACTGGGGTAACCCCCTTTCTTCGCGAATTATCTTTTTCAGTGTGACACTCATACAAAATTACATAGTTAAGGAATTTTGAGTTCCGACTTTCCATTATGGGATGTTCGGATGTTTAGGGCTTATCATGTGACTAGATATTAGGGCTAATCGTATTTGTTAATTAGGGTTTTACTATTAAATATAATTATATTCTACAAATAATACATGATTTAACCATATTATAAAGTCGATTATTATAATACATCTTATACTTATATACATTATCTCTTATGGTTTTGATTCCAGAGCTTCTTTTTCTTGTTTTAATGCTTTTAATAAATGAGCTTTGGCATCATCAATTTCAAAAGTTTTAACTAAATCATTAATAATTTCTTCATTAAGTAAAATATCATTTGTTTTATCTTGTTTTGAATATATTTGATCTAATATTTCATGATCTAAAAATGATAAATCACCTCTTTTGGCAATTTGTTCTAAATGTTCAGCACCTAAAAATGCTTTTAAATTACAATATAATCTATAAGCTAAATAAAAACCTGGAATATTTGGAATCACAGGGACAAGCATAAATGGTAAAGAGATTGGAATACCAATACCATTTAAAATCATTTGTTTTTTATGATAAGTTTGACCTTTTGATGATAAAGTTAATAATTCATTTTTTAATTGAGTTGATGACATTAATGATCCGGGGTAATAAACTGGAATATTTAATAAATTTTCACCTTTATTATTTAATTCAATATCTGTATCATTTAGTAATAATATACTTGGTTTAGAATCTGGTTTATTATCATCTTTGTTGTTTTCTTCAAAAGCTTGTCTAAGTATAGTAGCTTTTGATGGGATTGAAATTAATGAATTTTCAGACCATGGAGTTCTTTCCAAGAATTTTTCAACATAATGAACAATTTTTTGATTATAAGATTTATCAGAATCTTTTAATCTTGTCCAACCTTTTAATGCAATATTTGATAATTTATTTTCATATTTAACAATTAATGAATCATTATTAATTAAATTTTCATTAAATTTAAAATGAATATATGATTTATTTTGAGTTATAGGTATCACTAAAATCTTTGCTAAATCTGAAACAGGTGATGATTTTGAAGTTGTTGATAGGAAACGTCTTGATCTTATGATATTCATGATTATATATATGTGTGATATGTATGATTATTTGAATTGATTGATAAGGAAATGAGTATAATTGCTATTGTCTTTTGCCTCTAAATGATGATCCTAAAATAATAGAACTAAAAGGGTATTCAAACTTTGAAATAATTTGAAATCTTCGAGAAACCAACTAATATGAACCTAAGGAATAACTGAAACTATTTATATATCTTCTAAAACCAATATATAATGTAATAAATTTCAATATGATTTATAAATATTTAGTTATCAAGCAAATTTCCAACCCGATAAATTTTCGGATTTAATTCTTCAACTGGCGCAGTCAAAAAAAGAATGATTCTTACTAAAATTCAATGCAAATGAATGAAATTTTGGTGGAACATAGTGACATATTTGACATATTTGACCGTTAAATGGAACTCTTGACGATGTATTTATGCTGTGTAATATTCGATAGTTTATTTAGATCATTTGGTGGGGGTTTACGTGGTGGCTTATTGATTTTTGGTAAGGCAGGATCTCGTCATTATTTGGTAATTAACCATTGAATAAGCCTATGATGATACTAATATTGGGTTTATTCAAGTTAAATTATTACAATTATTTATCAGTAATTGATCATTCAATCATCTACACTGCTACACCTCTACTCCTGTCGTTCTACCATCGTTCAAACTCCCCCCCTCTAACATCTAATCTCACGAGTACAAAAGATTTCTCGAGAGTTTAAATTTTGTGTCACTAATCCCCTGCCTAAACCTTCTGCCTAAACTCTGCCTAGTCCGCCTAGGGTCTACCTATCCCCCTGCCCAACTCCCACCAAAAGACCCTTTTTCTGTTTGTGTAGCAACTTTTGTGAAACTGACGATCGTTTGTGCCAAAAATGAGAACTGAAATGGGACAAAAATCACAACGTAAACAAACTGAATGAAAGCTCGAAAACTCTCAACAAGCACATTCAACAAAGCTACTATTCTCACCAAAAGCATTCCACTGCTAACATCTGTGCTGATAACTGATACCCCTGCTATTTCTTTCCCTCGTTTATATCCATTATTTCTTTCTTTCTTTTTTTGCTGCTTTAGCTATTTATTGTTACAATTATTACAGATAAGAATCTATACATATAAACATTTCAAGAAAGGTATATCTACACAATGTCATCAAATCAACGTTATAAAAACCATAATGATATAGAAGCACAAAATCAAAATAATCAATTACCTATAGTTCAAGTTGATACTGTTGGAGATGATGAAAATATTTCAAATTTAACAAAAGCTCATTTAAATCCTAAAATTAAACCAAATATTAATTCTCAATTAAATTCATCAAATCCTTATAGTCAAATAAGTAATTATTCACATGAGGCAACCACAGTACCACCTTATGTTCTTTATGGGATTGCCAATTCTTCAAAACCTCAAGACTCTAGGAAAACTTATGATAATACTGCTCATATTGGTCAAACTGTTCAAGATCCATTTATTTCTTCATTAAATAATAATTGGGGTACTTTTTTCCAAACTGTTAATAATACTCCATCTTATGCTGAAGGTATTTTAAATCATGATAAAGAAGCTTTGAAAAATTTACCTGATTTATCTGGGAAATGGGGTGGTGATGAAAGATTAAGACATTATTTGAATAATGAAAATTTTAATAATGATGATGCAACTTTAAATGAAAAGAAAAATTGGTATTCAAAATCAAGTAATAAATCTTCTGCTTCTTCATCTGATAGTAATGATTATTTAAAAACAAGATCAAAAGCTGGTTATTGGATGTCGACTGATAGAAGAAGTGAATGGAAACCAACAATTAAAAGATTATTTTTATATAATAACTATATTCCATTAATTTTAAGAATTATTATAATCATTTTAAGTATTGTTGCATTGGCTTTATCAACAAGTATATTTAGACAATCAAGAAAAAATTTCAAATTATCAAGTGATGATGGTGAAAGTACTTTAACTCAACAACCAAGTACTATAATGGCAATTTGTGTTCAATCTATTGCAATGGTTTATTTGATTTATATCTCATATGATGAATTTAATGCAAGACCTTTAGGTATTAGAAATCCACTGGAAAAAATTAGATTAATTCTTTTAGATTTATTATTTATTATTTTTTCAAGTGCAAATTTATCTTTAGCTTTTAATACTTATTATGATGCAAGATGGGTTTGTTCTGTTGATGAATTATCAAGATATTTAAGAGTTGATTCTATTTGTGATAAACAAAGAGCTTTAAGTGCTTTTCTTTTCATGGTTTTAGTTATGTGGGTTGCAACTTTTACTGTTAGTATTTTAAGAGTTGTTGAAAGAGTTTCTTCACCAAGTTGAATTACAAATAATTTTTAAAAAGTTATGTGTTATGATTAAAAAAAAAGGAATTTATAAAGTTTATCAATCTATATATATATATATAATGTCTAATACATTATTATTCTATGTTTCAATAATTGACGTAGTTGTTTATAATTCTGATGGCTTTAATGTTCTTATACAATGGTTTGTTTCTAAATGATTAATCAAATCATTCCATACTGAATCACCTTGTTTCATACATGATTTATTACCAACAATTGTTAAACTATTCTTTGCTCTTGTTAATGCAACATTTAATCTTCTTAAATCTTTAACAAATCCAATTTTATTAAATTCATTTGATCGAACACATGAAAAAATTATATGATTTTTTTCACGACCTTGGAAAGCATCAATTGAACTAATCATTAATCCACATATAGTTTTAATACTTGATGGTTTTTTAAATTGTGAATTATTTGAATGATTAAAATCATCATCAATTTCTTCTTGAATTTTTTCAAAATTTGGATTTATTTTTCTATCATTTCTAATTAATTGTGCTATAATATCTCTTTGTGATGAATATGGAGTTATTATACCAATATCTTTAAGGTTTATTCCACCTTTATGATTTAATTCATAAATAAGTTTTAATATTAAATTAGCTTCTCCAATATTTTGATATGAAGATATATTACCACTATTAATTAAAAATTTTATAGGATTTTTTAATGATTGAGTTTCTTTATAATGATCACCATAATCTATGAATAACAATGGTGGGATACCAAAAGTTGTTCTATCTTGTTCAGTAACACCATCAATTAATTTATTTTCATAAAATTTTATATTTGGGAATTTTGAAATTTTAGGATTCATTCTATATTGAATTTGTAACATATTTGGATTAAAATAAGTACCATTTTTTAACACTCTTTCAAATAATGATTGTTCTAAATATGGAATATCATTAAATGAACTTAATTGTTTTTCATCACCAACTAAAAGAATTTTTTCAAGGCCTTTAAGTGACAATGGAACTAAAGTTGATGCTTCATTTGATTGTGTACTTTCATCCATAATTAAAATTGGAATTTTGTCAAGATGTCTTAAATGTGGACCACCTGCAGTAATTGTTGTTGTCAATATTACTTTAGCTGAATTCACCAATTTATCTGTTTCTTTGATTTGAAGCTTCGTAAGAGCAAAAAATTCATTTTTATTTATTTGACGTCTATCCATTTTAAAATCCAGATATAAATCTTGTTTTTCCGTTGGTAAATTATCAAAAACTTTTCTATGCAAGCAAATTGGGTTTAAATGATGTCTTTCATTGTATTCAGATTCTTTAGCAGTGGATAAAATTCTAAGTATTTCTAGATCTTTATTTTTCATTAATTTTTCTGCAATATTATCAATTGCAACATTTGAAGCTGCAACCACCAAGATTGGATATGTATCTTTTACAAGTTGTAATATAAGTTCATTAATTGTAGACGTTTTACCCGTTCCAGGTGGACCTTGTAATATAGTGATTGGATTATCCAAAACTTGATTAATGGCAATCAATTGTGGGTTATTCAATTTTGTTGTAGTTGGGTATTTTAAAGGTCTTAAAGTTTTATTTGTTTGGTTTAATAAATTTTTCCCCAACAACATATTTTGGAAAAACGGATTGTTTTGATTCGTCATGGAAGTGATAATTCTTGAAGTTGGTGGTGAAGCTGGAGTAAAAGAAATTATGTTCAGATCCATAAAAGTTTTTGAATTATTCCAGCTCTGTAATTGTAAAGTTAATTCAATTTGTATTTTGATATTATTTTCTCTAATTAATTTCAAGCGCATCACAAAGGATTCCCATAAAATTGATTTTCCATTTTCAGCAGTAACTAAAAAGATGGATTGATGTTTGCTAAAAGGTGTATCACGTATTTGCCTAAATTTTGAATAAATAAGCTTGTCAATGTCATCAGTATATGGAATGAACAATGTAACTCGATTTGGAAATCCAGGATACCATTCGGTGATGAAGTTAGTCATTGGTGCTGTTTCAATTGATTCCTCCAAGTAAAGATTATAGCACATTTCTTTATAGTATCTACCCAATGATTCATATGAAAGTTTAGGTTTGGCTTTTTGGTATTTTGATTTATGTTCATATTCTTCAGATGATTCATTATTTTTTGATTTATTGTTAGATTCTGTTGGTGATTCAATCTTTTTTAGTGGATTTGTAAGTTCAGTCAGCTTTATGGATTCTTTATTGATGGAGTTTTCGTTGTTTTCAGAAATTTTTGGGGGATTTTTCAATTCTTTTGAAGTATTTTTACTTGCTTTAATGACCTTTCTTCTGGTATTCAATAATTGTGTCAAATATCTGCTTTTAACATTACTCTGAGATTCCTTACCATACAGGCTCAGATCTTTAAATTTTGATATAAGCTCTGAAATATCTTGATCTCTTTGTTCTTTTGTTGGTTGAAAGTTGTGATGCATATCAAGTACATTATAATATTCATCAACTTCAACGAAGATACCCTTATTGTTTAAATTGTATTTCACAAAAGGTTTCAATCCACTTCTTGTCAAACATTTCTTGCATGTCATTAATAATTCACCTTGATCAAATTTTGACATCGTTAACTCATTGATATTTGCTTGTTGACACATTTCACAGGCAAGAACTTTCTTTGAATCAAGATACATAATATATAAATGCTCTTGTTGATTCAAATGTTGGATCATTTCAGGACCTTTCGAAACAAAAGAGCATGTACAACACATAAGTTCACCATCACCATTTTCAGTTACCAAATCTGGAATCTTTTCTTGTATAACTAATTCTTTTTCAATAAAATTGAGTTCTGACTCTGGAATAACTTCTTGGACCTTTTGAGTCTCTTCATTTTGACTATCACGCGCGTTGTCTCTTGTCTTGGGTTTCCCTAAAGACTTTTCTAAAGACTCCTTGCTGTCCTTCCTAATCTTGACCTGTTCATCATCATAATCATTTCCTATAGTTGCACATCCATCACAAACAGCATATTGAAGATCAGGAGGATAAATACTCAAATCAGTCTTTGAACAGCGGAAGACACAGCATAATCCACGGTATTTAACATAATCTTCAAAGCTTTCAAGTATATCATTATTCTTTAAGGTGGAACGATGAGATGGAGTTATACCCTCATTGATCAAACAATTCCCACAAATCAAAAGCATACCTTCAGCTATTGTAACTGTCAAGCAATTTATGTTCGAATCATCACATATTTCACAGGCTAAAGTTTCTTGAGTTTCAAAACATTTGACACTATCATGATTTGTTGATTTAAGATGTTTCACCATTTCCAGGCCTTCTGAGTAGAATGAGCACTCATTACACACAAACCCAGCCATATTTATCAGTTTAAAGTCTCAACACTGAACCGCCCTTCTAAAAAGCATTGTAATAGTAATTGGTAAAAGATCAAAAATATTCTGAATCATTTTGATATATCCATCGGAATGTATTTTACGGCGGCTATTTGCAAAACCCTTTTCTGTGTAAGCAGTAGCTATAGTAGCTTCATCACCAAGATTCCATACTAAGTCTGACGTACCACCAAATCATCAACGTTGACGATGTAATCACCTTTAAAAACAACATCGCAAATCACAAATCACAAATCACAAATATCACAATAGCCTCTCCAGATCTTTCAAATTCATGTAGTCATAATGAGTTTCTTCACTCACATTCCAAGGGTAATGGGTATGGAATGTACACTTCTACCACCAATTCTTAATTGTTCACTCTGTGTGTGGTGTTTTTACCTTTTTACCTCATGGAGGGTTCTTTGTGTATAAGACTTTTTGATTTAAATCAATTAATTGATCTAAGTTCGGTAAGGACCACAACATCGGTATCAAATTAACCTCTAAGAAATCAGAACTTTTATATGATAACTAGTAAGTTTTATTACATTTTATAGATTATTTTGGTTTATTCATTTAACTTATGTATTTTTGAAGCTCAATTTCAAGTTCATTCGAAATTTTCAATATTTTCAATAATTTAAATATTAAATCAAATATAAAATTTTGGATATCGACAAATTTTACAAAAATTAAAAACATGAAAATTCATGAACTAGCTTAATGGGCTAAATAATAGTTCTATAATTATCTTTAGCTTTTAAAAATAATATAGTGACTCTCATAATTCCCAAAATCTCCTTTTAAAGTACAAAAATTGGCGCCGACGGTTTTTAACAAAATTTTTAAATTGCATTCCTTCAATAACACCCCATTTTCAAAGTTCATAATTCGGCCGTGTGGTCTAGTGGTATGATACTCGCTTTGGGCGAAGGTTGGGTTCACTCAACCTAATATCCACAAGCATGCGAGTGGCCCAGGGTTCAATTCCCTGCTCGGCCCAATTATTTTTTTGCACATGTTCCTTGATTTTGATAAGGGACACACAGAAACACTTCTCCGCGAATTTCGGCTATAATATTGATATTACGGTGGTAAATTTCTCAAATATCGTTAATTTATTATACGTTGAAGGATTTGAAATTTATTGGGTGTTGTTAAGTGTGTGAATCGCTACAATTACTTCATGTTAATAAAGATAGAGATAGAAGGAAAGCATAATGTCTGATCATATTTCACCAGCAGATCAAGAAAAATTGGATCAATTCCAATCAATAACGGCTTTTAAAGATGAAGAATATGATAAAGTTGTTGCTTTATTAAAGAATAATTGGTGGAATCTTGAAGTTGCATTATCAAAATATTTCGATGGTGATTTGGATAGAGAAGCTGCTCGTACACCACCACCAACTGAATCAAGTACACAACCTATAACAACTCATGGTTCAACAGATCAATTCGCCACTCAAGGAGGTTTTAATGAAGATGATTTTTGGTCACAATTGAATAATACTAATAATCAAACTCCAAATCAACTATTAGCTTCAAATGGTATGTTACCTCAATTACCAATAATGAGACCTTTATCAAATAAGTGGAAACATCAACCTGGTTTAAATATATCAACAAGTCAAAATTTATGGAATCAATTTGCAAATTCACCAATATTATTCATATTATTATTAATTCCAAGAACTCTGACATTATTATTCACATCTATAGGATGGCTTTTCAGTTTTATTTTCCCTTCATCACCAGATTATGTTCCTGAAAAACCAACTTTAGAAAGTTTTGATTTTACAAATTATTATGAAACTATATTAGCTGATAAATCTGATATAAATTTCCATCAGGGGGATTTTAATGATGCATTTTTCCAAGCTAAATCTGAAACAAAATTTCTTTTAACTATATTAATTGGTAATAATGAAGCTTCAAATTTATTTTTAAAAAAAATTTTGAGTAATTCCATCGTTTCAAATTTTATAAGAGAAGAACATATCATTGTATATGCTGGTAATGTCAATGAAATTCAATCTTATGAATTAGCCAAAAATTTGAAAACTATAGTTACACCATCTGTTTATTTAATTGGTAATGTTGCAAGTGGACCAAATGCTATAGCAAGTATGTCAATATTATCAAGAATTCCAATTAAATCAACAAATGTTTTCATTAATAAATTACGTCGTGAAGTTGAAAAATATAAACCAGAATTTATAACAAGGAAAATTGAACAAGATGAATTAAATTATTCAAGACAAATTAAAGAATTACAAGATCAAGCATATCAAGAATCTTTAATTGCAGATAAAATTAAACAAGAACAAAAAGAATTAGCTAAAAAACAAGAATTACAAAAACAAAAAGATGAAATTTTTCAAAAAGAAAATAAATTAAAATTTTTAAGTTCTTTACAAAATTTTTTTAATGATGATTTAAATTCATTACCAAAAGGTGATTTTACAAATATAAGATTTAAATTACCATCAGGTGAACATATAATGCAAAGATTTTCTAAAACTCATTCAGTTTATGATATTTATTCATTTATTGAATTAAAATTATATTTAAAATCATTATCAGAAGATGAATTATCAAAATTCCAAACACATCCAATTGATTATCATGAAAATTATAAACATGATTTTAAATTTGAATTAATTTCACCATTTCCTCGGTTTGTTGTCCCTTTGGAACAAGATAAATTGGTTCAAAATGTTGATCAATTATGGCCAAATGGTAGTTTATTAATTGAATATCTTGAAGATAATGATGATGAAGATGACGAATGATCTACATACTACAAAATCTAAACTACATTTCAATTCTTTCATAAGGTTTTTTATTTCCTAAAAATGCATCATGATCATCATATATTAATATCATTAATCTTTAATTAATTCCCTATGTTTTTCTCAAATTATTTGTAGTTTACATAATTATTAACGATTTAAATGCGGTGGAACTCTATCATCATTATTAAATTTTGGTGGGGTTAATTCAATTTTTTCAATTTCTTGTTTTGCATCTTCCCAAGCTTTTAAATTATCTTGTAACCAAATTAATAAACTTTCAGTATATTCAATCATAATTTCTTTCCATTTAGAATTATAATAAGTTAAAACTGAATTTGTACTTTTTTCAATTGCATTATTAACTTGATAAAGATCTTTAACCACAATTTTTAAACATTCATTTAATTTTAAAATTTCAGATTGAATTTTTTCAATTTCTAAATTTCTTTGTGATTCATTCATCATTGAAACATCATTTTTATTTGTCTTCCCCGAGAAGATTCTCGTCCATGGAGAAATTTTATTTATTGATTCACCTTCTTCTAATCTTTTAATTGCAGCTGCAATAGTTGGTGATTGTTCTGCATTTTTTTTCAAAACTTCTTCTAATCTATTTGCTTGTTCTTGAGCATTTTGTAAAATATCAATTCGTTGTTTTCTTCTCTTTATTGTAGTATCAATAATAAATAATTGAACTTCTTTTAATTTTCTAAAATTTAAAACATTAAGAGTTTCATTTGCAAATTGATTAATTTCTAATATTGGTTCTTCTAAAGATGTTAAGATTTTAAATGCAAATGCTTCAGAATTTATAAAATTCATATCAATTGCTCTACCTGTAACTTCAATCCCTTGAGATAAATCATGATTATCTTCTAAACTGAAAGCATTATAATAAGCACCTAATTCACCCAGATCTTTAACAAGTCCTTTAAAATGACGTTTTTGCTTTTTAACAATTTGTGATAATGGTAAAGTTGAAGATTTATAAAGTTTAAATAAATGTTCATATTCTTTAAAATTTTGATAATTTTCTAAATCTTCATCTCTTGGTTTAAAATGATTTATAGTACCTGATTGTGGAATTGGTAATAATAAATGTAATGGACTTGGTTTTGAAGGTGCTAATGGTGGAGCTAAAAGATTTGAAGTTGGAATTATTGAAACTGGTGGAGAATTTAAAACTTCAATCCATGAAATTTTAGGATCCAAGAATTTAATCCAAACTATTGAATTTTTAATCTCTTGGATTTTCAAACATCCATTAAGGAAATGTGTCAACATCCTTTTCCTTTTTTCAATAATTTTCAAATCATTTTTAGCATTTATTGGGTTCAAGAAATATTTAACAACAGAATGCTTTGCAGGGATTGGAGGTATCACAATTGTAGGAAACAATTTCACTAATGAAGCTCTTAAACTATCAAATTCCGAATATCTTCTCCTTACTTCCAATTCATTATTATAATTAATTGTATATGCAATAACTTTATTACCTTTCATATCACGTATATGACCAGCATCCGTGATTGTAATGAATTCACCAGCTTGATTATTGATTCCTTCTTGATCTTCTTCATCACTATCAAATTGTGATCTATAATAACCTGGTACTTGATCGTCAGACTCTTCACTTATATCATTATCAACTTCACCTTCACCGTTATCAACATCACCTTCATTCTGCTCAACAGGATCTTGTTCATTGATAGAATATTGTAATGAAGAGCTCCTCACACGTTCTCCCTGTTCTCCCTGGATCTCACCCACCTGTTCCTCCCTGAACCCATTTTCTTCAGCATTAAACCCCTGATCATCACCAAATATCAAAGAAGACGATTGTAATTCTGGAGGCAAAGAAGCATCTCGTTCATGATGAATCCCACTGGCAAACAAATGATCACTGCCTGCGAACGGATTGTTGTCCTCGTCGTGGAAGGAATCCATTGTGAATTGTCTGCCTAAGTTCCTTTTGTTCTGAGTTGTTCTGTTTGAATTCCCTTTTGAATTGTTCTATTTTGAATTATTTCTAAAATCCATTTTTCGGAAATTTAGAAATTAAAATTCAAAAAATCAAAATCAAAACATCAACAAAAAAACAACTAGATCACATCAAAACAATCCAATAAAACCATACAATGAGTGACAATAAACGTATGTTTGACATCAGATTTGAAATCTAGAGGTCCATTTCCACTAACATTGTTTTTCCAGCGGTCTTAAAAGCTCAGGATATGGTAAGTTTGAAATCTATATAACCATAAATCAAATCAACACTAACAACCTTTAAAAGCCTGAAGATGTCCAATCATTAGTTTTCGATTTAGCATCAAAAGCATTAGAACAATACAGTGTGGAAAAAGACATTGCAACTTTCTTGAAAAAAAAATTAGATGAAAAAATTGGTCATACATGGCATGTTATAGTTGGTAAAAATTTTGGTAGTTATGTTACTCATGAACAAGGTAATTTTATTTATTTTTATATTGGTCCTTTAGCCTTCTTGATATTTAAAACTAGTTAAGTAAAGTGGTGGTAGTGGTGGTGCTTTGTGGCTACGATATATGATGCAAAATAATTGAATATATGTGTATTTTTATGAGTTGTATGGAATTGTAGGAGATGGTGTATTTTAATGAGTTGTATACAATTGTAGGAGATGGTACTTTTTATTCAATTATTATACCATTGGAAATTGGATCAAATTTAATTAAATCATCATCTAATTTCTTTTTAAAAATTTGATTCTTTGCAATTAACTCATCATGTTTTTTCATAACTTCATTATAATCATTATTCAATATTGAATCATTAAAAATTGAATTCATTAAAGTATTTAAATTTTTCTCCATAGTAAAATTCAAATCATTTAAATTTTCAAATTTATTTTTAATTAATTCATATTTATTTGTTTGATCATATAATCTATTTTCAAAAAATTTACTTAAATTTGTTATATTATTAATTAATTCATCTTGACCTTTTTGAGAATTTAATGAATTTGTTAATTTTTCAATTTCAACTTTTAGATTCATTAATTCTTCTTCATTATTATTAGTTTGAACTTCATCAATATTTAATTTGGCATTTAATTTAACTTTTTTAGCAATAGTAGCATATCTTAATGTTGATAAAGTTTCTTCATAATCACAAGGTGATATACATGCAATCATTGCAGTTTTACTATTCCCACCTAAACTTTCTTTTAAAATCCAAGTTAATATAGAATCTCTATATGGTGGTTTTTGTCCATCAGATAATGCAGATATAACTCTTCCTAAAGTTGTTAAAGATTTATTTATTTGAGTACCTTCTTTTAATCTAACACCTGTGGCACCCGTGGAACTTGTTCTTTCAGACCCGGCAAGATCAACTAATCTTAAACATGATGATTTTTCTTTAATTAATTCTTCATTTGAATTAAATTCAGTTGTTCTAATATTTATTGTGAAAACTGCATGAGATCTTGAGGATTGGTCATTCATTTTGGTGGAAGCTGTTGTTCTATTTCCATTACCCATATCCATATATTTTTGGAAATCTTGATAAGATTCTATAGGGAATTCAATCAATTGATCAACATAAGGACCTGTCAATGGATTTTCTCTAACTCTAAGAGGTTTATCATTTTTCCCTAAAAGATCTTTAACTTGTTCATTATAAATTTCAAAATATGATACTTTAACCTGTGTTTTAATTTTAATATCCATCTTACTAATCTCTTGGAACAAATCATTACAAGTTCTTGGAATTATACCAGGATTTAATTCATTACCCATCATTGTAAATGATTTACCTGAACCTGTTTGACCATAAGCGAAAATACATGTATTATAACCATTCAAAGTATGATCCAGTATTTCTTTACCTATCAAATCATAAGTATCCAATTGTGATTTAAAATGTGGATCTGATTCATTTGTAGACCATATGGAATGATCAAATGTGAATATTTTATCATTATTATCATCAATATTAGCACCATTCTTTATAGGACTTGAAAATTCCATAGGATTTGGATTATGAAGTTGTGTGTTATTACCATTCATCTTGACAAGGATTTGAGAGTCCAGTTCAATTTCACGAGATAATTTGGGACGTACTCTGACAAGTACTTTAACATTTGATTTATCAACATTTTGATCTTTTGTATTTGATCTTATAGGAGAAGATGGAGAAGATGAAGTAGATGGAACTTGAGCCGGTGCTTTCAATTCTGGTATCTGATTCTTGTGATTCTGATTCTTTTTGGCCATTGTATTGTATTCTTTGTATTCTGTCAATGGTTTTTTAGTTGTTTTTAGTGGTTTCACATTCTTTTTGTTTTTGTTTTGATTTCGTTTGTTTACTTTTCAAAGAACTTCACGAAAATGAAAAACTCATACAAAACTCATACAAAAGATCAAGATCAAGACAATCAAAAGGTTTAAAAGACAATGGGCAGAACATCTACAATCTATCAATACGACAAAGACACTCGTCAACAAATACTAAACTACGGCTCTGATTCCACTTCTCATTTAATTTTCATTCATGGAGGTGCTTGGAGAGATCCAAATAATACTCATCATGATATCGATCAATTATTAAAATATTTACCACAAAATATTTCAATTTGGAGTATAGATTATAGATTGAGTCCACAAGTTAAACATCCAGTACATGAACAAGATGTTATTTTAGCCCTAGAGAAAATTCATCAATTGATTGAAGAAAAACATGGTTCTATAGAAGGACGAAAGATTAGTCTTATGGGTCATTCTGCTGGTGTAAGTTTAGCTCTAAGAACATTTGATCAAGTTCCAAAATTAAAAATTAATAAGTTAATCTTATTAGATGGGATTTATGATCTAACGAAATTAATTGAAGAATATCCAGACTATCAAGGCTTTGTAAATGAAGCATTTGATAATTATCAAGATGTAAGTTTCTTGACAAGTGATCAATTAAACAATGTTAATATTCATGTTTTCCAATCTTATAATGATGAATTATTATCCAAGACCCAAACTGAATGGTTTTTAGATCAATTACATCAAAAAGGGATTGATTATACTTATACTTTGGGAAATTTTGGAAAACATGAAGATGTTTATCAAAATGAAAAGATTGCATCGTATATAACATCATTGTATTAAAGAACAGACATAAGGTATGAAATTATTTATTTTGTATATTCTTTATTATATAGGTTATAATCTATTGAATCCAAATTTCTTTACCATTTGTTTCCATAAATTTACCTAATTTAACAACGTTTTCATCCCAATTAATTAATCTTTGTTTCATATTTTCAATTTGTTCTTTATTAATAATTCTTGGTTGAACCCAATTTATTGAAATTGATTGATTAATTTGATCAATTGAACCTTTTAATAAACCTAAACTTAAAGCTCTCATAACTAAATGTTCAACTTCATCAATTTGTAAATATGTAACTTTTGAAACTTCTTCAAATGTTATAGTTCTTATAGATTTACTGAAAACTAATTCAACTAATGTCATTAAACAAATTTTTTGTCTCAAAAAAGATTCTGAATTTTTCAAAATTGGAACTTTTTCTAAATTAACTAGGATTTTGGAAAAAGAATTAATTGAACCACTATTTAATGCATATAATAATTCAATAATCCATTGATATGAACCATTTTCAAGTGTTTTCAAAATTGGATGTGTTAATAATTCACCAAAATTATAAATTTTATCAGCTAATAATGCACTAATACTTAATTCATAAGCTAATTTTTGTTGTTCAACTAAAGTTAAATCTTCATTAATTTGTAAAGTTGATAAATATAATAAACTTTGATAATAAAAATTATTATAATCTGATTTAATTTTAAAATATTCTGAATTTGTTGAAAAAAATGATTGATTAATTTTTAAATCAATTGAATCAAATTTATCTAATTTCGAGGTAATATCATCTAAAAATTCTCTTGCTTCAATTTCTTTACCTAATCTTAAATTTAATCTTGCAATTTCTATATTAATGAAAATTAAAGCTTGTTCTTTATCAACATTATCTTGAGATTCTAAATCTTTTTGTAATGAAGTTAAATATTCCAAAGATTCATTTGAATTTTCTAAATTATTAATTGATAATAATAAAAATTGAACTAATTTTAATTGATTTATATTGGTTTTAAAATTTGAAATAAAATTATTATATAATCTTAATTTAATTTTATTTGATAATGGGTTTTTATAAAAAATATCTAATGATTCAGTTAATTGATGCCATAATTTACGTTGATATAAATCTTCAAAAGTATAAAATAATGGTGATAAATTTGGATCTGCTTCTGAACGTAAAGTTGCAAGTATTCCTGGGATGTCGTTATCAAATGAGGACATATTGTGATTGATCAATTGGGTTTAATTGAATTGAATTGAGGTGGTCTGATTAGTTTCAAATGTTGATGTTGTTCAATTGTTTTTGGTGGCAATTTGAATTTTCGATTTCTTGAATTTCTACAAAAATCGCGAAAACATTTGAACATGGGAAAATTGACAGACTGTGATTATGTAATCAATATAAGTAAATTAATTCAATTATGAATGATTTCTCATTTGATATTACTTCAAATCATTTGATCTAGTTATATATGTGCTCACTGGTTTCTTCTACATCACATCCCTTTTTAAATGACCTTTATATGAACATAACTAATACACATTGAAAAAAAAACCAAAAGCAATTATTCCCATTAATTCTAAACTTTTTATTTATATTCATCCTTATCTTTTCCAAGTTTATCTTTTTGGTTTAGAAAATTCAACTTGTAAAATCAATGAATGATAACCTCTACCATTAAGAGCTTCCATAGCTCTTTGAGCAGCAGATTCAGTATGGAATTGAACAAATGCCAAACCTTTAGATCTACCAGTTTCTCTATTTCTAACAATATTAACTCTTGCCAAAGGACCGAAATTAGCAAATAATTCATTTCTAATCATTTGTTCTGTAACGATTTCATTTAATTGAGAAACTCTTAATGTATTTGAATCATCACGATCTCCTCTCTTTTCAGGTTCAATACCTGCAGCTCTATTACGTATATGTAATGGAACATATTTACCTGCAGCAGCAGCACTTGCTGAAGCACCAGCAGCACCAGAAGCACCAGAATCTTCAGGAGCTGGAGAACCACTAGCACCACCACCAATAGCAGGATCACCACCAAGAGTTTCTTTATGAGGACATTTAGCAGTATAATGTGCACCACCACAAGTTCTACATTTAATACGTTGATAAGTATTAGTTTTAGCAGCTTCTTGAGCGGATTTTTCTTCTTCTTCTTTTTCTAATGCCTTCCATGCAGTACCTAATCTTAAATAAACAGGTTCACCAACTTGTGTAGTTCTAAAATCAGGACCAGGAGCAGCATTTTTTTCAGCTCCGAATTTTGCCCATTTTTTTCTTTTAGCAACTTCTTTATTAACAGTTTCTTTTACAATAACTTCTTTAACTTTTTGTGTTATTTTAACTTTTTTACCTTCAGTATTTAATCTAAATGAAGTTATAGTTTTAGTACCATCTGAATTTGTTTTCACTATTGGTTCTTGAGAATCTTGTGGTTCATCATCAGCCCATTGACTAATTTTTCTGGGAATGAATTGTTAGTAAATCAACAAAAAAAAAGACAAGCACAACAAAATCACCACTTACGGTTCTATATCAGTCATTTTCTCAAATCAACGTCTTAATTATAATAAAATCCCAATCAATTGTCACAATCTTTCAATTTCGACACTGTTAATATTTCAAATTTTTTATTTTTATTGAAATATTCGCGTTGAAAAGTCCGGGAAACCCTCTTAACTATGGTGGAGTTGGTAAACACAACATCTGTCATTTGTTTTACGTGTCATTTTATTATTATGTATACGGAATTGTTTTATACCCGTTGAAAAGTGTTTAGAATTATACCACGGTTGAGAATTTGAATGGTTGTTTAATTGTGTGTGTTTTTGCTTTATTGGTGGCGTATTGAAGAGTGTATTTGATTGTATACTGGGTTTATTTAAAAAAGATTTTACTATAGGCATAAAGGGTTCATAGGTTCAAAGGTTCATTTAGCATTCCTATTGTTACATATTTGAAAAAAAGCAAGGGTCCCATAATGACTGATAATTCTACATTAAGTGGATCATCTTACTTAAGTTCTTCACCTCCAACTTCAACAACTTCATCTGGTTCTTCCAAATTAAAGAAAAAGCTATTTAAAGGGTTATTTAGTGGTCATGGCCATGGTAATAATAGTTCTAATAATAGTTCAAATAGTGATCATCCAGGAAGAAATCGTTCTGCAACAACAAGTACAGAATTTTATCAAGATGATGAGGAATTTTCAAGTGAAGATGAAAAATCAATTGATTTAAATTCTTATTCTGCTACAATAACTCCATTATGTTTTAAACATAATTCAAAATCAAACAAGAGAGAAATTGCTAAAAATTTAACAGAAAAATTACAAATTATTGATGATGAAGATTTTGAAAAATATCTAATTCAACCAAAATATATTAAAAATTTTAGAAAATGTGTTAAACCTGCAATTATTTGTAAAAGATTATTTCTTGCTCAAGAATTAAATCAAAATGATAACAATAATCCAAGTGATCCAAGTACTCCAGATTTAGTTGTTGATGAATTTATAAAATCTGATGGATTCCAAAATGATACTGATCAAAATGATTCACCTAAAAAGGCAATTTATGCAATGAAGTTTAGTCCAGATGGGAAATTTTTAGCAAGTGCTGGGAAAGGTAATATTATCAAGATTTGGAAAGTTATTGCATCACCATTAGATAGAATGGAACAAAGTAGTACACCATCTACCAATGGATTTCAAGGTTTAAATTTAAATGATTTAGAAAATGATCATGATACCAAAAAGACAATGTATGCATCAGTTTTCCAAGATGTTCCATATAGAATTTTCTCAGGTCATCAACATGATATATTATCATTAGATTGGAGTAAAAATAATTTTCTTTTATCAAGTTCAATGGACAAGACTGTGAAATTATGGAATGTAAATCAATCAAATTGTTTAAGAACTTATACACATGGAGATTTTGTTCCATCAATTAAATTCCATCCAACAGATGATCGATTTTTTCTTAGTGGATGTTTAGATCATAAAGTTAGATTATGGTCTATATTGGATAATGAAGTTAGTTATGAATTTGATTGTAAAAATTTAGTTACAGCAGTTAGTTTTACACCTAATGGGAATTTAACAATTGCAGGTACTTTTAATGGGAATTTATATTTTCTAGATACAAAAAATTTAGAGCTTCGACATTCTTTAGTTATTAATCAGAAAAAAAACAATAATAATGGCTCAAAAGTTACAGGGATTGAAACTTTTTTCGATAAAGATGATGTTAAAGTGCTTATAACAACAAATGATTCCAGAATAAGATTATTATCATTAAGACAACGTCAATTAATTGAATATTTTAAAGGTTTAGAAAATAATAGTTCACAAATCATTGCTACTGTGTCAGAAGATAAGAAATATATTATATCAGGTTCAGAAAATCATTGGGTTTATATATGGAAAAATCATAAAGATGAAAATGATGATTTATCAAAATTGAAAACTTCAAATAATTTTAAAAAATTAATTAATCATGATAAAAAAAAACGTAAAGATTATACTTCATTCCATGCACATCATTCAGTTGTTACATGTGCATTAATTGCTCCATCAGGTACAGCAAAAGCTTTATCACTTTCAAATGATTATATTTATGAATTAAATACAGAATTTTATAAAGCTGCAGATAATTTAAATGATGCTGAAGATATTTATGATCATGATCATAGTTTTTATGAAGATTCATTAATTAAAGAAGATATGATTGGTAGTGTAATAGTTACATCAGATGATACTGGATTAATTCGTGTTTTTAGACAAGATTTTTCTTCAACAGTACGTAAATTATTAATTGAAGAGAAGAATAAAAAGGCAAAACCTGAATTGATTCCATCAGGTTTAAATTCATCAGATCATAGAACAGTTTTCTTGCATAAGGGATTAAATCGTTCAAATAGTTCAAATCTTTCCAAGGCAACAAAGAATTATAACAAGACATTGAATACTCATACACAAGGTTCCAAATCAGGTTATACATCAGGTTCAGTATCTGGGAATAGATCAAGAAGTGGGACTTTAGATTCTAATAAAGGTATTAACGTTGCAGCATTAAACCAACAATTATTAAATCATAAGAATAATCATTTAATTTGTGATGTTTGTAATAGTGAAAAGTTTAAAGTTACTAAAACTGGGAATTCTTCAGAAATTGGTATTTTCTGTACAGATTGTGGTAATCAATTGAATACATAGTGGGACATAAATATAAAACAAGTATATATAGGTTAATATTCGGCATAATAAAGAGACATATGGAAAGAGAAGAACAGACCAAAATTGTAAACAACACCTTGAACTCATGAGATGTCAATAAATCATCAGATGTACTTAATTATTTGTTATTTGTTAGCATTTCACTGATTTTTGACATGTTCCTTAACGGAATTTGATAACCGAAACCGGTAAAAATCTTGTGTCCGTTATCAGGCATCTTTGAAAAAAGTGAAAAGTTAAACGGTTTCAAGATCTATTATCTTTAATACTCTTTATTGAAGTTTATTCTCATAGTTCAAGTGTTCAAGAGCTGGGTGTATGATGTCCAAGGAAGTCAAGGAAGTCAAAGCTGAGAAATCAGCATCTCAAAAAATCAGTACTGCTGGTGGATTCATAGCAGGTGGATTAGCAGCATGTGGTGCTGTTACATTTACAAATCCAATTGAATTAGTCAAAACAAGAATGCAATTACAAGGTGAATTATCTCATAGTAATCAAGCAAAAGTTTATAAGAATCCTATTCAAGCCTTGGGGAAAATTTATTCAAATGAAGGTATAAAAGGTGTTCAAAAAGGTCTTGTATGTGCTTATATTTATCAAATTGGTTTAAATGGTTGTAGATTAGGACTTTATGAACCAAGTCGAAATATATTAAATAGTGTTTTTTATCCAAGTCAAGATCCTCATAGTGTGCAAAATGTTCCAATTAATGTTGCTGCTGGTGCTTTGTCAGGTATTGCAGGTGCTATTATTGGATCACCATTATTTTTAATTAAGACTCGTATGCAATCTTATTCAACAAAAATTGCAATTGGTGAACAAACTCATTATAAAAATTTCTTGGATGGTCTTGTATCTATTTATTCTAAAGAAGGTGGTATTCCAGGTTTATTCCGTGGTGTTGATGCTGCAATTATTAGAACAGGTATGGGTTCATCAGTTCAATTACCAATTTATAATTATCTTAAACAATTTTTACAAAAAAATGAAATAGTTTCAGAAGGTGCAGGATTACATTTAATTTCAAGTACATTTGCAGGGTTTGGTGTTGGTATTGTTATGAATCCAGGTGATGTTGTCTTAACACGTATGTATAATCAAAAAGGTGATTTATATAAAGGTCCAATTGATTGTTTTATTAAAACAATTAAATATGAAGGTGTTTTTGCATTATATAAAGGGTTTGGTGCTCAATTATTAAGAATTGCTCCTCATACTATCTTAACTTTAACTTTTATGGAACAAACTATGAAATTAATGCAAACTGTTGAACAGAGATTTTTAGCATAATTGGAATTATAAAAGCATAGCGTTATTACAGGATAATAATTATGAGAAGATGGATGAGCAAAGCTGGAAAACTGGGGAGTTGATATATACAAAATGATAGAATTACAATATAGATAATACAATACAAAAATATAATATTAATTTGAAGATAAATGCTTGTAAATTCACCTGTAATTCTTTGCGTAAGGCTCGATTTAACATTCATTATCTACATCAAACATATCAAAATGACAAAAATGAATATCTTCATATACTAATTTCATCTGTGAATTAAACCTCAAAGTTAATTAAGATCTCAACAGAATTGAAAATTGATAATGAAAAGTGTGTGTATAGATTAATCAGTAGATCTATTCAATTGTGAACAGAACTTTGAACTATGTCTTAATGACTTGACATTGAAAACCAAAAGTCTACTGTTAATTGATATTCCAAAAACATTCAATGAAGCTAAGCAAGATCCCGAATGGTCTGAAGCTATGCTTGAGGAAATAAAAAACCTTATTAGATTGTGTCATAGACGTAAAAACCAGGTGGCATTCAACATTAAGAGTGATTGATCGAGCGAACAAATACACCGTCTGACATCCTCAAACATCTCAAAAAAACTTTTTTTTTCATGACGGTGAATCTATTGATGAAATAATTTCAGTTTAACTTTCAATGTTGTAATAAATAAAACTTCCAGAATCAAGATTCATGATTGATTAGGGTAAGTATTATATAAGCGATCATCATCATATATAATATATCGTATTATACTAACGTCGATGGGTTTGAGTTTATGATTAACATTAGATCTTAAAGCCAATGAATATTTCGATATGAGTTTCGATTGAATACTTGGATAGCCATTCATCAAATCGATTATTGGCAAGCTAATCATCTATATATACTACATCAAACATCAACAGTTCAATCTTTAATCAAAATAATTCAATATACTCATGTATTAATCTCATCTACCTCCAGCTTTTGAAGCCTCTTAATAGAATGAAAGAACAATAATGAATATATATAACCTCTTAAATTAATGTAATATCATCATATTATTTATATAGACGAATATTAACATTAGAATTTTGAAGGGCAACATCTGAAGTTTCCTGAACCATTCAATTGTTGAACAATTTAGGTACTATTTGGCAAAGACATATTGATTAAATAACACTAGCCAAAACCAATCACAATAATTGTGCTACCATTTATAACGTTAGTAAACCAGTATAACGAATTACAGAGTATTGAATAATGATTGAAAACGGTTTACTGAAATTTTTGATTTTTATCCTTTTTTTTTTCCATAGATTACATAACAAGTTTTATACGTATAATTCGACCAATTATATATAACTTCTTCATATCATAAAAACTACAAACAAATTATTCGATTACATTCATCCCTTTAAGAACTAATACAAGATTAAAACACATCATGCTCAATTAATCCCTAGATTTATGCTTTTCATCTGTTTCAAAGTAATGCTCATCAACAAACTTTTCAAAGTCCCTCTTTATTCTAAGTTGATCATCATCCACACTCCAAAAATTATTGAAATAAAACTTGTTGTCTTTATAAAACATATGATCCATTTCAAAATCATAAAGATTGATACCAGCGTTATGCAAATTCTTCCATTGAACCTTTCCAGCATTGAATTCAGATCTAGATGATGGTTTATTGTCAATAATATCCATTACTATAAAGTTCGCACAAAAGAAATATGTTTCATCAATTTCCAACTTCAAATTCCCACTTTTAATCACATTAAATTTATTTATTTGTGATTTATTCAGTTTATTAAACTGATCGATAGTTTGCAGAGCTTTCAATTGATTATTAAACATATTTTTGAAGTCACCAATACAGTCTTTAATTTCCATTGTTTGATCTTCTCTAAAGTTTGAAATAGAGAATCTTACAGGATCAAAAATCAACATTAATACTCTTTGGTTTGCACCACCATTCAAATTCAAATCAAACAATTGGTTGATGAGCTTTTTGGTCAATTTTAAAACTTGTGGCTCAAGTTCATTATGAACATTCTCAATGGTTAAATCGTTTAATTGACTTTGATCAATTGAATATGAATCAAAATTTATGGATTCTTGGTAATTTGCACCACACCAGACTTTAAGAGCTTCAACAAACTCTCCAGATGATTTTAAAAGACAATGTTTCAAAAGACATAAATTCTCATTTTTCAATTTAACGTTTTCAGGTGAAAGCTTTGCTTCAGAGTACAAAATTCCTAATAGGACTGATTTGAAAGTTGGATCACTTGAAGTAATATCAGTTAAATAATACTCAATAGGAAATCTACTATTTGATGGATCTTTCAAATAGTTATCAAATTCTGGTGAATCCCATTGAATAATAAATATGCAGACATTAAATCCATCTAATAAAACACCTATACTTACTTCTGCTGCTATCATTCCACCACAAATTTCATAAAAAAAAAGGTTCAAAGTTTTGTGATGGTAAATTTTTGAAAATTTCTGCTATATTATATGCCTTGAATTCAATAACACATAGGTTTAAACGTTCTTCAAAGCTAGATAATGTTTTTGAAATCACCAAACTGGGGAAAACATCGAATTCCTCAGTTTTAGTCAAAGAATATTCATTTGAAATTACTTTAGGTGATTTATGAAATGGTTTAAATATGGGAAGCTTTTCTAATTTTTGAAGGTTTACAACTAATAAATTTGCTTTTTGAAATACCAACATGTTAATGATTTTAGCAACTGGATCTATAAATTTGTTTTGAAACCATGAACCAATTGAAATTTCTCCTAAATATTGTCGATCCACATCAGAAGAGCCAAAGCAAATATCATGTACACTAAGCTTCATAATAAAAGCGTTGAGTTTCATCAAAGAATACCGAGTATCTGTTTCCCTTTGAAAATTGAGAAAACAATTACCTTTATCAAAAGCTTCTTGAATACTCTCTAAGATTGTATTGATATTTACATTTTCAAAATTTGTTGAATTCAATAAATCATCCTTCAAAATCAACCTTTTTAAACAATTTTTACTTGGTTGTGCTTGTACAACATTCTCGTTATATTTAGTCTTGAATCCAATTCTTTTGGTGATGTTCAAATTTGGAATTGACAATATATTAATCACTGAAAGTTTAGCTATTGCACAGATTTCACAGCTATTTCTTATACCGGTAGTAGTCACAAGTTCGATACAATAATATTCAAAAACATGTTTCCCTAAAAATTCAATATTGCCTACCAATGCTTCTAAATTGCTCATAGATTTAACCTCTTTATAATCAAAACTGATAATGACACCATTATCAGCTGTAAGACAGTCATTTATTCTTTTTATTGTGTCACAATAGTTGTATTCTTTTAAACATTGTAAATTCAAATTGATTTCTTTGAAAGGTATTAAAAATCTAGAGTCTAACCCCTTTATAGCGGTTTCGTAAAACCAAAGGTCATCATCAATAAGAGACATAGTTTCCAGTGTACACTACAAGAAATTATAAGTAGCAATAATCGATAAGGCCTTCAAAATTGTTAAATTTAAAAGATGAGAATATAATACTTTTTTGACAGATCTAGTGTCAATATGTTTCAATTAGACACAATTGCGCATATAGTACTATAGATTCTTTAATATAATCCGATAGATATTCTATAAACCTATAAATAGAAGCTTTTAATTAAAAGGTTCTCAATTTTTAGTCATTGTTTCCAACCAACAAATAACAAGTACGACATCATACAGTATATTACAAGCCATTTTTGAAAAAGAATGAAAATCTCATTTATTAATCAGTTCATCTGTAGAATCAACCAGTTATGTATATATACCAGTCTCAACAGAATGGAAAAGCTAATTTGAGATATATAATTTGATAAATGCTTCAACTTTCAAAATTCTTTGATCAAGTACAAGTTGATATAAGCATTGACTTCTATAATTGAATTTTGATCAAGTAGCATTTTATAGTTATGTCAGCATATTCATACACGAGTTTATACATATCCCTAGCGTAATAGACGAATATGGCCCCTTAAAAACGTTCACCGGATTCTCATTAGAACGACAAATGAGTCAAATCAAGGAGAAATAATTAGCCAGAAACCAGAGAAACAAGTTTGTTTAAAGGGTGAAGAATTTTGAAAATTTCATGAAAAATTAAAATTACAATTCTTACTAAGCAGATGAGTGCAAGTACCCAATATCACCAACATCAGAGCAAATAAACAATATACACGCTCTAAGAGGGTTAATGGTATAATCAATTGATCCATTAAATATGACAAACAAACTTGAAATGTTTCCATTGGAGATCAAAGTCCTACTCCTTGAACGATTCTTGGTTGAAACAAATGATATATTGAACTATTTACAGGTTGTTCCTTCAATGAATTATTATTTCAAAGCTAATTTCAAAGTGGTTAGTGATGAAATCAACCAAAGAAAATATAATAAGCTTCCTGAAGGTTGTTTAATATCCTATGATGATTTTGAGGATTTACTCAAAGCATTGAGTAAACATCAAATGTTTAAGGGTATTGTCTTGATGGAATTTTATGAATATATTGAGGATTTTCAACAATTAGAACCTGATTATAAGTTATATAGGGTGGCACATGAACGAACGAAATTCAGATATACATTTTATGGATCTTTTTTTGACGATGGTTGTTCATATAAGTTAACTGAAATAACCCAGAATTTTTGCCATTTTGATCCATATCATAAAACATCTCATATTAACTTCCCTGATATTATAATATATTCTCCAGAAGGCCACTTACCAAATACAGAAATTGAGATTAATTTTTTAACTTTGAAAACAGCTCTATATGAAGTACCCAAAGAGAATAGTCAAACTTTTGATTTCAATATCATGTATTGTACAGCACTAAAATCTTTAAATCTTTTAGATTTACATGATGGATTCATATTCCCCAAATCATTTATGTTTCCTAAGAACTTAAAACTTTCTACATTTCATAGTTCATATAATATGGAATACACATCACAATGGTTATTCAAACCCCAACGGGTTCAAAATTTAGAACACTTATCTCTTGAAGATTCAAGAAATATGAATCCAAAAACCATTTCAATAATTGATGTGAATTTCCCAAAAATGAAAGAATTCAAAGTGAACTGCTACAAACCAAGGTATAAATCTTCCATAATTTTCCAAAAATTTAAAGCAGACTTATTGGAAAATTTTAGTATATCTTCATCAAATGCTGATGTAAAAATTGATGACTTCAGGGCACAAAATATCAAGAATTTTACAATATTAGCAAATTCTTGTACCATTGAAAATTTAGAAGAACCTATCAATATGGATAGCTTCAAAATTTATGTGAATATGCAATATAACGGTCAATCCATTAAAAAGAGAAAACTCAATAAGGTTAATGCATGTCAAAATTAAAATAGTTGATCATTAAAAATTACAATATTTCATCATCAACTGGACCATTTTCAGAAAGCATATACCCATAATTAACGTTGAAATTACTCAAAATAAAGAAACCTCAAGTATCCTTCGAAGGACTAGAAATAATACCTTTTAAAGGTTTGAAAAATGTTGATGTTAAATTTGTTTACAAATTATAAAAAGACTCATAGTTGAAATTTTTATGATAATTTGGTTAATGGGGCAAGTACGATGTAGAGATTACTTCACAAGTAACAGTCATACTCAACGCCCAAGGCTTCAGTCATGAAGCTAAAAATCTAACTTGACCTCATGGTAGCTATCATAAAAATCTATAACTTGAATCCTTGTGATTAATAACAGTTACTTAATAATATAATCAATGAAGATTCATTGAATTAGCTTCACGAGTGGTCATGATCATAACCGATATAAGCTACATTCCTGGAACGTCTTTCAAAAATATGATCAAAACAATTCAATATACTCATATATTAATCTCATCTATCCCCAGCCTATAGAGCTTCTTAATAGAATGGAAAACTAATAATGAATATATAACTTAATATGCCATTGGTAGACTCAGATATGATATCATATAAGCCTAAATTAGCATCGATAAACACCAACAATTCTAAATTCAACATAAAGAACAGTTAACACCTGATGAATGGGTTTTAATAAAATTGACCTTTTAATTGTAATCACAACAACCTAGTATATCTCGCAAAACAATTGCAATGATCGATACTGGATGCATTTTAGCAAGAATGAAAGGGAAAGATAGCTTAATTGGCTCAAATTCTTGAATGGAAGATTCATAAAATTACCTTTTAAAGTTGTTAAATCATAACATCGTTGTGTCATTCGTTCAAGATCTCGAATATTTAATTTTAAAAAATAGTCGACAAAATTAGGTAGCAAATTAAGTAATCTCACTCTAATATAGGCGCCCATGATGCTAATTAGTATAGCTATATAATTATACACCTCTATTACGCATCAATCTAAAGAGCTAACAAGGTGACTACATAAGAATTTCAGAGCTGCTACGTGATTTTTGATATGTAATACAATCTAGATATTTTCAAAAAAAGAATGAATATAATCATATATTAATCTCATCTATCCCCAGCTCCTATAGAGCTTCATAATAGAATAAAAAACCAATAATGAATACATAACTTAATAGACAACTTATTAGTCTGAATGTAATATTATCAATATAAATCAAATATGTGTTAACATTCAAAACCAATATTACTCGAATCATGAAATCACAGAACTTCATTTATTGAAAATTACCAGCTGAAGTTCTTTAACGAGTAATCGGACGCTCAAGTTCTAGAAACCAACGGTTGCATAAAACATAAAACCGAAGTTGACAGTTTGACAGCAACACCAGACATCATACTAACGGACGGCTTTAAGTACATATACTTGGAATCAAAAAGGTTTCTGATAAAATCAATTCATTAATTATAAAACCAAGTTATAAATCTCACCCAAAATTATCACAACTTTGAAAATAAAACGCGAAAATATACAAACCAAGATTACATAACACCGTAATAAACCAACTATATTAAAGGAACAAAATAGATTGCATAAACAAGTTATACTTATAATTAACGTACGTCTAGTCGTTAGTTTCAGACCAGCATTCAATAGTCGAACTCATATGTATCCCATAGCTTATAATATCAATTCATTACAGCCAAACGATATATCAGACCAGCTTTCATTCGGTTATATAAATATACTCAATTTCAAACGAAATAAAATATGACACGTACAAATATATATTGTATAAGATTTCGACCTTGGGTTCGTTTGATCTAGAAAATATATTTCATACCTATACTGGTAGTACAGCTACATATCACTTGAACTTTATTCAAAAAAAATTTCATATATCCATATATTAATCTCATCTATCTCCAGCCTTTTCCTTGGGCTTCCTGAAAGAATGAAAGAAGAACAATAAATATATAACTGAATAGATCATTGGAATGAATTCCCAATTAAATGAATATCATTAGACCAGATCATAAATTTATTTTTAGAATCAAACTGATCATGTTAATTAACACCAAAACAGATTGGCAACAAAATTAAAGTCGAAAAGTCCTTAATTCAAATATAAAAAATTGGTTAATATATTATATTCATTTCTTCAAGTAAATTTACCCCTTATGGATATGATATATTATACTAACTATAAATTCCAAGCATAAAAGACGTATCAAAAATAATCCAAAAGGATACAACAGGTGATCATAATCTAAATAAATTCTAGTGGTGTCAAATTATGTTCCGTAGTAATTAATTCAATTGAATTGGCTCGAAAGAGGATAAGTAATTTTTTAAAAATTGTCAAAATTTTTTCAAAATTTATTATTGATCGAGATTATACACGCGCGTACGAAAATTATATAAAAGAACCAATACCATATTACAAGCTGTATTTACAACCACCACAAGTAAATATATCCATTATTGATAAACTACATTCAAAAATACTTGATCAGTACTCAAGTATGAATTAAAAAAGAATGAATATACTCATACATTAATCTCATCTATCTCCAGCTCAATTAAGCTTCATAATAGAATATAAAAACCAATAATGAATATACATGTAACTCGATAGATTGAGGTTAATCTAAATGTAATATCATCATAAATCTTAGACAAAATTAATATTCACAACCATCATTACTCAAACAAAAAATCATATATCATTTACTCAACAAAAAATGATAAAGTGGTATATGAATCTAGATATAACGTCATTCAAGAAGTAAACGTATCACCCAAATGCACAAAGTTTTCAATTTGTTATAAACTGCATGATAATCAATTTTCCATCTCTGATGATCCCTTATGTAAGTTCAATCGTTTTATACCTAATTTTTGGACAGATCAATTTTTGATAAAATTTATTTCATGTTACTCAATCGACGTTGACTGAATCGAATTTGTTTTTTCAGTACCCAATTTAAAAATTATAAAACGCGAAAATTCATACATGAGATTACATGTACACCAGCGCTAATAAAACCAGCTCCACTTTAAACGAAACAACCAATTACCAAACAACCTACAATCCTTAAAATCTCGTAATCATATACGTATAAATTAATTCCAAAATCTCATTTTCATATATTACTTTCAATAAAAACCATAGCTTTATATAATATTACTCTTTTTAAATAAACCAAAAAACTTTAAAACTTTAAAACCAAAATGATATACTTTAAATCTCTTAAATCTCTTTAAAACCAAAATGAATGTTAATTAAATACTAAATCTAAACCAAAATACAAATTATTTTATATTAAAAACATCTCTTTTCCTCCCTCTTCTTCTTTCTTTTTTATTTAAATGATCTTTTTATTCTTAATCATCTTATGCAATTCATCATTCATCAATTTTTCATACTTCATAACCTTTTATCTAAACATAATCACCCATATAACTTAAGTGTTTATAGTTTACCTTTCTTCAACTAATTGAAACAATGTGGTTCACCTTCAATAATTTATAACAACGTTTGATTTAGCTATCACTAAATTAAATTATGGCAACCTTTCTTCAACATCAACTTGACCAACATGACCATCATCATCCCTTTTTTGATTCCCAGTACTACCACTTCCAGAACCAGAATTATTACTATCAACACACCAATGTTTATGATAAATCCAAGCTTTTAATTGACATTCCTTAGAACAATATTTTGTACGTTTACATCTTCTACATTTAGCAAATTCCCTTGGAAAATTTTCCCATTTCCCACATTGGAATGATGCACATTGTCTAACACCACCTCTAGTTTCATCTTTACGACATGAATTTCTCATTATTACTCCTGACCAATAACACATATCTGATGAATTTAGAGTTTTTAATGTGAATTTTTCAACTAATGGGAAGATATTCAAATGATGTGTGATTTTATTACTATGATCAATATCTTGTGTTGATGATGATGTATCTGATGATTGGAAATATGATTTATAATTCCATTTTGAATTATATTCATTTCTGATGTTTATACTCTTATTGATATGAGATAATTGATTTTCATTTTGTTTTAATTGATAAAATTTATTTAACTTGATAGATAATTCCACTAAATTTAAATATTTTAATTCTTTATAAGAATTTAAAACTTTTGTTGTTGTTGTTTCTAAATTTGTTGAAATTTTATCAAAATCTAAACAAGATTTTTCAAAATTTAAAATTGATGATAATAAAGATTTATTAAAACATTTTTTATTCATTGATTCAGAAGATTCATCATTTATTGGACAATTTTGCTGATAAATTTCATCATTTAATAAATTATCGTTATTATTATTTTGTAAATCAATTTCAAAATCCCCATTATTAGTATTTTCATGATCTTCATTATTTAATGATATAAGCTTATTTAAATCTTCATCATCTTGACTATTTGATTTTTGATTAAAAATTTGATCATTTGAATCATTTGAAATCAATATTGTTGAAGATTGTTGAGTTGAAGGTTGTTGTAAAAAATCTTGAGAAGATTGAGTATTTGATAAATCAGGTTCTCTTTGATCTCTTTCTCTTTGTTGTCTTTGATGTTGATGTAATTGTTGTTGAAATTGTTGTTGATATTGTTGAAATCTTTGATTTCTTTGTTGTCTATTTATAAATTGATTTTGATCATTATCATCAGATGAAAAATTTGATAAAATTTCAAATTCTAATTCATTATCTAAATCATCTTGTTCTAATGGTGGTGGAATATTATTTGATTGAATTAATGATCTTAAAGATAATGAATCAATCAAATTAGTATACTGTAAAAAATCTTTTAAATTTGAATATTTTGATATAAAAGCCAATAGTTGTAAAGACCAAACAACATCATCCTCTTTGGGGATCAATATACCCTTTAAAAATAATCTTGGAGAAGTTATAGTTAAATCTAAATCATTTAATTGTTCAGGTTGATGTAATATAGGATAATCAGTTCTAAAATCAATTGAATTTATATTTGTTGTATCATCATTATTACTTGTTATTGAATCTTCATTTGATTTTAAATAATTATCATTTAAATAATGATGTAAAGAATAATTTTTATCAAGATGTAAATTTAATAAATTTGATAATTCATTTGAAGAATCATCAGTTTTAACTTGTTTATTAGGTTTTTTGGATTGAACTAATGATAAAAAAGTAGTTGATAAAGTATTATCCAATTGATTATCAAAATTTCTTGAAATTAATAGATAATTATCTAATACAGTGGCAATAATTGGTATAATACCAGCTTGAACAACTCTTTTTCTAATTTTTTCAGTTCCACGAGTACCAATCAGTACAAGACATTGGAAAGCTAAAGTCCATTTCCATGCAATAATAGCATTTTGTTTTTGTTTTGATATTGATATATCTTCACCTTCTTCATCATCTTCTTCATTAAAATTTTGTTTACATTCATGTAAGATATTAATTAATCTTTCTAAACCACCATCTATTGATAAAGTTTCTCTAACTTTTGCACTTGAACTAGTCAGGAAAGTTAAATGATTTAAAGAATTGACTAAAGGTCTATCAGAAGTTGAATCTAAAGCTCTTCTATCATACAGATTTGTAGTTATTGAAACAGCAGCTTTGTTTAAAGGTATTGATTTATAATTTGGATCTCTCATAGTGTATTGGCATGTGTATGTGTGATAATAAAGACTTGTGGATTGTAAAGATTACTTAACCTTTACCTTGGGTCTTTTGAATATTGATGATAATGTTTTTGTCTGATGAGTAACAAAGACACTAAAACACGGTGAAACAAGAACAGCACCAGAGAGCAGAACAACCAGTAGAACAACAGGAAACAAGAACAGTAGAGAACAGTAGAGAACAGTAGCAGCAGTGGTGACCTTTATGAGTTGATGATGTATGATATTCCTTGATCTTCCTTGTATGTCTTCCTTTGTGTTTGTAATTGTATCTTATTATTTTCCTGTTTGTAATGGTTGTATTTCCTAAAATTTGTATGGACAGTGGCGAATTTAAAGATTACGTTGCTTGAAGGGGAAATGGTTAGGAAGCGATGGGTAAATCAACTAGTAATATATAAGAAGGACTTGGTAATAGACAGTGATATATTGTGGTGAATGGAGTAAGAGTAGTGTATTGGTAGTATTGTTATGTATAGTCTAGTATAGTAGTAGTAGTAGTGTTGTGTTGGTATTGCTGTAGTTTATGATAATGTGTAGTATCGCGTATTACTATATTACAATTAAACACATACAATATTGATATTACTGCAATGAGATAAACACAATCCAATAATATTTAATATGTAATACTCAATACTAGAGCTATTACTTTACTATCACCATTACTATTACTATACTATTCTACTATCACTCTATACTATAAGTATATCACCACCATCAATATCACAATTCATACAATCCACCCGCGATTTTGTCTTTTTCACCACGTATTAAAATGTATTTGATATAGCCATTATTACCATTACCATTACTATTACTATTAGACATCATACTATCACACACAATGCACCCCATCAAACTACTCAAAACAATCATACCACTCCTACCACTAACACTCGCCAACAAGGTATCAGTAGATGAATCTTATACCCAAGCATGTTCTGGGATGTATGATCAATCAAGTTGGGGTGGTAAAACTTCTCCATTCATATCATTTGAATTATCACAATTTCCAAAAGATCAGGATAAACAATTATCTGTTATTATATTTGAATATCAAGATATTGTAACCTTGGGGGCTCCATTGGATGATTCTGGTTATCATAAGGAATATATTTGTGATTCAAACGCTATTAAAGATGGATTATGTGAAAAAGCTGGTACATTTATTCAAAACTCTCAGAAGAACCAATCTCAAATTTTACAATTTCAAGTATCTGAAATTGGTGAATTCCCTGAACGTTACCCCGTAAAGAAAACTGGTTATTATTGTGTTGCTACATATTCACAACAAAGTCATCCATCATATAAAGGTTCAATAAATTTTCAAAATTCATTTGGGAAAATTTCTGCTTCAGAATTCCCCAAATTATCACTTTATGCTATATTAACCATATGTTATGCTGTTTCAATGGCTTATTATGGGTTCCATTTTTGGAAACATAAACATGAATTATTACCATTACAAAAATATTTTCTTGCATTTTTCCTTTATTTAACCTTGGAAACCCTTTTCACATGGGGTTATTATGATTTAATTAATAGAAAGGGTGAATCTGATGTTGGTGTTAAAATTTATATGGTTTTCACTGCTATTCTAAGTGGATTAAAAGTTTCATTTTCATTTTTCCTATTGTTAGTTATCTCTTTGGGTTATGGTATTGTTTATCCCAAACTTGATAAAAAATTAATGTTTAAATGTCAAATATTTACCGGGATTCATTTAACATTTGTTGTTATTTATGTTTTAGCAAATTATTTAACTTCACCAGAATCTCAATCTTTATTAGCTGGTATTCCAGTTTTACCAGTTGCTATTTCAACTGCAATTTTTTATGCAATGATTTTGAAATCCCTAAGTGCAACTACTGCTTTATTACATCAACAAAGACAAATGATTAAATTAAAAATGTATAAACATTTATTCAGAATTATCTTTTTTTCATTATTGATCTTATTATTAGGAATTATAATATCATCATTTATATTCATTGGTATGTCCACCACAGAATTAATTGAACAACATTGGAAATCAAGATTTTTCTTTTTGGATTTCTGGCCTTCCCTAGTTTATTTCATTATTTTTAATTTAATTGCATTCATTTGGAGACCAACAGATACTTCATATATGCTTGCTGCTTCTCAACAATTAAGTACTGATCCTGAAAATGTTGGTGATTTTGAATTGGATGATATTCAATCATTAAATAATGTTGGTGATGAAGCTGAGGGTTATCAACATTTGGATGATAATGATTCTTTGAATTTAGGTTCTGATGATGAAGAAGGTGGTAAAGATGGTAAAGATCATGGTAAGAATACAAAAAATGATGGATTAGGTAGTTCAAGAGACTGAATAATCGAATGAAAATATAAAGATTCAATATAAACAATATATATATTTATAAATATAAATAAAAGTTTCAATTACTTCAATCAATTATTAGTTTATTAAATAAATTGTAAATTATACCTAATGGTTATTCACTTTACTAATCACTTACATAATCATCCGCGAAACTTCTAAAAGCAGCCATATTGCATAGCCAAACATTTAAACAAAAGAACAAAAACAACAAAAAGAACAACCAAAGAATTTTTCAACAACTTTCAATTCAATTCAATTCAATTGATATAGGTCCCTCATTATGATCAAAATGAAGAATTACTTAATAATACTCTTCTCAATTTTCCAATTAACAACCGCTATAAAATTCACATCATGTTCTGGTATTTATCCACCAAAATCAAATATATCACAACCACAACCTTTTATAAATGTTACAATTAATCCAAAAACAAATCAAGATTTTAATTATACAACTTTAATTTTCCATTATAAAGATATAGAAAATTCAAATATCCCATTATTAGAAGATTTTATTAATACTGATTCATTGAAAATTTGTAATGAAGATCAAATTAGATCAAGACAATGTCGTGAACCTGGGAAATTTGTTGTTGATTATCAATATTCAGATTCTAGGATATATAATGAAGTATTAAATATTAATCATCGTTCTTTTTTACAATATGATATTACAGAAAAGGGGTTTTATTGTGTTTATATCCAATCCTTGGAAGATGGTGCACCTGAAGGACTGAATGAAATTGATGTTAAATTCCAACAATCTACTGGTTATTTATCTCTGGATTACCTCAAGGTTTCAAATGTGTTATTACAGTTCCAATTACCTATTGTTTCTATATTGTTAATTTTCATCATGTCAAGATTTTTTTATATCAAGACATTGAAAAAAGGGGATGTTTCAATTATTCAAAATTCAATTTTCCATTATACTTATATGAATTATCTTATCACATTTTCATTATTCTTGAAATTATGGATCAATAATAAATATGATTTAAGTGGATCTGGTTATTTCTTTTTGAAATTAATCAGTTTTGGTCTTGGTTCAATTACATTTGGTTTAGAATCTTTAACATGGGGACTTATATTATGTTTAAGTCACGGATTTGGTACTTTATATGATCGTCAAACTTTCCCAAAAAGATATAGTAAAAAAATCATTGGGTTTATGGTTTTAAATTTCCTTTTAAAATTAACTATAATTGATTTAAAATTTTCAAATGTTCAAGTATTAAATTTTAATAATATTACAAATGGATTAAAACCTATAATTTCATTGATTGGATTCATTTGGGTTATAAAATCTTTTTATAAGACAACAAAAGAAATTTCCATCTATTTTGATCTAACTACATCTAAATTATACAAAAAATCAGGTTATATCATTTTCTTCACTCCAATAATTGTCACATTAGTTATGATTATATTATTAACTTTCCATTTCATAAATCAATCAAAAAATCAAAATTTAAACATTGTTGAATTAACAGAAACTTTCTGGGATGATAAAACATTAGAATATATAATGGCAATTCCATCAATTGGTGATTTTATAACAATTTCCCTTTTAATTTGGATTTGGGATAATGTTGATTCTCAAAAAATTGATGAAAATAACGTTGCTGAATATGGTGCTCCAGAACGTGGTGAATTAACTTTAGATAATTTGAAAAATGGATCCACTGATGAATTAACATCACTGAGAGAAAACACACCATAAACCTATTCATATAGTATAAAAATTGCTGGATAAAAGTGAATATTTGCATTATTTTAAATTTGTATTGTTCGAATCGCGAATCTTTTTTTTATACCCTTACATAAAAATTGAAATCAAAACATTTAATACAACAATGAAGAAATTATAAGTACGACAATATCAACACAATGGAATTGATCACTGATGATTCTATTTTATGGTATTTCCCACCAGATGATAAAGGGGATATCCCAAGGTATGCGATCCAATCTCAAGGTTCCAAGAATTATGAAAAAATTATACCAATGATTAAAGATGATGTTATTGAATTGGTGGAAGATAAGGATAATTTGGTATTAAGTTTATTGAATTGGCAAATTGGTAAAGTTGATATGAAAGAGAAACAAAAAGTTGATGGGTTTATGAAACATTGGAATAAGGGGTTGGTTTTTTTAGAACAAAAGGAGAATAATGAATTTGAAATTGATGATGATGATGATGAACAGGGAAATGATCTTGGTGATTCATTAAAATCTCATTTATTACAAAATGAATCCAAATTTATTCATCCAAAGAAGTTGAAGTTTAGATACTTAACATGGAATATACATGGCCAAGATTTATACAACACAGATCAAGATTTATCAGAACTATTTCTTAATGATGAACAAATTGATATTTATTTCATCGCGTTCCAAGAAGTTATACCATTAAATGCTAAAAACCTGAGATCATCATCTGAACCAATAAACAATTGGATTGCCAAAATCCTATCAATAATAGGATCAGATTATAAACCAATTCAAACAAATAAATTATTAGGCCTAGGTTCAATCTTAATAATTCGTAATGAATTATCAATAAATTTTAAAAATTTATCAATAGATTCTATAGGAACTGGTATATTAAATTTTTATGGTAATAAAGGTGGTATAATAACATCATTTGATATATATGATTATAAATTAGCTTTATTAAATGTTCATTTTGCAGCTGGGGAAAAGAAAGAGTTCCTGGTGAAAAGAAGAAAAGAATTACAAGGTATTAAAAATTATATTAAATTACCAAATTCAAATGGGAATTTGATTAATGATGATAAATCTATTTTGTTTGATGTTGATGATGTTGATAAATTGACGAATGGGGTAGAATTGGAAAGCGATGATGAGGAGGATGAAGAGGATGAAATGAGTAAGTTGAGTGGTGAGGATATAGAATCTGTGGATAAATCTGAAGGTAAATCTGAAGGTAAAACAGATGATAAAGCAGATGATCAAACAGAGGATACATCTGATACACAAGACACAACAGATAAATCAAAAGATGAAAAATCTGTTTCTCCTCCAGTTAATAATAAATTCATTGATGGTGATAAGAATATTATATTCATTGGAGGTGATTTAAATTATAGAATCAATGCATCAAATGAAATCATACAACAATTATTAAATGAAAAAGATCATAAATCTTTATTAGATTATGATACATTAACTCAAGAAAGAGATTTAGGTAGAATTTTAGATGGTTTCCAAGAGGGTAAAATAAATTTCCCACCAACTTATAAAATTAATGATTCATCACCAAACCAGGGTGAATTTGTAACAGATAGGAAACCTTCATATACTGATCGTATCCTAGTATCTCAATCTAAACATGTTGAATTATTAAGTTATAAATCTCCAAATATAAATATATCAGATCATAGACCTGTGATTGCAGATTATAATATTCAAATCCCAATTATAAATAATGAGGAAAGAAATGATATAGTTACAAAATATTTGAAAAAGATTGATGATTTAGAAAATAATTTACATAAAACTGAATTTCAAATCACAAACTTGGAAAGTAAAATTGAAATCCCAATATTAACAAGTTCAACAATTGAAATTGAAATTAAAAACATTGGGAATTGGAAATCTTATTGGGAAATTATTGATTCTGTTGAAACTCAAGATTTAAAATTCCCTGGTAAGAAAATATCTTCCAAAATTGAACCAATTAAAGGTGTGCTACCAAAATCAGCAACTCAATTAATTAAAATTTCTACAACTTTACCAATTGGTTGTAAAAAATTTGAAAAAACTTTAATTCTTAGAGGTTATAATTCTCAAGATCATTTTATAACATGCACATTCCATGCAAAACCAAGTTTTTTTGGTAGTTCAATTGATGAATTAAATTTAGAAGGTCAAACCACAGGGATCCCAAAACCAATTTATACATTAATTAACTATTTAACGAATCATATTATTTCAGATATGTTTGATGAAACAAAATTAAATTTTACTCATGAATTAGAAAAAAAACTAATCAAATCTATTGATAATAATGAAGATTTGAATTTAAAAGAATTGGAAAAAGCTGATACAGTTATAAATGGATCCTCATCAAGAGCAGTTTCCAGGGTCTTGTTCTTATTACTTCGGAATTTAGATGGTGGTATTGTTTCATCAGATTTATCAACTTTTCTTTTGAATGGTCATAAAGATGATCAAGATATTTTGGAAAAGATTCTAGAAAGTTTACCACCTTTAAGAGCAAATGTCTTGATTTATTTAAGTAGTTTTTTAAGACTTTGTATTGAATTTGGTATTTCAAAGGATGATATATTTAAAAAATTTGAAAATATATTATTGGAAGTTCCAAAACAAAGGAAAAGAGATTATATGTTTGGTAGAACAAATTATGAAAAATTAAGAAGAGATTTTTTGGAAAAACTTTTGGGATAGATTAAAGGGTTATCATATACAATACAATTTAAGACAATATAACATAATGCAATAAGATGTGGGATTTATAGATATAAATATTAATATACAAAATATACTAAATCATGGCTCCAATGCCTTATGTTATTCAATTACAACAACTTCTAATAATTTATCACAACTCATACTTTCACCAGTTGCCAAATCGATTAATTTAACACCATTTAAATTGAAAACACCAAATTCTAAACCAACAAGTAGAATTTCACTTTCAAATACTTGATCACTATTAACTTTAAAATGAACTTCATTAACAAGACTCAAAATCCCTGTTGTTTTAATTTTGGATTGTGAATAAAATTTCAAAATATTTAAATTTGTTTGAATTAATGATTTAATTTTAGGTAAATTTGGTAAAAAAGCTTCTGGTTGTGAATTGAAAACCATAACTAAATTTCTATTTCTCTTGGAATTATTTATAATATGAGCTCTTAATTTGAAAACTTGACCAATTTTAACTTGTTTATTACCAATAAATTTTATATTTAACCCTGAGGATAATGAAGTCATTGATGGTGTGTTTGGTAATGAAGAAGTTGAAGATCTCTTAATGACAGATGGTATATGTGGTGTATTACCAAAATCTATGTTTGTAATCCATTTTGTTTTGATTTGATGATTATCCAATGAATAATTTATTTCAATTAATGTCTTGTAGGATAAATAATCATTTGAATCTAATTGGAATGTAAAGCTAAAATTATCAAATTTTGTAATTTCAATAGGGAATTGATGATTAAATTTTGGTTTAACAGTGTTTTGAAATCTATAATTGATATTATTTAATGATATACTGGAACTTAAATCTTTGAATTTACTTGATAATTCAACATCAATTGTTGATAAAATAGAATTTTTTTTAATTCTAATATTACGAACTCTTAAATTTAATATCCGTATTGTGGGTATATCAAATTCTTTACTTATTTGAATATTATCTGATTCATCAATTGAATTATTGTTTTGTGGTGAATGATTCTCATTTGATTCTTCTAATTTATTATGTTTAATCAATGAATCTGACAGTATAGCATCATTCATCAAGAATTTATTTTGTCCATTTGGAATTGTTGGTTGAATTCCAGCCAAGATGTTTCTATGTTCAGCAGGTTGGAAATCAACAAGTGTTTGATTTGATTGCAATTCAATTGATTTTCTTCTATTATTTAAATTTGTTTGAACTTTTAAATTTAGTTTTGGATGATCTAGTTTAATTTTAGGATATGATAAGAAAAGCATAAATTTATACAAAATCCTTGTTGGTTCTGATTTGATGGGACTCACGAGTTCAAGACTCTTCAAATTGACACTCTGTTCATTCTCACCACGTATGTTTAAATCCAATGTGGTGTTTATTGGTTGTTGATTTGATTCTTTATTCAATAGGATATAACCTGTCAATACTTCATCGAAAAATGCAATTTCTCTTGATCCAGCCTCTCTAAGACGCGTTATGAACGTGGTAAATTCCTGTCCTTCATTGAGCACCGTATCTGGTAAGAATATCTCAAAAGAACTCATCACCAACACCCTGTTTCCCTCTAATTAAATCAAGCTCCTCAATGAGAAGACCTTGTTGATGTACTGTTTAAATTATCAATATTTTGATCAACCTGAAAACACGAAACACGGTAAGCGCAGCACTCGGGCACTTTACTATATTTAAACACTACGAAATCACCAAAAAATTGTTCTTTTCTTCATTTAAATCTCATTATACTCGTCAAAGACACTTTGTGGTGCAGTGTAAACACCCAATGGTTTATGCTCCGCACTATCAGCCAAACCAAACGCTTCAAGACCACCCAATTCTCGACTTTTTTCACAATCTTTCCATAGATTAGAGCCTGCAATCCCAATAATTGTCACTCTTAGACCATATTTGAACTCTGGTACACCAATTGCCTGTCCAGACTGTGAATCTATAACACTAATCAAATCTGGAACTGAAGCTAGTATGGCTTTCGTTCCTTGAAATTCATGTTCTGCATACATGATTTCATTCTTGTATGGAATTTTAACAACTCCTTCATTTTTAACAAATGGGATTGAATATTTTGTACAGTCTTGATCTTGCTCCTCCAATCCAAATGAGCTGACTATAATTTGTCCATATTCATGACCTTTATATAATTTTTGTTCAACTGATGTGATTTTTCCTTGGAATAGTTTTTTACCACTTGAACTCCCACCAATTTGTTCAATTATTTGATCAGCAACTTGGTCAATACAGTTATTCTCTTGACAATATGCAATTTGTTTCCCAATTCTCCACGCTAATGAATATGAGTTCTTCACTGCGAATTCTCGAACTAAAAAACCTTCAGTGGGTCTACCTGCATAACCAACTCTTGAACCCATTTCACCACACGCAGCTCTCAAGATAACATCTGATAAATAATCTGAGTTTGATGATGTTAACACTAGGGAATTACCCACACCATCACTTATAGCAGCTGGTGAAATTTTCCCCTCTGTGTGTGACGCTAAAGTAGTTTGATAATAGGTTGGATAAGCCCGGCCCATCCAATCACAATCCAATAATGGTTTATTAAAATGTTTTGATGAGGCCATAATGAAAGGTTGTAATCCATTAGCACCACCAATCTCTAAGCACATCAGGGCTTTAATATCATCAATGTGATAACCTGTGAATTTTATAATTTCTGAAAGAGCATCAACGGTATCTGTTCCACCTAATCTTTCATAGGAAACTGCAGGTGACCCCATTATACCACCCCATGCAATAATATCAGAATCTTGGATTGTTTTATGGTCGTAAAGTTTAATTTCATAACCTTCTTCCAATATGTTTTTAACTTCTAAATATTCACATTGAGGAGATCCACCACCTGCACAACCTAGAACATAACAACCATTTGAGATCCATTTTAAATCAATTAAAGATATTTTCCATTCTCCATTATGTATATTTGGTTTATAACCCAGCACATCAAATTTTTCTTTTGGTGAAGGTGGTTGATTTATTGATTTTTTAATCTCAGTTCTTTGGAATTTAAAACTTGATTCTATATCATCCTCATCATCTTCCTCAACCTCGCCAATGGATTGTTTTTGTATTAGATCCAAATCAATCTCACCAGCAACTTTTATAATCACTCTAATTTTATTAATAGCATAAGGAATAGGTAATGAAGTTATATCAGCAACATAAACCGATTCCCTTATAGCTCCTCTTTTTACAATTAATGATTCAATAGCTTCATTTTTTTTCGATTCAATAATTTGCTGGAAAGTTAAACCAGAATCCGTGGAAATCACTGTATCTATAACAATAGCCATCTTGGCCACAGCTGCACCTACAGCATTTGCATACTCATGATATAAAGGTCTTATTATTTCAGAAACACCTTTTATTTGATCACCAATGATTATAGAGCCACCACCAACTAATATTAGTGGTAAATCCACGGGTGAAGTTCTTATAGAATCTATAGCTTTTGATAAATTTAATTGAATCTGTTGGAATGCCCTGTTTGTTAAATCTGTGGGTATTTTTTGTGACATTTTGGAAATTTCACCACCACCTTCAATCTTCTCAATTTTTTTATATAACATTGCTATATCAGTTGCTGTCAAGGTCTTACCACCAAACACTAGAGAATGTGTTGTTAATGAATGGCCCACAGATTCTGGTCCAACACTAGTTGTTATTTGATCATCATTATTCTCAGTTACTATTGAACCACCACCAAGTCCAATTGTATGAACATGAGGCATAGCATAATTAACACGAACACCAGCAATAGAAAGATAAGCAGATGCTTGTTTAGGGAATCCTGAGGGTAACAGAATACCAATATCACAACTTGTACCACCAACATCTGCCACCAAAGTACTTGTTTCTGATTTAATTTGACTCAAGTATGCAGCACCAAGAATAGAATTTGTTGGACCTGAACTGAATGTCACAATGGGTATTCTTTTCACTTGATCTGCTGGTATTATTGTACCATCATTTTGTGTTAGGTATAAAGGACAATTCAAACTTAACTTTGTTAAAGCAGATTTAAAACTCTTGATAACATATTCTGAAAATCTTAATATTGATGCATTTAATATTGATGCATTTTCACGTTCTAAAAACCCCAAAGTTCCTACATCTCTAGAGCAAACAATATTAATATTTGGTAATTCTGATTGAATTATTTCTCGTACTTTATATTCTTGATTATGTTTATTATCTAAGGGTGAATAAACTCCAATTATAACAATACTTGTTAATCCTCGTTTCTTAATTTCATGACATTGTTGAATGATTTCAGATTTATTGATCTTGGAGATTAATGAACCATCAATTTGTAAACCACCAGATACAAATCCATGATAACCATAAATAACTTGCTTCAAATCCTGGGGAAAATCACTGAAAGGTGGAATTGATTTTGTAAAATTGGAAGAAAGCCGTATTATACCAACTTTATCTAATCTTGAAGAATCTCTTTCTAAAATTGCGTTAAGGAAATGTGTAGTACCAATAGTGACTAATGCGACTTGATCCGTATTAATATTGGCTTTGTTTAAAACTAATTGAATAACTTGGAAAATACCGGACGTTATATCTGGAGTTGTTGAAGTTTTGGCATATGATATTATACCTCTATCAGGACTTGATTGTCTAGTGGGGTCTAATAGGACACAATCCGTATTAGTTCCTATATAAAATTTTGAGTTAGTGAAAGTTGTTCTTAGAAACACTGTTTATACTGCAGGGTTTGACAAAAGTGTCAAAAAAACACGCATACCTCCAACATCGATTCCTATTTTCAGTCTAGCTTCACTCATGATTGTTAGATGGTCTCTTTAATGTGATTGCTCCTTCTTTTAAAAGTTCATTCGAGATATAAGACGTTGATGAAGTTCTTCAAGATGGTTATGTATTGTTTCTTATATTTAACTTTCTTCACCGTTGAATTGAAGTGGTTTTAAACACACAGTGGTACGTTGATCAATCCGATCGGGTCTGGAACTAGGGATAGCTTTAAAAAAAAACCCCAGTACTAAACAAATTTATTGTGCAATGTGTACAGCATCAACTGTCAACTTTTATTTATCATGGTCTTAAATGCCGTCTATTATTAACTGATGGTTTAGTATTGAGAAAGCCACAAATTTTACCGTATTTGGTAACTTTTAATAGTCATCTTCGATTTTTCGCGCCCGAAAAACAAAACTTCACTAGATTGTACAGATTTGGTAATCTTCTTGTTAGTGATGGAAGTTGAAACTTGAAAGACTAGGTGGTGGTTATCAGATGTACTAGTGATGTTGGAATCTAAAGCCAATCACCGTCCAGTATTCAGGGTACTTCACTATTAATTATAAAGTTAATCCAGAAGTCCAGACTCAGTGCTTTTAACTACCTCGGAATTGAATAAATAAACTTCTACAACATGAATCTATAAAGGGGAAATTTAAACTTCAAAACCTTGAAAGTTGGTAGCCACATATTTAGAGACTATTAACTTGATATAAAATCATCTAGGGGAGATCAGTATTCATGAAAAAGCAACAATAAAGTGGAAAATTGTGACCTATTTGATTATGCACGTGATAACTCAATTCCGAGGTTTCTCGAATCTTATGTAATCAGATCTCAGGAACTAATTGGGAGAAAATCTACTACGTCGGTCTCAACTATGGGAGAAATAAAGCAATGCTTATGGTGGTACACCGTGGTCCAATCGAGCACAGAGTTGGATATACGTGATCCTAGGGTATGGTTTTCTAGTATTGCCGAGTCTTATATCTCTCTATCGTGTCAGGTTATGCTGTATTAAATTGGTTTTGTCCTACGGGCTTAACTATGGGTAGAGCTTAACTGTTCCAAAATTTAATTCGCGGACCCTATTTAATAGTGGTGTGTGGGTTTTCAGCTAAAAAAATACAAGAAAGTTGAATCAAAACAATCAAACGACAGTTCAAAGCAAGGAACAGATTGCAGTTTACATATCAAGTTGGATCATTGTGTCTTAGGGGAAGATAGTGATATAATCTCCCAGACGGCCAACTTACCAGAATGGGATCTAACTTTGAAATCGATCTGGATCGGGCATTGATACCTGATTATGAACCAAAAATAATATCAGATCAAGGAGAATCACAACAATACCAACAACAACAATTTAATGATGATGAATTTCAATTTGATAATTACCAGGCTTCACATGAGATAGATGAGTCTCCATTTTTGATTCAAAATCCTCAATTTGGTCAAATCAATTCAAATTCAACACATGCTATTTCAAATACAGTAACTACAAATACTACAACTGCAAATCAAAATGATGGTACTCTCAATACAGATAATAATACCACACTAATTCAATCATCAGCACCAGCAACTCCTCCAAAGCAACAATTACCTAGAGAAACTATTCAACAACGTAGACTTACCTCAAATAATACTACAATTGATGAAATCAACACTATAAGGAAAAGTTTAGCTACAGATTCTAAAACTCCAACTGAATATACCTTACACATCTTGTTCACACAATTTGTTAGACATGCTGAAAGGAAACTAAACGTTTGTCTTACATATCCATTAAACACTGAACCACCAATCATGGATCTATTAGCTGAAGGTATTGATCCAAATTTTGATAAAATTATTGCTTCATTAGGTTATATCTCCAAGAATAACCCTAAACCAGTTATTGATTCAGTTATGTTTTGGAGGAAATCAAAATCAGAAGTCGCGGCAATGGCTGCAGATGCTGCAGAAAAATCATTAATTCAATTAAAAGAACATAAAGAATCAAGTAATTTTAGAAAACATACTCATAGTTCAAGTTCTGTTAGTAAATTCTCTCACAAGAGAAATAATTCTTCAAAATCAACTGTTAACGTTATAGATTCAAGACTAGGTTACTTGGAGCAACAGGTGCAACAATCTCGTGATACTGCTATTCAAGGTGATAGAAAATCATTAATTAGTATTTATATCTTATGTCGAGTTTTAATTGAAGTTGTTAAACAATTAAATCCATCAGCCACGGGTGATGATTTAGGTGATAAATTAGAAGAAATTGTGTTTACTCAGTTGAGAAGTACTGATCCAATTCTAATTTCTTCCTCAATTATCAGATCTGCTAATTGGAATTTATTTGCTGAATTATTAGGTTATATGTCAGATAAAAGATTTCTAAGTGTTAGTGATCGTTTCATTGCAGATTTAGAAAAAATACCAGCCGTGGTCCCCAAGGAAATCGAACCCTCAATTCATTTATTAATTCATGGTATGAGATATTTAAAATTGAAGAATTATCCATTAGAAGATTTTGAAGAAAGTGCAGATTTTATTCAATCAATTGCCAAATTTTTCAGTATTACTAAGAGTCATTCCATAAAAATTGCATATTCACAAGTTTTAACACATATCTTATTACCTTTAGCTGATACTTTAACTGCTGAAGTAAATCATCCAACTTGGTCAGAGGCAATCAATACAATTTATAAAACTTGTGAAACTATTGAATTAAACCCTAAAAGCTGGTTGACAAATTTAACTCTAATTACATCAGTATTATGTGTTGCACCAAGTGAATTATTTTTATCTCAATGGTATGATCTTGTTGAATCAAATATTAGAAATTTAAAATCTAAACACGCAACTTTAGAAGAGAAAATCATAATTGTAACATGTATTTCAAGGTTAATTTGGGTTTATATTTTTAGATGTACTGAAACTTTAAATAACACTACTAGGAAAATTGAAACAATTTTTAAAAATATGTTTTTGGGTAAAAATAAACAAACTTGGATGATATCTGATGCTTCTTTGATTTTACCATGTGTTCAAATGTTTAGAGCTATTGGATTTGCAGGCTATAATCAAACGGTGGAAAATTTCATAATCCCATTAATTAAAGCTACTTTCAATGGCCATAGTTTGGATAGTATACAACATGAAAGAGTTATATTAGCAATCAAGGCATATACATCAATGCTTGGTGATAAAGAAAGACCAGCATTCCCGGAAGATACAGATATTGTCTCACATCCTGATGTTGATATAGATATCAAATCAAGTAATCATGATGAGATTGGTAAATATGTTGATGCTTTGTTAATTTTGTTGGATTCATCTGTCGGTGCATCTATTGAACAACAAAATGATCAACAACAACAACAACAACCAAGTACTCCATTTTATTATAGTGCTAAATCCCCCTTTAGCAGTTTTAGATTCGGTTCAGATATGTCAATACAATTGAGTAAAAGTTTACATTCAGAATTATTTGCTGTTGTTTTAGAATGTGTTCCTTGGTGTGCACCAGGTCCTTCAAGGAAAATTATTGAATTACTTTGCAGGAACTCATTACATAGTGATTTTAGAGTTTCAAGTGCTGCTTCAAATTCATTGAAAATAATGGCATCAAGAAAAAATCCTAATGGTTTAATTACAAGTTTTGCGAAATTTGCATTTAATTTCACTGAAAGATCAGGTTATTCACAAAGCTATATCATTTCGAAAGAATTATTAAGGTTGTATTTAGATCTATTAGAATGTTGGTTGAAATCATTACAAAGTAAAAATGAAGATGAAGAAGGTTTAAATGATGAAAATTCTGATAATAAAATTGTTGATGAATTACAATGGAAAAATACTATAACTGTTATTGAAGAAGTTGAAGGTCATGGATTATTTTTCCTCTCATCACAGGATTTTGAAATCAGAAAATTAGGTTTAAATATCTTGAGAATTACTGAAAACTTTGATCAAGCTCTTTATGATCAAACTCAAACAAGAGCTAAGCAACCAACAAAAGGAAATCATAATAGATCTAACTCAAAATTTGCAGCTGATATAGGTACAAGAGTTATATTCATCTTACAAACCACGGATTTTTTCAAATTGATAGGGTCACATAAACAATATTTAAGTGTTGCTGAACGTTCAAGATTATCAAAATTAAGTCAAAAACAAAGAAGAGATGTATTATTAAGACTTGCAGAATCTGATTATGGTATTGATTCCGCATTATGGTTTAGAGTTTTCCCTAAGTTATTGAGTATATGTTTTGAAAGATGTCCAATGACAATGGCATTAACAAGATCAATTGTCTGTACAAGATTAGTTCAAATTCATGAATCAATCTTAAACATCTCTGAAACTCCAAGATCAAATCAAAAATCTAATTATGGTCCACCTGAAGTTTTAATTGAACAATGGAAGTTATATCTGATTGTTGCTTGTACATCGTTAACTTCAACTAGTGAACAAAGACTTCATATCCCAGCTAATTATTCCCATGGTAAAAAAAAATTACAACAATTACTTACTATTCAACATAGTACAATTACAAGTGCAAGAAGTGTTTTCAAACTTACGTTAAATTTACTTAATGGGTATAACCAAGCTGTTAGAGATGCTATTATCACAGGTTTGAGTTGTATGAATATAAACATTTTCAGAACGTTTATTGAATGTGTTGAACCAATATTTACTCAATGGGAACAAGAATTAGGTAAACAAGTTCATTCAAAAGATAGCAGATTAAGAGTTGAAGTTACACATGTTCTGAATATAGTTTCCAGATTCATTGAAGAGGAAAGTATTTCACAAGATGAATGGATTGTTGATAAACTTGTTGGGTTCATAAAAGTTATTAAATCATTCTTATCTCAATACGAAGTGCAACATAGTTTTGAATTTCAAAAATTACGTCGTTATTTCTGTGGGTTATTAGAAAATGTTTATAATGGTATACAAAAAAATGGTGATGCATCAAAATGGCTACCATTTGAAGCTAGAGTTGCATGTTTTACATATCTGGAAGAATGGTGTGGGTATGGTAAATATTCATCGATTGCTAAACAAAGATATGCACAAATGACAAAACATGTTACAAACTCTCAAGAATTAGCAGCTTTGAATTCTGCTATTGAATTTGAAAGACAAATTTTAAGTATTGCAGCTACAAATTCCATGGTTGCCTTGTTGAATGGTAAAATTCATGAATTGAGAGGTCAAACAATGTTAAAATTTGATCTTCCTGGTTTATTATCTTGGATTGATTTATTATTTGGCTCGCCAAATGAAAGAATTTCTTCATTAGCTAAAAAGGCATTGAGAAGCCTTTTTAAATTCAATTCTCCTGATCCTGAACTTTATCGTGAAGTTATGAAAAAATGTGTTTTTGATCAAATTTTACCAACAATTGAAAATTATTATGTTGTATTGGTTGAAGCATTATTAGAAAATGAATCATACCCAATTAAAAATCATGAAGTTTTATTGCTGGGTCTTTATGGATGCTCTTCGAATAGTTTTGAAATTCGCTCCACTGCTATCAAATTACTCATCAATGCTGAAAAAAAATTGTTTGGCTCAGATGTTGTCAATGCATTCAGTGAAAGAGTCATGAATAATAATAAAACTATTTATAAAAGAGCTGCATTAGATGTATCTACATATTTTGCTTCATCACATCCAGAACAAAATATCTTTTTAATCTCTGAATTAACAATGTATTTTCAACTAATTAATTCTGAAGCAAGAAGAGATCTTTTGGCCATTTTGATGCCTTGGTTACAAACAGTGGAATTGAAAATCACAGATGATGGTATTGATATTGAATCTTATATGGTTTTAAGTAATTTGTTTGAAATCACTATCAAATTTTCAGATGCAATGCCAACTGAAATTGAAGCATTATGGATCTCACTAGGTAACGGTGCTAATCTTGCAAATATAGATTCAATTTTGAAATTTTCAATCAAGGCTACATTACTTAAAAGAAATCCACTTTTCGTTGAATTTGCAAGTAAAGTACTTGTTTATTTATCAGCTTCTAGTTTAAAGCTCACAGATACTCTGGTTTCGTATATTGAACCTAAAGCTATGGTTCCACCTCAACTTTCAAATGGTGAATTACCAACAAATGAAATTGGTTTACCTTATATTGCAAACATTTGGAAAACTCTAAATTATACAGGTAAAGATTCAGTTTTTTCATTAGGTCAACTTTCATTAATATATTTGGCAGATTTAATTGTTGTTCCAAAAGATACATTAACTGCCAAAATTCCATTGTTATTACATACATCATTTGTATTATTAGATCATTATTTACCAATTGTTCAAGAGTCTGCTGCAAAGATGATTATCTATGTATTGGGGACAGTTGGTCCACATCCAAAACTTGAAGAGACCAAGGACATTATTAGAAGAAATCACAAATCACTTTGGATTTATGACGATTTAAATCATGACAAGAATGGTGCGCGTTCTCCAAAAGATATGGATCTGCTGGTCAGAAATATTTTGGAGATTTTTAATGCTTCAGCTCCTAATTTACAACAAGATTGGGGTAGGGTTGCATTATCATGGGCTACAACTTGTGCTGTTAGACATATTGCTTGTCGTTCATTCCAAGTTTTCCGTTCTTTGTTATCATTCTTAGATCAATCAATGTTAAAAGATATGTTACATCGTTTATCAAATACAATTTCTGATGAGACTCATGATATACAAGGTTTTGCTATGCAAATTTTGATGACTTTAAATGCTATTGTTTCGGAATTAGATGCTGAAAAACTGATTGATTATCCCCAAATCTTTTGGGTTACTGTTGCTTCATTAAACACAATTAATGAACATGAATATGTTGAATTATTATCTGTTTTGAACAAATTTTTATCCAAGATTGATTTAGATTCTGAAGATACAGTGGCATGTTTATTTTCTACATTCCCACCAAATTGGGAAGGTAAATTTGAAGGTTTACAACAAATTATAATGATTGGATTAAGATCATCAGTTTCATTAGAAGCATCACTTCAACTATTAGATAAATTGAATAAATTAAGTGATAGTGAAATCATTGCTGGTGAATCAAGATTACTATTTGCCCTATTAACTAATATTCCGAGATATTCAAATGCTTTGGAAAAAGGTGATATAACTCCACAAATTCAAGAATCTACAAATACTTTAAGAGAAATGGCAATGAAGAATAATCAACCAAATTTAGCAAGAATTATTGATTCATTATCAAAAAATAGATTTAGAACTAAAAGTGATTTCTTAAGTCAAACTGTTAATTTCATTGCAGAAAATTATCTTGCTGAATATAGTGGTCAAACTGTAATTTTCCTTTTGGGATTATTATCAAATAAGACAGAATGGGTTAAGATTGAAACCATGAAATTATTGAAATTATTATTCCCAAAAATCAATTTAGCAGAACCTCAATTTCAAGGTTGCGGTGCTGACTTAATTTCACCATTATTAAGATTATTACTCACACCTTATGCACAACAAGCATTGGAAGTTCTTGATGAAACAACAAGTATTTCTGGTAGTAAATTAGATAAAGATATCTTAAGAATGAGTTTAGGTAATAAGACTATAAGGAAAGATTATGAAAAAACTGCAACATTATTTGGTATTCCAGAGGAAAGTGGTTGGTCAATTCCAATGCCAGCAGTTACAGCAGCAACAACAAGAAATAATGTTCATGCAGTTTTCACAACATGTAGAACAGTTGTTGAATCTGAAATTCCAGAGGAAGAAGTTGAACAACAAGAACAAATCAAATTTCATAGAGAAGATTATAACTATGGTCAATCGAATAATGAAGCACAAGATGCTGCTTCCATTACTGAGGAAAATGATGGTTCATTAAGTCATATGTGGGCAGAATTAGATAATTTAGATTCTTTCTTCACAAAAGATGCTGAAAATTCTTCAAATTTTTCAGATAATACAAATGGTGCAGGTCATCATTTCCGTTCTACATCAATTGATACAAGATTTAGTACAACTGATCAATTAGCACCATTTGAATCAGCACCACAAGTTTATGATAAAAAAGTTTCTGTTATTTTGAATAGAAGTTTAGCAAGAACTCAATCTAATACATCTTTTAAAACTTCATTAGCTGATTCATTCGGGAATAGTCCAATGAGTGATACAAGACATTTAAGTGGTATATCATCTCGTGAAGCTTTTTTAAGATCAAGAGGTGAATTAGTTAGTTCATCGGAAAATAGTGGTTCATCAACTCCAACATCACCAACTTTTCCTAAAGAGGATTCATTTAGATTTGAAGGATTATTAGCACAACCTGCACAACCAAAACCAAGAAAAAGATTAAGTAGGTTTTCACAACCAGATTATATCATGAAGATGAGATGAAGGATATTTAGGACAATCGTTTACTTTTTTAAAGTGTATAAAGATTTAAGTTTAGTCATTAGTTTAATAGAGGAAATGACCTTAAAGGACACTATTTATACATTAAATGAACTCGTAATCAAAGAAACCACTACCTAATATAGTATAAAAACTATATACAACATTAATAGTCATTGTATTTTATTAAAAGTATTTGAAGTATGTCTTTGTCATGATCATAATAGAAACAATGGATTACGTAATCTGGATTAAATTATACTAAAATTATCATTAAAACATTGATTTTGTTAGTAAATGATATCAAAAAAAATTAATAATAGCATTAAAACTAGTCAAAGTTTGCTATAGAGTAAAAAAAACCTTTTTTTATTGAGTTTTTTTTTGAAATATTTCATTCTTTTAAACTTATCCACATGGTAAATTTTAAATTTACTTTAAAAAACAATATAATAAAAAATTTAAAATCAAAATTATAATTTTTTTCCTTATTTTACCAAAAAAACACACCAAAAAGAATATTTAGGCAAAAATAACCCAATTATTTGATCTTATCTACTTACAAAAATATTGTACTTTTAAAATCTAATTTAAATTATTTATATGTTGCCCTTAACAATATAGTTAGTACTATAGTCTATAACTATTCATACATTGAAATGTTCAGATATCTCAAGTCTCTGATAAACTTATATTGGATAAGAAGAGAGTGGTTCAGCAGCTGTTGGTTCCATGTATACGTATACCTAAACATTTGAGGTTGTGTAATCAATCGCAGCTATATAAACGGTCAATATCAAAGTATCAGTTACTTTATTATCTACTTCACTACATATCTCATAATCAAATTCATATAAACATGGACCGTATAAATTCATTAAATTATGTACAAATTATCATATATATAATATCCTCCAAACCCTATGGAGGTTATTTTTAGTTTCTATGTTCTTATTATATCTATATTGATTGATTTAACCTGATTCTGGTAAGGCATAAATCATTTTACCAGATTCATCATAATCAACTCTTCTATCCTTCTTATTATCTCTTAATACAGTACCATAACGGAACCCAACTTGACCAACTTTAGCTTGTTTAAATTCAAAAACTGAACGACCACGTTTTGTTGATTTTGTTCTAAGGATTTTAGGTTCATGTTGTTTTTGGTAATGTTGTTGTTTTGGTGATGGTGTTGATTCATCATGATCTAAATTTTTTAATAAATCAGTTGCTAATGGTAATCTATAAATTTTTGAAGCTTCAATTGGACCAAATGGTTCATTTTCTGCAACTGTTAAGAATCTTGAAGTTAAAGTTCTTTCAGGAACTGGAATTTCAGTTAAATTTTCTGCATGTTGATTTGAATTGAATAATGGGAACATTTTATACATTGTATTGGACATATTTTTAAGTTCTTGTGTTACCAAATTCTATAATTATTTGTTAGTATAAAATACTTAAAAGAGTATTTGTAAATAAAGATCAAGAAAAAAAGTTTAATTGATTCATCAGATTTAAAAATTGAAACCATTATGTTGTCTTAAAGACTAATCGAATTTTTATATAAGTCTCATCATAAAAGAAAAACTTGATTCTTGATCTTTATTACCTATTAATAACATACTTTTTTATTCCATCTTTCTTCAATTTCTTTTAATTTAACAACAGCTTCTAATCTTGGGATTTTAATACCCATTTGTACAGCTAATTGTTGAGTTGGTACATTATCTTTTGTAATTTTTTGATAAATATATGATCTATCTTGATGAGAAAGTATGAAATTTGTTTTACAATTCTTATTATGAGGGAAAGGATGTAAAGAATCATGATAATTAGCAGTTGGTGGTATAACATCATCTTTTAAATTACCTTTATGATCTTTAACTTTACCAGTTTCAAAATCAATTAATGGATTACCTCTTTCTCTAACAGGTAAGATATATTTTGGTTTATGATTTTGACTTGGTTTGAAATATTTATTATCAAGATATTCACCTTTATAATTTGGTTTCCCCAAAAAGCATTCCATTTGGAATCTTAATTGAGTTTTATGTTCATATTTACCTTGACGACCTTGTTTTGGAGCTTTATAAAAAGGGTATGCAATTCTTCTTCTTGAGAAATGACGAATTTGTTGATGTGATGAAGATTGGGTATGTTTGAGCCCACTTATGAGCTGATTTTGACACTGACTAGTAATCATTGGAATATATGAAAAAAACAAAATAGAAATAAACCTGACTTTTGTCTTATTTAAATGGTTTTTTGTTTACTCGTTGATTTCCAATTTGTTGAATTTTTTTTCACCAAAGAAAAATCGTTCATACAAAAAAAAATTAGGGCAGGGTAAAAACCGCGTATACAAATTAATATCAATGAGTTTTAATTACTGATTATTTGTTTCTATGTGTTAAGTTCTAGGTATCATTGATTTATAAGTTGATTAGATTGTGAGATTATGAGATACTAGAGAAATTTGTGTATTTTATGGTTTTTTTTGGTGAAAATAGAGTGAATTTAAGGTATAATTGAACTAAAAATTGATAAAGTACCAATTAATAAACTAATAATGTATATTTGATTAGCTAGTTACATCATGGTTCTTGTTAACACCCAGAGTTATTAATTGTATATTGAAATCATGATTTATATTACCAAACAAAGAAGATCTTCAAAAGACAATTAAAGTGTATGAATAATCATTTCATAATTAAATCATAATTATATGAGACCTCCTGATCCAAATGATTGTTTCAAAGATAGAAACATAGTATATTCGATGAGCTGATTCCATATAAAACAAACATATCTTCATCAAATTAAACAATCCTTCTCAACTTCTATCTCCTACTTGACTTTTAAAGGTGTTTAATACTCTGATGAATGTGCGATAACCAAATAGTGTATAACAGCCATCAAACAATTTATTAAATCCACCAATTTATCACATATTTTCATGATTTAAACTGGTATTCCTATATAAATAAACCTAATAATCAACATGAACTAATTATATTCTCGATTAACCCACAATTCAAGTCATAAATCATCACTTTACTCTTTGAATTACGATCAACCAAACGCTGATTGGCTGGGAATAATGGCCTGGTTCGCACAGATTCAAACGATACCGGTGAAAAAAAAATTATTCATCAGTCATAAACAATTTAAGCAAAAACAAAAACATAGATTATTCTTGATCTTTTATTGATTAGATTATATCTTGATTACACATCTTTTCCGTTAATCATGAGCATGTTAGGACACTTGGCCCAAGGGTCAAAGAGATCATTCTCTACTTCATCAAGACAATATCAAAAAACTGTCTATAACAAATATTCAAATATTATTACTCAACCAAAAGATCAAGGTGCTTCACAAGCAATGTTTTATGGTACTGGTTTTAAAAAAGAAGATTTTAATAAAGGTCAAGTCGGTGTTGGTTCCGTTTGGTGGTCTGGTAACCCATGTAATATGCATTTATTAGATTTAAATCATAGATGTTCAGCTTCTGTTAATAAAGCTGGTTTAAAAGCTATGCAATTTAATTCAATTGGTGTTTCTGATGGTATTTCAATGGGTACTGCAGGTATGAGATATTCTTTACAATCAAGAGAAGTTATTGCTGATTCTTTTGAAACCATTATGATGGCTCAACATTATGATGCTAATATTTCTATCCCATCTTGTGATAAAAATATGCCAGGTGTTTTAATGGCTATGGGTAGACATAATAGACCATCAATTATGGTTTATGGTGGGTCTATCTTACCAGGTCAATCTTGTGGTGGTGAAAAATTAGATGTTGTTTCAGCTTTCCAATCTTATGGTCAATTAATTTCTAATCAAATTACTGAACAAGAAAGAGAAGATATTGTTTCAAAATCTTGTCCAGGTGCTGGTTCTTGTGGTGGTATGTATACTGCTAATACAATGGCTTCAGTTGCTGAAGTCTTGGGTATGACTTTACCAAATTCTTCATCTGCCGTTGCTACATCTCAAGAAAAATTAGATGAATGTGATAATATTGGTGAAGCTATTAAAAAAGCAATTGAATTAGATTTAAGACCAAGAGATATCATGACTAAAGAAGCTTTCAAAAATGCAATCACTTATGTTATCGCTACTGGTGGTTCAACAAATGCTTGTTTACATTTAGTCGCTGTTGCTCATTCTGCAGGTGTTAAATTAACTTTAGATGAATTTCAAGAAATTTCTGATAAAACTCCATTATTAGCTGATTTTAAACCTTCAGGTAAATATGTTATGGCTGAATTAGCTCAATATGGTGGTACTCAAGCTGTTATGAAATATTTATTAAATGAAGGTTTATTAACTCCAAATACAATGACAATTACTGGTAAAACTCTTGGTGAAAATGTTGCTGAAATTGCAGGATTACCAGAAGGTCAACCAATCATTTATCCAGTTTCAAACCCAATCAAACCAAATGGTCATTTACAAATCTTGTATGGTTCATTAGCTCCAGGTGGTGCTGTTGGTAAAATTACAGGTAAAGAAGGTACTTATTTTAAAGGTTTAGCAAGAGTTTTCGAAGATGAACCATCATTCATTTCTGCTTTAGAAAATGGTGAAATTAAAAAAGGTGAAAAAACTGTTTGTATTATTAGAAATGAAGGTCCAAGAGGTGGTCCTGGTATGCCAGAAATGTTAAAACCTTCCTCTGCATTAATGGGTTATGGTTTAGGTAAAGATGTTGCCTTATTAACCGATGGTAGATTCTCTGGTGGTTCTCATGGGTTCTTAATTGGTCATATTGTTCCAGAAGCTGCTGAAGGTGGTCCAATTGGTCTTGTTAAAGATGGTGATGAAATTGTTATTGATTCTGATAATAATAAATTAGATGTTTTGATTTCTGCTGAAGAAATGGCTGAAAGAAAATCTAAATGGGTTAAACCTGCTCCAAGACATACTAGAGGTGCTTTAGCTAAATATGCTAAATTAGTTTCTGATGCTGCTCATGGTTGTGTTACTGATGGTGATGAAATTTCACAATAAATTTAATTTATTTTGAACCATCTTCATAACATTTATGAAAATCATATTCTTTTTCACTTCATATTCATTCATTCATAGATGAATGATCAACTTTTTCTTTTATATTAATTATTATTACACTTTACTTGTTTCATATTGTCATTTTAAACTGAAGTTTCTGTTACATTACTATAATTTTTTTTATCACAAAACTTGTTCATATAAAGGGGGGTTATAACGTTTTAAGGTCTATCCTAGAAAGGATGCATTAATGTATATCACATTATTATTTATTATAAATTAATACTAGTTCATCATTTTAGAATATTATTTGAACTAGATATTATTTATTCACTTACAATTTAGCATTGAGAATTGCTCATATTTGATTATATATAATTATACCAAAAACTATCATTTCATCATCAATATCAAAGGTATGATGCTTGAATTAATACATAAATCTATATTATCAAAATTTGATTGATTGTAGAGTATTTTCAATGCCATAAATCAAGAAATCAAAGTTTATTATGATTTGTAATTGCTTATGTAATACTCATCGCTAAATTTTTTTATTTTTTGGTATTAGTATTATACCAATCAAATCTTTAAAATTTGTCAACATTTCAAAAAGATAAATAACCAAAAGTTGAACTTGATTTGAATTATTATTCATAATGGCCGAAGCTGAAGCTATCTTCATTGGTGCCAATAGACAAACACACGTCAGTGATGTTCATCCAACAAAGAAATTTGTTGCTTTTGGTGCAGGTAATACAATTGCATTATGGAATCCATTATCACCAATTTCAAGAGGTGTTTATTCAACTTTAAAAGGCCATAAAGCTGAAGTAACATGTGTTAGATTCTTAAAAAATGGTGAAATCTTAGTATCTGCTTCTGAAGATAAAACTGTTAAAGTTTGGGGTTTTACTGAACCTGAATCATCATATTTAAAATTATTACAAAGTTTTGATGAAGTTCATAATAGTTCAATTATTGCTATTGGTGTTTTCGATGAAATTTTTGCAACTGGTGATAGTACCGGTCTTGTTAATTTATGGAAATTGAATTCAGATGGAAAAGTTATCAAGATTCATGATTTTAAGACTAAAATTGGTGTATTACCATTAGGTATTGCAATTCAAGAAATAACACCAGGACAGTACTTATTATCACTTGGTGGTTCCAAATTCAACGTTTTCATTTACAAATTTACATTAATTGATGATGAATTCAGTGATTTTGAATTAGTTGCAGAATTAGAAGGTCATGAAGATTGGGTTAAAGCTTTAGCTTTTAAAAAATTAAATGAAGGTGATTATTTATTAGCAAGTGGTTCACAAGATAGATATATTAGATTATGGAGAATTAGATTGAATGAATTAATTGATAATTCAGATGAAGATGAGAATAAATTAACATTATTATCAAATAAACAATATAAATTTTTCTTAAGTAAAGATAGAGTTGCAATCAATTTTGAAGCTTTAATTATGGGTCATGATGATTGGATTTCAGCAATGAAATGGCACGACACAGAATTAAAATTATTAGCTTCAAGTGCTGATACTGCATTAATGATTTGGGAACCAGATGAAATTTCAGGTATTTGGATTTGTAGTTCAAGATTAGGTGAAATTAGTACAAAAGGTGCAAGTACAGCAACTGGTTCATCAGGTGGATTTTTCGCTTCAATATGGTTTAATAATGGTGAAGGAACAGATTATATTTTAACAAATGGTAAAACAGGTGCTTGGAGATTATGGAAATCTCAAGATCAAATTAATTGGGAACAAACATTAGCCGTGACAGGTTCAACTAAAAAATGTACAGATCTTTCATGGTCTATTAATGGTGAATATTTATTATCAACTTCATTAGATCAAACTACAAGATTATATTCACAATGGTTAGTTGAAGCTGATGGTACAACAAGAACAACTCCAACATGGCAAGAATTTGCAAGACCACAAATCCATGGTTATGATATGATTTGTATTTCTACATTATCAAATACAAGATTTATTTCAGGTGGTGATGAAAAAATCTTAAGATCATTTGATGAACCAAAAGGTGTTGCAGAAATATTGAAAAAATTTTGTAGAATTGAATTAGAAACTGATATAATGCCAGAATCTGCTTCATTACCTGCATTAGGTCTTTCAAATAAGGCTACCACGGATGAAGAACAACAAGCACCAACTGATGGTGATAATCAATTAAGAGAAACAGCAGATACAAATAACATTTCATATGAAATTTTGAATGATATGAAATTACCACCTTTTGAAGATCATTTACAAAGACATTCATTATGGCCAGAAATTGAAAAATTATATGGACATGGTTATGAAATCATTTCAGTTGATTCAAGTCCTGATAAACAATTGATTGCAAGTTCATGTCGTTCAAATACTCAACAACATGCAGTTATTAGAATATTTGAAAGTAAAAATTGGCAAGAATTAAAACCAAATTTAAAACTACATAATTTAACAGTTACAAGAGTTAAATTTTCTCCTGATAATAAATATTTATTAACAGTTTCAAGAGATAGACAATATGGTATTTGGGAAAGAAATTTTGAAGATAATAGTTTTAAATTAGTTCATGAGAATCCTAAGGCTCATACAAGAATCATATGGGATTGTTCTTGGAGTCCTTTAGAAATGGGGAGATTTTTCTTTACATGTTCAAGAGATAAATCAGTTAAAGTATGGAAACAAGGTGATGAAAAAGTTGAATTAATCACATCCACGAAATTTGGTAATCCAGTTACTTCAATTGATGTTCATAAGAAAACCATTAATAATAAAGCATTGATAGCAGTTGGTTTAGAAGATGGCTCTATAATTATCAATACATTTGATGGTAGTGAATTAAAAGAAATCCATGCATTTGATGAAAAAGATACACCAGCTGATAGAATTTCAAGAATTAATTGGAGTGTTAATGATGGTGATAAACTACATCTTGCTGTGGCAAGTCATGATCATTCTACACGTATTTATTCTATTTCAAAACAAATTGTATAGATTTTTTGTATATAAAAGGTAAAATTAGTTAATAATATTTAAAAGTAGCGTTACAGCCTCAAAGGATTCGAACAGGTTCTAGTTTTATGGCTGGGACAGCAACACAACAAAAACAAGCACAGTAAAATATTCTATTCCAATTACAAAGAATCTTCTCATAATATACACTCAAATATTTCCCTTTGAAATAGTTCAAAATTGTCTTTTAAAAGTTCTCGGTTGTTATCGTTTTCTGTTTTCTGGCGCACCCAATTCAAAATCGATAAATACAGATCAAAACCTTTCAAACTTTCAATTTAATCAACATTGTTCAAACATTTAACCCTCAACTCAATCATTTCAATGCCAAACAATGTCAACGCTTCTCAATATCTCATACTTGAGCTATCGCTTCAGGAAAATTAGGTTTTTTTTGCTCATAGCAATCACTTTAGTTGGACTTTTCTACTACACATTCCTAAATGAAGAATATGAATTGAATCAACATGCTGATGAAGATACTTTACCTAGAATCATCAATGAACATGGTGAACAATCCACAATGGATTTGATGCATGATGATACTCATAGAGATAATTTGAATGATCCAAAAGTATTGAAACAAAAAAACAAATATTTCCCTATCCTTGAAGTGGAAGAATCTGAAGGAAGACGTGAAAAATCTTTATTACCTGATGAATATTTCTATAATCAAAAGGAAACAAACTTGAGGAAGAATAAAAAACATTGGTTATATCCAATTGGTAAGGAAAACTTGATCAAATTACCTAAATTAACTAAAAAAGATGATTATCCAGGTGTTCAATCAACATATTTTAATGATGGTGGATTAAAAGATGAATTAAAATTATCTAAAATTAAAGAAACTTTCATGAAATCATGGAAACTTTATAAAGAACATGGTTATGGACATGATGAAGTCCGTCCAATATCACATAAGAAAATAGATCCTTTTAATGGTTGGTCTTCCACAATTGTTGATGCATTAGATTCATTATGGATTATTGATGAAAAACAAGAATTTGAAGAAGCTATAAATTTCCTTAAAACTGTTAATTTTAAACAATCATTTCGAAATAATATCCCAATTTTTGAAAATATAATTCGTGTTCTTGGTGGGTTAATAAGTGGTTATGATTTAAGTAAAGAAGAAAGTTTATTAAATCATGCCGTGGAATTTGCTGATTTCTTAATTGAAGCATTTGATACACCAAATCATATGCCAATGCTTTATTATAAATGGCAAGCTGATTTAACTAATAAATTTGCTTCAAGACAAGCTTGTTTAGCTGAAGTTGGTTCACTTTCATTGGAATTTTCAAGATTAACTCAATTAACTAATGATCATAAATATTATGATGCTGTAGCAAGAATAACTCAATTTTTTGAAAATTCAATAGATAAGTTCTTTATGAAAGGTTTAGTTCCAAATAAAATTGATATATCAGGCTGTAAACTATTAAACAATGAAGATATTGAAAAAGGTTTACATTTAAATAATCCAAATGTTATAAAATCTATTTTTGAAAATTCTTTTGTTTATTGTCTTATGAATCAGCACTTCACAACAAGACAAGCCAAACAAGAGTTTTCACTTGGTGGTCTTGGTGATTCTTATTATGAATATATGCCTAAAATGTATCATTTACTTCGTGGTGATCCAAAACATGCAAAAGTCTACAAAGATTTATACCTAAGAGCACTTGATGATATTAAAGAATATATGTTATTCCAACCAAAAATTCCAAATGGTGAAGATTTATTATTTTCAAGTTCTATATCAGTTTTCCAAAAAGATGGTCGTTATTTTGTTGAACAACAAAATGATATGCAACATTTAACTTGTTTTGCAGGTGGTATGTTTGCCCTTGGTTCCAGATTATTTGGACGTCCTGATGATTTGAAAATTGCAGAAAAATTAACAATGGGTTGTGTTCATTTATATAAAGAGTTACAAATCATGCCTGAAAAAATTCATGTTGGAAGAATGAAATCAAAAGATGATTTATTTGATATGGATAAAAGATTGGATAAAATTTGGTTTCAATCAAGAGATGATTCACCAACTGGTGATGTTAGAGAATTAACAAAACCAGAAGTTGATAAAATAAAAGCCAAAATAATATCTTCACAACCACAACAACAAAAATCTAATACTAATCCATCTGAAAAAGTTGATAAAAGAGCAACTATAAAAAACGATCAAGATTCTCATAAAGAAGACCCATTGTATACAATAATGTCACCAAATCCTGATTATTTCCCAAAAATAGAAGTCATAGGTGAAGATCATTACATTTGGTCAGTGGGTGATACTCATAATCAACCATATTGGGTTAATGATATGGATCCAACTTATAACTTAAGACCAGAAGCTATAGAATCTGTATTCTATATGTATAGGATCACTGGTGATTCTAAATGGAGAGATTATGGATGGATGATGTTTGAAAATATTGTTAAGAATTGTAAGAATGAAGATGGTGAATTTGCATCAATAAGAGACATTACTATTGAAGGTAACGTTGTTTCAAAATTTAAAGATAGATTAGAAAGTTTTTGGTTTAGTGAAACTTTAAAATATTTTTATTTATTATTTGATGATGTTCAAAATTTGAATTTAGATGAATATGTCCTTAATACTGAAGCTCACCCTTTCAAATTAGTGAACTAGTTGTATAAACGGGGAACATGAACATACATCATATTTTACATCATATATGCAATTAATATTCAGTTGGCAGGTTCAATATTAATGAGTTTAATTGTATAATAAAAATTACATCATGATATTATATTCAAAGATTTTTTTGTTCACCTTTTTAATTTTTTTCAAATTTGTAGTTTATTCATAAATAATTATACATAATATATCTGAATTTTAAGAATTGAATTTTATGAATATTTTTGAGATCAACATCAGATCATACCACTTTCCAGCTTGGTAAAATTTCTAAATATTTGAAATCATTATGAGGACCAGTCATACCATCATAAAATGGAGCGAAATGGAAATAAGTGAAAATTAATGTTCCAAACAAAAGGGAATAAACTGGAATTTTAACAAATAGTTTAGTCTTACCAACAGCATGCTCAACTAAAAATCCAAAGACATAGATTGCAAAATATAATGCAGGTACATAATGATGAACATAAGTAACTCTACCCATTATGGCAAAAGGTGCAAAATGTAATAACCAACCAATAAATGGATAAACACCACCAACAATAAATTTCCAATAATCTTCATCATTCCATTCTAATGTTTGACGTTGATATTTAATAACATATAACAACACCAAATAAATGAAAATTGGTAATGAAATTGTTGATAACCATGTATTAAAAGGATTACCAATTAGGAAATATCTAACATCATTAGTACCCCAACCACACATTCTAAGACCAACATGTAAAGTTGGCCATTCCCATGCTTTTGAAGCTAAATGATCAAATTTATCATAATCTGGTACAAGTGCATTATTTGAAGATGCCATGGCAAAATTAATTTGAATAAAATCTGACCAAAAATTTGATTTTGGTGCAATAAATCCATCATCAATTTCAAGTTTTTTATGCATATGATCTTCAACATTCCACCAAGTTGATTTATCTCTCCATGTCCAAGAATCTTTACAAACAACTTCACTCTGTTTAAACCCCCATGCTGGATATGCAGCACCAGTCATTGATAAATAACAACCTAAATCTGCGTGTCTTAATCTAAAATTTGTAGAAAGTGGATGTAATATAGATTTGTCCTCTTTAGGGAATGATTTATTTGCAGAAGTCAATTGTTCAACAATTTCAACAACCCAATCATCTTTAGAATCACCAATTTTTTCATTACCATAACCACCAACTTCCCAATGTTTTTTGGAAACATGTGCAGGGATTGTATGAGAATGTAAATTAACTCCAGTCCATTTGTGAACTAATCTAACAACATCACCATCTTGAACCTTGACCAAATCATCAGAGTTTTCATCTAATGTTTCATTTGAACGTCTTGAATATTTAAAAACCCAATTATTATTACCATCTGAATGTCCATAACCTGTAATCTGTTGTTGATTTGAACCATCTGGATAGATTTGAACATGTGAATGTAATAGATTTGGTGATGAGCCTTGTGATCTAATAGTAACCTCTGATCCAAATACAATATCTCTTGGTGATTTTTTGATTTTATTACCTTCTAAATTTGCTTGGAATAATGATGATGTAGAAGCATCACCAGTTCCTGATTTTGATAAAAGAGCAAAATGAACCTTGAATGAAGTAATATAAACGACAGCAGGGATGAAAATCAATGCCAATATTCTGACAGACCAATGTTTTGCATATTTTTTGATGTCAAATTCATTTTCGAACAATTTTTCATAAAGGTCTTGAACTGTATATAATCCAACAAGTACAGTGATGAATAATCCAACCCATTTAACTGAGCAGACACATCCAATTGAAATACCGGTTAAAATCATCCAAATGTACCATTTCTTGGTGAATTCTAAGCGTTCTCTTCTCAATGAATGTAGTTTTGTAAAACAGAGAAATGTAGTAATAGTGAAAAATAATAACATTGAATCCAACAAGATAAATTTACCCAAGGCAATATAAGAAGCTTCTAGTGTCACCATTAAAGTAATGAAATAAACAGTGACTAATTGAAATTTCAAAGTCTTAGCAGCAAAATAAGTAACAGGGATGCACATAATACTGAAAATTGCATTGAAATATCTCATTGTTGCAAAATCTAAATCAGCAGGATAGAGACTTCCAGATTTAAACTCAAAATCACCATTAAATTTAGCAATATATTCACTTAATCCAACAAGCATTTTCCCCAATGGAGGGTGAACATCATGATAAAACTCATGTTTGATATAATAAGAACCAAATTTACCAAAATGAGCTTCATCCCAAACAACTTTCTTTGCTGCGTCAATTTTTTTGAATCTTGTCCATGTTGCAATCAAGGTAAATAATATAGGAGCTATCAATGATTCAGCTACCCAAAAGTATTCCCAAAATTTTGAAGGCTCATTATCGATTTGTTTCTTTAGCTCATCATCAGTCTTCTCATCAATTTGTTGATCTGCGCTGTCATTTGCTTGATCTTTCACTACTCGGTCTGTTCTAGCTCTGACCTCAGACTCGTGCTTTACCGCACCTGTAGCTCTGATGGACATGTCAATTGAGATTTTAGCCAGCGATTGATTGATAGCAAGTTGGGTATGTCAATTGCAATGAAGAATATTAAAGTTTGTTGACGTTTTGATTGTTTCAGTTTATGACAAGTGCCAAAAATTGAAAAGCGCGAAACTTTAACAAAAGTATCAAACTTCAACGAAATTGAGTCAACATTAACAAGTAAACTACAATTGTTTCGATTGATTGTTTATTTTTTTATATAAAGAAATTTTCGAATGTTCTGATTTTGGATTGGATTTCTTTAGCCTAAAACCTCAAAGCCTCTGTGTATTGAAGGGACAAATCTCCCAAATAAGAAGGTTTATCGTTCAACATCCCTGTACAAAGTCTTCCCTGTGGTATATTCAACTCTTCTGTGAACTGTTTGATCTTCTGTAGACCATCCCCTTTCCCTTTATACTCTATCTCTATTAAAAAAGCCTTGAAACTACCATGTAAAAACACATTTATAGTTCTCAATACTAAAGAACCATCTAACAATTCATAACTATTCCCATTTTCCCCTTTCAAAGTTTGTCTCAATAACCAAAGACTTTGTAATTTAGTTTGTATTATGTGGTCAAGACTATCAATTGAAATATTTGAACAACCACTATCTATTAATTCTTTAGAAATATCATTATTGGATATAATGGCTGATTTATTGACTAATGTAATAGCTTTATGTGGCTCGTGACTTAATGCTAGGTTGTATAGAAAATTGCTTTGAGATGATTGTGCAGTAGAATTATTAATTTTGAATATTTTCAACTCAAATGACCATCTTCCTAATTCTTTTGGTATTTCATTTGATATCGTATCATGAAAAGTTGTTATGCTATTTGGGGACGCATTTTCGACCAGGAGAACTCTGTATAAAGAGATTAGTCTATGATCATGGTTATATCAATTATGAAGCATTAACTCACGCAGTGCTGACCATCTCAGTATCAAATGTTGTCTGCGGTATCAAATTGCTAATCTATCCAAATGATAATATAATTAAACCAGCAAAAACATTATTTTTATGTATTCGCGGTCTCACTTCTAGTATGCAAACAAAGGATTTATATACTTTTATAAGCTTTTATATCTTTTCTACCTATCCAGAGATTTATTTGGTTTATTTATGACTTGTCATTGTACTGTATAGCTCAGAATAAAATTCAATTAGGCTTGAGGTAGTGATTATTTTAAATTATTGAGTTTGAAAATTGACAAGAAAGAGAAAGAACTAGCAAAATCTGTAGATTTAAAAAATGAAGATCAGGTATAGTTTAAACAATAAGACGATACAATCATATTACTGAATGATTAAAAACCTTCATTCAATATATACATCATTAAATTTACTAAAACTGAATCAAAAAATCATCATATAACATCTTCTCATTATACCTTAACATTATTTTGTTTCTAATGGACTAACACTTTCATCACTCAACATACCTTCTTTTAATCTTCTATTTTCTTCTTTTAATTCCAAAATATATCTTGTTGCTAATTCAACAGTTGTTGCTTTTGAAGGTATTGAAATTGTTTGTTGTAATTGTTCAGGAATTAAATCACCCAATTCCATTATGGCTTGATTCATACGATTTCTTCTACCTTGTTCAGCTAATTTATGTGAAGCTTTTTTAGTATCTGAATCTTCTGAAGGACGACGTTGATGTGAACTCAGTTGTGGTTGTTGATGTGTTGAGATTGAACCATTTTGTTGTTGTGAAATTGAAAAAGATTTTTGATGTCCATTGGATGGTAATATCACTGGTGAATTTGAAGATTCTAATTTGAAATTCATTAATGTAGCAGGTGTAGCTGGTTGATTTGAACCAGAACCATTAGAAGATATTGAATCTTTTTTGGAGCGACGTCTTGTCACTGTAGGTATGCTATTAGAAGTAGTTGTGTTTGAATTTGTTGTATTTGTTGATGATGGTGGAGCCATCGAGCCATTTATTGATTGATCAACACTTGGATCTGGTAATGGTGTCATTTCGTATTCACCAGAGGTCGGAGTTGTTGCTAATGGAGTATTCGATTGAGAAGTTGAAGAGCCGCCAGGTTGTTGAAATTGGTGATGATGGTGATGATGAATTGAGGAAACATAAGAGCTTGAGCGCTTAGCTTTGATGATTGGAGATTGCTTAGCAATTCTACCAGGAATAGTTGGACCGACAATTGGAGTATTACCAGGTGTTTTCCTTTTATATTTCTTTTTTGTTGTAGCTGTGGATGATGTTTGATTAGATTGGTTTTCATCAGGGGAATTTGAATTTGAATTTTTTCTATACTTCATTGGAGATTTTGCTTCTAAAGCTGGTGAAGTTAATGGAGAGAAAAAATTGTTATTATTTGAACCATTTGTATTTATTCCAATTCCATTGTGTTTTTGGTTTTGATTGATCATTGATTCTAATGGCGTAACAGCGGGTGATACTAAAGGAGTGAAGACAACATCTGGCCTTATTGAAGTTTGATTTTGAATACTTGATGGATTTGAATCTAACTGAGGAGATTGAAAATTTTGTATGAATGAAGAATTTGAGGAGTTTGCATAGTTGGTAACATCAAAAGATTGTGGAGTTGGTGGGATTGAATGATGTCCATTTGTTTGCTGTTGAGCTTGAGATTGTTGTTGTGTATGTTGATCATGATCATTGTTTTGTTGATTATTATGTTGATTTTGGAAAAAGTTCATATCTAAGTCATTGAAATCTGGAAGCTGTGCCCACTCATGTAAATGATTTGAGTCATTTGAATTCTTTAAACTTGAATTTATTTCATTATTAAATTGATGATGAGATTCAGATGAGACAGAATTTAATATTGTATGTGATTGATTTTGATTATTATTTGGATTTGAAGGATTGAAATCTGAGTTGTTTGAAGGAGAATCAAAGTTCAGAAAAGCATGTGATTGACTTGGAGTAAATTCATGATTTGATTGATGATCTATTGGAGTTTGAGCATTTGAGGAAGGATGATTAATGTTACCAGAAGGAGTTGAAGCTTGAGAGTTTGGGTGGTCAAAGATCCAGTTGCTATCCATCAGTGTGTATGTTTAGATAATGAAATGTTTTGGTAAATATAATAGCTGGCGGAACAGTAGAATATAGTAATATAAAGGATAGAAGAAAAGAATAAACCTGGTGTTTAAAGCGTTTACGTTATAGTCTTGTGGGTTTCAACTTTCAACTTTCCTCTCAAGCTCAAAAAATCGCTTAAAGTGAACTGATTACATAACGCACACTAATATCTTTACATAAGCACGTAGTTAGCTTGATGATACACGTGGGTCTGTTGAGTAATTTTATTGGATGAATTTGGAAAATGGCTGCATCAAATCTCTGAAATTGAAAGTTTGAAACCAGATTTATTGCCCTTTAATTACCATGAGTCTTTATGAATCACACTATTAATTACTGTTGATGGCAAGCGGTTGAATTGAGGATTGTTTGTCGTTTGAACGGTGAATTGTTGACCGACCCGTGAATAATTGTAGCTGTGAAAGGACTAAGGGACCCTACGGTACCATGGCATGGCTTGATTAGATGACATGCTAAAGCCTGATATCCCCGGAATGAAAGTTAAGTACTTAGAAATGGTTACTTCAAGTTTAAACATGGAGGAGTTGTTGTAAAGTTGTAAATATTAAGTACTACTACGCAATATTACGGTTGAATGCAACCGATTTACTGGTGTTTCAACGGCTGTCTTTACTCGTGACTCTGAATTGTGAATTCTCACACTCCTTGAATAATAGGCTATATCACTTTAGGTATTACTCATACTCTCATACGTACGTACGTAGTACACCAGGCTTTATAGTATATGCGTCATACCTGTCAGTCGCGAACCTTATCTTATTTTTTAAACGCATGTGAAATTTCAACCACACGTACACGATAACCAGCTCTAGCCTCTTATATATAACTACTTAACCACTCATAAGTTCTTCAATTAATCATGGAACTAGAAAAAGGTTGAAACTAAGGGTGAAACTACCCGTTAAATTAAAAGCTGCAAGACGGCTAGCTTTAGGAATGTACAGATTGTCCACATGTAGATGTTCAACCAGATAACCTGGTATATGGTATATATTGTTGAAAAGAAGCTAGTATATCTTTGCAGAGCTAAAGCTCCAAGACTTAAAATTCTATGATTATGATCTACTGATTAGGAAGACACTGAATGAGCTTTTTGAATAATATACACTTGTTCAAGTATATAGAGGTTAACGAGCTGATGATTAATGGTTAATGGTTTATGGCTTTTAAGGAACAATGAAGATATTTCCCATGTCATTATTGAAGAGCTTAACATTGACCTCATTATCAATCAGTACTCTTCGTACTAGTGATCAGGGGACTTGAGAAAGTAAGCTAAATATAGGAAATTGAAAAGAGGTGCTTTAAGTAATTTTAAAAGTATAAGATGATCAAATAAGAAGAGAACGTCCAAGAGGTAGACCTAGTTCTGTATCTGAATCAATGAGCTTGTTGTTAATGGGGAAGCTGGCCAACGTTTTAAAAGTTCCAGGGTACAAGAAGCACTTTAGTTTATAGAACACAGAGCCAGAATTACACAACCATCTTATAATTGTCGTTGCCTTCATAAGTTTTCTGTGATCGAGATATCCCCATTCTATAATATGCGATTATATTCTAATATTAGCTACTCTAGCTGTTATTAAGCTCAGTATATACACACATAATATTATCGTGAATATCATGATATATATCCAACTTGTATATTACGTATAATCAAGTACCGAGCGTAATAACAGATCACGAAGTTATAGATCTCATTTTTGGAGTACTAGCTGAGTTCCAACCCTTGAGAATTCAAGATTACAGTATAAAGGGTGTTTGAACGCGTTGAACACAACTTATAGAGCCCCATATCATCTAAACTTATCTCATGCTTCTAAATCTGAACACTAATTGTAGCTAGACATGTAGCAGAGTACGGTATATCCGGTGGACAGAGTATGTACGCGTTCGATTGATTTAGACTGGGTAAGAAATGTACTTGTTTGTTCATGTATTAACTATAGAGAACAATAGAAAAAGGGTCATTTTGAGTTATATATAATAAACATTCTCTTTATTCACCGTATACTACCGTATAAGTTTTACACGCATTGAAGGGTTTTACGTACAGTAATTATTTACCATGTCTCGTATTTATATAGTGTTTACGTTTTCCCCTTTTAAGCCAGATCAAAAAGAAACTCCCATCCAAAACACCAAATTCCACCAATTAAAATTAAAACATCAGAACATCAGAAGATTTAAAACCGTTACACGCAAATTTTAGTGTGATGATTCCATTTTTAGAATGTTGGTTGATTTGGAAATTGGCATTTTTTATGCGCCTAGTGAAGAAAAAAAATTCCCCATGGTTTTAAATTTTATTGAACCAAGTTTCGTGTTTTATCTTGACTTTTATATATATACTTCCACTTCTTCTTTAAATACAACTTAATAGTACTACAAACTTACTCCCTCTTCCAACTGATCTTCACCTCATCACTTTATCAAACATTCGCTAATCATAGATCTAGTATCAGATCGATCTACTGCAACTAACTACGCCAAAATATTTTTCAACTAGATTCCAACACAGCCAAATTACATTCGTTCAACACACACACACTATAGATCTAGATCCAATATGCTACTCAGAAACATATTATTATCAGCCATAATAGCTGCAAAAGCAGTATTAGCTGATGATATGATCCAATGTAACGCTACATCAACATGTCCAGAAGATAAGCCTTGTTGTTCTCAATATGGTTACTGTGGTACAGGTAAAAACTGTCTAGGTGGTTGTCATCCAAGTCATTCTTTCAAAAGAGAAGTTTGTGCACCAATGCCAATTTGTACAAATTTCACTACTGATTTCACTGATAGTGATAAACAACTTAAAAATGTTGAAGATTATTTAGGTGATCCAGATGATACCGATTGGGTTTATACCGGTTATGTTGCTGATTATGATGATGCCGTTTTATTAGCAATGCCTGAAAATTCTGGTGGTACTGTTTTATCATCAACAAGATTTGTTTGGTATGGTAATATTAAGGCAAGATTAAAAACTTCAAGAGATAGAGGTGTTGTTTCTGCTTTTATTACTTTTTCAAATATTCAAGATGAAATTGATTTCGAATTTGTTGGTTATGAATTAGAAGAAGCAGAAACAAATTATTATTATCAAGCTATTTTAAATTATAAAAATGGTGAAAATTCAACATTATCAAATACTTTTGAAAATTATCATGATTATGAAATTGATTGGACTCCTGAACAAATTACTTGGTCAATTGATGGGAAAGAAGTTAGAACTTTGAAAAAAGAAGATACTTATAATGAAACATCAAAAACTTATTATTATCCACAAACACCTTCAAGAGTTCAAGTTTCTTTATGGCCTGCTGGTCAAAATACCAATGGTGTTGGTACCATTGAATGGGCTGGTGGTTTAGTTAATTGGGATTCTGAAGATGTTAAAGAACATGGTTATTATTACATGGTGTTACAATCAATGGAAATTACTTGTTATGATCCACCAAGTGGTACTTTAGTTGATGGTGATGTTTCTTACGTCTATAATGATTCAAAAAAATTCGATCAAGAATATGTTATGATTACAAATAATGGTACAATTATTGATTCTCAAGATGATACAGGGGAAGATGCTAAGAAATCTCAATCATCAAGTTCTTCATCATCTTCATCATCAAAATCAGATTCAAGCTCATCATCAAAATCATCATCTTCAGGAAAATCTTCCAAAACTTCATCAGGTGAAGCTACTAAAACTTCTGGTTCAAATGATTCAACAAGCACTTCAGGATCCGATTCAAATGGCGATTCAAATGATTCTGGAGCTTCATCATCAGCACCAGGTGGTTTCATCCAATATTCTCAAACATCTTCAACTAAAGGAAGTGAAGCTACTCAATCTGGAAATTCTGGTAATTCATTACAACAAACTTCATTAGTTTCCTTATTATTTGGATCTTTAATGTTGTTTATATAATCTTAGTGTTCTTTATTATTCACTTTTTTAATACCTTTTAATTATTTATAGTTTTCTACAAACGTTTTTAATTCAAAAAATTAATATTATTCATGCATTTTATATATCTAGCTTTATGTATTGAAAGTTGTAAACTTATCTTCTTTTCCCTTTAAAGTTCCCTTGTTTACTTGGTCCATTTATTCTATCAATTTCGCTTTGACTAATAACCAACCCATTTCTTGTACTTTTACCAACACTTTGAATTGATAATCCTTTATTACGTTTAATATTCTTTTTATTACCAAGACCTTTACCAATTCTATCATGAGTTGTAACTGATCTACCACCAATATTTCTAAACTCACCTTTTTTAACTTTTGATAAAACAATTCCTCCATCTCTTGCATCTTGTTCAAATTTATTAATTTTATTAATATGTGATTTAATCATACCTTTACGCATTGACATTGGCATTTTTTCTAATTTGGCTTTAAGATTACCATTCGTACTTGAAATATTATCAAGACGAGAACGTAATGTATGTGTACGAGCTTTACCAATTGGGCCTGATTCATGATCAAGAGTTGCTAATGTTAAATCAGCACCTGATTGTTGATTTTGGAAATTTGAAAGAATATGAGATTCATCAAGAAATCTTTGTAATTCTAAATCATTTTGTAGATTTTCTGAATCTTCTGGTAAGTTTTTTTGTTTGGTCTTGGTTAACTGAATTGGTTTTGGTGCAAGTGATGATTTACCGCTCTTTAATAACTTTCTTTGTTGTTTAGTTGGTTGAGTATATGATGATGATGTTGGATCAGTAAATTTTATAACTTTTGGTTTTGGTTCTTGGGATCTTGAATCATCATCGAAGCCTTTGAATTCTGAAAGTTCAGTATCATCCTCTTCATCATGACTGTCCTCGCTATCATAATTTCCCCCTTCCTCACTTCCAGATTCATCTTCATTGTATGATTCTATTTCTTCATCACTTAAATTGGATTCTGTATCTGATTGTTTGGTTTTATCTTCATATCCTAACTCTTCTAGAGAGCCAAATTGAGCTTCAAAGTTCTTTCTTTGTATTTCTAGCTGTCTCTTGTATTCAGCTTCATCGTCACTCATCTTCTAGTAGCTTTAAGCGGTTGATGTACGATATTCCATTTCATCAACTAGCTCATCTCTATGTCTTTAATTTTTTTTTATCTTTCTCGATTTTTTGAAAGGCCACTACTTCAACAGCTTTTTCACAATAGTCATAATTCAATCTCGACAACTTGACAACCTTGATCTAATCAATCGTCGAACAATTGCATACTCTAAAGATGACACGTTTCAGAGGGTGCATTGATATCCATTCAGGACAGGTCAAACAAATAGTTGGTGGGACATTACACCAAGACGATACAACACCAACAAGTTCATCATCAAAATTATCAACAAATTTTGTTTCAACTAAACCTTCATCATATTATGCCAATTTATATCAACAAAACAATGTCACTGGGACTCATGTTATCAAATTAGGGTCAAATACTGCTAATGATAATGCCGCTCTGGAAGCGCTACGAACATGGCCAAACGCTTTGCAAATTGGTGGTGGTATCAATGGTGAGAATTCTAAATATTGGATTGAACAAGGTGCTAGTCATGTTATAGTAACAAGTTGGTTATTCCCAGATGGTCAATTCTCTCAAGAAAGGTTAGACCAGCTAGTTAATGAAGTAGGAAAAGAAAGAATTGTCATTGATTTAAGTTGTAGAAAAAAAATTGATGAAAAGAATGGTGAAGTTAAATGGGTTGTTGCAATAAATAAATGGCAAACAATAACAGATTTTGAATTGAATCGTGAAAACTTCAGTAAATTAAGCAATTTTTGTGATGAGTTTTTAGTCCACGCTGCAGATGTTGAAGGTTTATGTAATGGTATTGACGAAGAATTAGTTGTAAAACTAAGTGAATGGTGTGATATTCCAATCACTTATGCTGGTGGTGCTAAAAATGTTAATGATTTAAATACAGTTGAAAAATTAAGTAAAGGGAAAGTTGATTTGACATATGGAAGTGCTCTAGATATATTTGGGGGTAATTTGGTTAAGTTTCAAGACTGTGTTGATTGGAATAACAATTCAAATTGATAAATCTAAAAAGTTCTACATTCAAATCATGATACATCTTTCATATTCTAAATTACAATTTGTAGTATACATATTTTTTATTTTTCCCACTAGGATTACCAATTTCCTTGATATTGATCATAACCATAACCACCTGTTGGTTGGGCATCATAACCACCATAACCTGCACCAGGTTGAGGTTCATAATTGGATGCATCACCTACACCAGCATTATACTGTGATCCTGCACCATATTGAGATTGATTACCACCGTAAGCGGTTTTATTACCATCACTTTTATCTAATGCCATAACAATACCAGCAACTTTACTTTGTAATTCATTAAGACCTCTTAAAACAACTTGATCTGGTGGTAAAGAACCAACTGTTTCAACATTTATATAGTATTTGTTTGGTTCTGCTTTATAATCAAAAGGTTCTTCTGGATTTGGTGGATCTTCATATTCACAATTTTCAGATCTTGGCCATTCTTCATCTATATCTTCTTCATACCAATAATCTGTGTGTTTTAGTTTATTCCATGGATCATATTCAAATCCTATAGCTGCACATGGTGACCATTTAGCATGTTCTTTTGCAATACCTTTTTTAGCAATGCATCTTATAAATAACTCTTGTTCATTTCTTAATTTACAAATTAAAACACCATTTTCTTCTGGATCTGTTATAATTGCACTACCAATGTTTAAATGGGTATTTTGAGAAACAATAAACAAATCTTTGGAATAAACATTTAAAGTTGAATCTTGATCAGCACGAACTTTTAATTCTAATTCAACTGAACATTTATTACAATAATCATCACACGTACAATCCCTTGAATATGATAATTTGTCAACATCTAAACTTTGTAAAGGTATCAAACCTAATCTATGTGCAATAAATTCATCAGCCAACACGGATGTATTTGTTTCAATTTCAACTGAATCTATAGCTAAAGTTGGAATTTCTGATATCATCACTCTTCTAATTGAATTTGCCAATGACAAATCAACATTTGAAAGGACAAAATCCACTTCATCACTAGCTGTTTTTCTAATATTTATAGAAGGCCCACTCATTTTTCAATGGAGTATTTTGACAACTGTGTGAAAGACAATAATAAGGGTGGTTGATCCTTTGTATTGAAGCCTAATGATTTATGTTTTGAAATATTTCGCCATAGTATATCAATCTAATTTATTCCAACGAAAACATTAAATTAATTCGCGAAGTGTTACCCTGTCAATAACTTTTTGTGTACCGTGAATTTTTGTATGGGGTACAAAGACAAACAAATAAAAATATAAAATGTGACAAAACTGTTCCTAAATTCTTTTGACGTTGATAAAGTCTATGCATGTTTGAATCAGTTATTGTCAGAAGATTTTGTTGATAGAATGGTTGTCTACGCCACTACTCGTGTATGGGAATTGTTGAAAGAAGACAAAAGTAAGTGTTGAGGGATTTCAGTTTTCTTTGATCAATGGTACGAATTTAGTTCAATTGCTGATGATAGAGGGCAAGAATGATAACAGGACTATTGATGTATCAGTATTTGTGGTAAGTGATCTATGGTGAATACCGAGACTAAGGTGATTGATCTTATATTTTGAATTGAGGGTGGTTTCGCTTTATGTTGTACACATTTGAAATCTTGATATGGAACTACTCAAATACAGGGTATATTTATGTGTTATGTTATTCAATTAATCACTTCAGTATTCGAGCCTGGTGCTTCTGCTTCTGTTGTTGAAACTTCCACAATGATTTCCAGTTGGGTATTGCGTCAATTCCATCATGTGCTCACATAAAGGTATGTTTGTTTTTTACGTCTTTTTACTACCAAGTCTACCTTGAAGCTAGCCTGTTTATTTTGTTCCCACCAAGACTTTGTCTACCAACAACGGTTTCATAAGCTTCAGACTACCCCATCACATGACTGAATTTCATTAGACGATCAATATGGTTCTAAACTGTTTCTTCAAATACTTCAATTATCAAATGTTTTGACTAGTAGTGTTTTTACAGGTGTTCATATAAAATGAATTTGAAGACCTGAGACATTTCAATTTTAGAGTAACTGAATATTAGTTTCTATTAGTTTCATGGTGTTAGAAGTTATATGACCACAAATTTAATGTCAAGGATGACTTGTTATAGAACGCTACACACTGTGGAACGTCAATTCAACCACGATGCTCAGTCCCAGGCTTTGAGAATTTGTTGAATATAGTTGGGCATTGGAGATTTAAGGATAGATACTACAACAATGATTACATTTTTAAACAGAACTGGCTGCTCTAATTTTTTATTGGTTGAAGAAAGTGAAAGGTTTATATTTCAAATGATGTGTTTTCTCACTTCAAAGCACATTGTGACTTGACTTCTTTGTCATTTATACTAAGATAAAAGGCTTTTAATTAAAAGGACTAAAGACTTCTTCTCATAAGGTTTTGCTTGTAGATTTATGCTTCCAAGAATATCAAATATGTGTAGACTATAAAATACCATATGTATACCTTCACCAAAGATATTATTCTCGCAATATTAGAGCACTTACTTTATATAAGTATTACAAATATAATGCCTCAAAAAAGCCCAAACAATAGTTTATAATTGAGCTAATTCATGAGAATTAATCGAATGATTATATAAATACAAGAGAGTATCACTCATAAAACATTTTTGAAGTATCAAACTCTGTATATTTGAAACTTTCTAGATATTATTCACAAATTAAGTTAGTCAATAATAATATTGTTATAATGCACGAAGAAGACAGAAAAAAATCACGTGAGAGAGAAGGATCAAATCTTAATCAAGTTGATGGACTTGAAAATCCATTTGCTGACCCTCAGACACCTTTAAACTATCCAACAATTTTCACACCAGCTCACCTGTTACTATCAAATTTCAGAGAAAACCCACCATCAACAAATGGCTTATCGTCATCTAAAACCACAAAAGATAGACGTAGAGCATTTATTGATAGAATGAGAGTTTTATCACAACAATCACAAGGATATAAAACACCTGAAAGCATACGTGAAGAAACTCAACAACAAGAATCTATTCATAAATTGGAGAAAAGAGCTAAAATATTGAAGTATACTAAATGGTGTTTAATAACTGATCTTATTGGTTGTACTGTATTTGTACTCTGTTTAGTTATTTATTTGTGTGTGTTCAAGTCTGAGGATCATGGGAATCAAGTGTCAAATTGATTTTGTTGGTGTTTGAGTTGAACAATGAGAACATTGAAATAATGTTCAGAGCTTCATCAGACTACCGCTATTCAATTTCTTGATAAAGAACTAAATATTTAAGCAAATCCAACACCACTAACTCTAAACCAATAGTGGAAAATCACTTAAATGGGACATTATATTATATCTTCAAGTTTTTAAACAAAATGTTCAGTAACATCTTCAATCTAAAGGTAAAGTGACAAAGTTGTATTTGTTAGTCTGTTTTGATATATTTGCCAATTTGTTTAGTTTCGCGGGTTAATCTCAATAAAAATAAGTTGAATTGAATGTTCTTTATAATCTGTATCATTAATTAAACATTGAAAACAATTACCTAATTACTATAATAACAAAGAATGTCAGCTACACAAATACCCATCCCTGATTTGAGATTTGAATCTTCTTTCTTCAATTCTTTACAATCAAAAGCAAATTCAGAACATCAAAACAAATTATCAAAACAAAATATTCAACAGCAAGAACTTGAAAACCCAAAAGGTCCAGTTCCAATTACACCAGGAATTATAATACAAGTGATATTAAAAGATGTTTTAATTATGCCATTGTTACAAGGTATCATATGGAGTGGGATTTTGATTGTTGCTAAACCTTGGTTAAGTTATGTTGCTAGAAGTGGTAGAGAATATGGAGTTCAATTATTTCAAAGTTTAGGTTTTAAATCAAGACAATTGAAGAGGGTTTAACGTTATTTTACTATAAAACAGAATTCATGAGATACGATATTAATATATATATATATATAAATTACAGCTTTAGTATCTTGTAGTTTCATAGTATAACAAAGTTTTAGTCTAATGTTTTTTTCTTCTCTTAAGAGGCAATAAGTATACAATTTGTCTTTTTGGAATAAAATGCTAAATGATCATAGACGTTCAAATTCAAGCCCATTCTGGATTTGAACCACCTCTATAACCACCTCTACCACGTCCTCTACCTCTACCTCTTCCTCTACCTCTACCACCAAAACCTCTTCTATTATTATTTTGATAACCACCTTGATTAAAAGTTCTTTCAGGTCTTGATTCATCATTTGAATTTGAAATAGTATCAAAGAATGATTTTTTCTTATCATAAGATGGTACTGGATCTTCTTCGGTTGTTGATTGATCAGGTCTTTGTAATGGATTTGATAAATCTTGTGAATTTTCTCTAATTTCTGAATCAAATTTTGCATTTGATGATTCAAAATCAAAATCATCTTTTGGTAATTCTTTTGTTTGATAGAATGCTTGTGATTGATTAGATCTTTGATTTCTATTGTTTCTATAATTTTGTCTTTGTCCTTGATATTGTTGATGTTGATGTTGTTGAGATTGTTGAGGTTGTTGTGGAATTGATTGTGGTTGAGGAGCAGGAACATCTGATTCTTTCACATCTTGATTCTCAGAAGATACAGGGGTAGCTTGTGGAGCAGCTTGTGGTTGTGGAACATTAGTTGTATTTGTTGGAGTTTGAACTGGAGCTTGAGTTGGAGTTGGTACGGGATCTTCCAATACTGATAAATCATGAACATCAGAACCTCTAAATACAACGACTGGGTAGACATCGTTTGAAGGTGGGATTTCAGGACCAGTTCCATTTAATCTACCTTCTGTACCAAATGGTTTAACATTTCTTAAAGTAACAGTGGCTTCTTCACCATTAACATCTTCCAATACACCAACATAACTTGATTTGTTAGTAAACTCAAATCAAATGCTCAGGTATAAATTTAAGACATACCGAATCCCTTTACTAGAGATCAATGAGATGCTTTTCCCAATATATTGTGACATATTTGTTCTTGATATTTGTTAATTTTGTTTTCATATTAACGCCAAAAAGACAAGTTTTGAAATTTAATTACTTTGGAAATATTGGTGGGAGTCGGTATACGACACATTTTGGGAAATACAATTAAAATATTCAAAATTAATGAAATTAACAAACAAAAACAACAACTATTATCAACATCAATTTAACACAAAGATGACTTCATTGACTCCGTTCCAAGCTACTGATTTATTTCAATTGAATTCAATCAATTTAGATACTTTAACAGAAAATTTCAACATTGGATTTTATTTTGAATATTTAACTAAATGGCCATCTTTATTTTTCAAAAGTGAAGAAATAGGATCATATAATGGTGTCAATAATACACAATTATCAGGATATATGATGGGTAAAACAGAAGGTAATAATGATCTATGGCATACACATATAACAGCAGTAACGATAAACCATTATTATAGAAGAATTGGATTAGCAAGTTATTTATGTTCAAATTTAGAATATATTACAGATTCAACACCTCATGAAACTAATTTTATTGATTTATTTGTTAAGGCAAATAATCATTTGGCTATGAATTTATATGAAAAATTAGGGTATAGTGTATTTAGAAGAGTTGTTGGATATTATGGTGGTGAATATGAATATCCATCAGATACAAGTTCTATAAATGATAATAAAGATGCATTTGATATGAGGAAAGCTATGAGAAGAGATGAAGGTAAAAGTATTAGATCAGATGGAAGAGAACATAGGGTATTACCACATGAAGTGACTTTTTAATGAATGTGTTTGTTTATTGAAATGATTGTAGAAGATGACTTATCACTTTGATCAATAAACAAATAGAAAAGATAAATTCAAAGGAAATCAACTAATTTATATAATTTTAAAATATTAAATTATGAATTTATGATCCTCGGATAAAACGAGTATGCATCGGTCCGAACCAAAATTATTGGAGATTCATAATTTACTAAAACAATAAACAACGAGTGAGAAATTGTAATTGGAAATCGGTAATTTGAATATGTTTTGTGTATTAATTTGAAAGGTTTATAAATATTGGTGATTATCCTGGAATTGAATTAGTTCTTGTCTTTATCATATTACTATTCCATTACACTTCACTTCCATGTCAAATATTGAATCCGCAATCTATGGAGCTTCTGCTTCAATCATTGCAAATACAATAGTTTATCCATTAGATCTTGTTAAAACTGTTATTCAAACTCAATTAGAATTAACTAAAGATCCAAATGATTCTATTTTGAAAGAACGTTATAAAAACTCATTGGATGCTTTAATTAAAATTTATCAAAAAAGAGGAATTTCAGGTCTTTATAGAGGTTTATCATCTTCTTTATTAGGTACTGCAGTTCAAAGTTTTACTTATTTTTATTGGTATTCATTCGTACGTAAATTATGGTTAAAATTCAAGACTCTAAAGAAATTAAATAAATTAAATTCAACACCTGAAGAATTATTATTAGGTATAGTTGCAGCTGCTTTAGGTCAATTATTTACATCTCCAATAAGTGTTATATCAACAAGACAACAAGTTTCACCTGATAAAAATCCAACTGTCTTGGAAACTTCAAAAAACATTTTGAAAGAAGATGGTATAACTGGTTTTTGGAGAGGTTTAAAAGTTAGTCTTGTATTAACTATAAATCCTTCAATCACATATGCATCATTTGAAAGAATTAAAACTATTTGTTTCCCTCAAAAATCAATTTTATCACCACATGAATCATTTTTATTAGGTGTATTATCTAAAATGTTGGCAACTGTTATAACTCAACCTTTAATTATTTCCAAGGCAATGTTACAAAAAAATGATGATAAAAATGATGAAAATTTAAAAAATTTCCAAAATATTTTAAAATATTTGATTAAAAATGAAGGTTTTAAATCTTTATGGAAAGGTATTTTACCTCAATTGACTAAAGGTGTTCTTGTACAAGGGTTTATCTTTATGTTTAAAGATCAATTGAATGTATTGTTTAAAGTTATATTCACATTGATTAAAGTTCGTAAACAATCAATTGTTTTAAGTAAATAATAATAACACAAGTATTTATATATATATATATAATTTTATGATGATGACCAATAATTTAACTTTTTATCAATACCAGATGTAAACAACACTTCTTTATCATTTTCTAAAACATTTATAAATGATTTAATACGATTCCCATTATGACCTTTTGATAAATTTAATAAAATTTCACCATTATGTAAATTTAATAATTTTAAACAACCATCATCACTACCAATCCAAATATTTGATTTGGAATTTAATTTCCAATTTATTAAACTTTGAGAAAATTTATCTTGTGGTGCTAGCGAGTTATAATTTCCTAATATTTGACCTCTTGTTATTGGTACAGAAGATAATTGTTGTTCTAATGATTGATTAAGATCAATATTTCCTAATTCCAATTCTGGGATTTTGGTAATGATTATTCTCATATATGGAATATGTGAAGTTCCAATTGCAATCAAAGTATCATTAGTTATAATATCATTAGATAAACTTATTGACATTGGTGTAAATCCATGAGATGAAAATTCAGCATCATTTAAAGAAATTCTTAAAATTTCCCATAATCGATCATTTTTATATGTAAATGTAAATAATTGAGTTGAATCTAATCTTGTTATGAAAATTATTGGGTTTTGATCTTTAGTACCAATTGCTAATGTTGTTGGATTTGATAATAATTTAAATTGTGATTTTAAAATTATTTCATCATTATTAATTATAGAAGCATTTAAGAATCCATCCCAACCAATAGAAAAAATATATAATTCATCTTGATTATTTGGATTTTTCCATATTTTGATATCAGTTATTAATCTTCTATGTAATTGAACTTCATTAATCAATATTGGTTCGTCAACCAATGATTCTAATTTAAATAATTTTGCCTTACCATCCATACCACATGATATAAATTTATTTGAATTATTTATTGGATATGCACATTTCCCAACACTTGGATGTAATCCAAAAAATTTGAAAAGAATTTTTGAATTTGAAATATCCCAAATGATTGTACTTTTATCATTTGAAGTTATTATTAATACATTATATTTTTCAGATTGAATAATTAATTCACCTTGAGATATATGAATAACTAATGCTTTAAAATCTGTTAATTCTTTTGGATTAATTGAATGAACATCATCATCTAGACTTAATTTTGAAAATAAATTTGCATTTTCCACTAAATCATTAACTTTTTTCTGTGGTGTTATTTCATGATGTTCTATAAATTTAATCTTATCTTGTACAATTGTTTCTAAAGTTTCATAATTGACATCTTGATGAGTAAAACCTGCTTCATTTTCAAATTGTTTAAGTGTTGATGTTAATCCGTGTCTCTTGAGATAGTCTGCAATGAGTAGTTCTGTAGTAGACATTTCTTGCTGGTAACAAGTGAATACCTTATTATCAATTGATCAAACCATATGTTTATACCATTGAAAATCAAAACGATCAACAGAGCCCTGATGGAACTCTCGTTCAGATCACATGTCTTAGCTCTAGGGCACCTAACCCTTTATCACACCAGCACACCACTTGATCAAAAATACCCACAGTCACATTTATCCCCTTTAATAACCCACACACCCAAACACCATACGTCCCCCTCCCAAATTCCCAGCAACAGCGAATTTTTAAACAGCGCGCACCGCGAAACAAAACATGGCCTGTTGCTGACGTAATCCCCAGTAATATAGTGGAAAAATTCTTAGTTGTGTGTACCTTCGCGAAATCCTGACTTCCCACAATCCTCAACATAAAAATCTTTTTTCAATCTTTAACTTTAAACAAACCAACTGTTATATTAAAGAAGACAACACAAATCATATCAACATGGGTAAAGGTAAACCAAGAGGATTGAACTCCGCTAGAAAATTACGTGTCCACAGAAGAAACAAGTAAGTCTTTATCATAATATAGTCTATGTTGTTTTTTTGAATAGGGAGTGGGAAGTGACTTTTATAATTGGTGAAATTTTCAATGAATATTTAAAGCAATATATCTAAAGATTATATGAAATATCAAAGAATTATCAAGTATTATCATTACAATTAATCACAATGAGTTTTACAATTTTATGAAATGATCAAATTTCAAATCGAAGTTTTCAATTCAAGACATTTCTTAATTTTCACCATAATAACATGAAAAAAACATCAAGATACAAGAAAACAGATCCCCTATTCAAACAATATTGAATCCATTTTTATGATCATATATACTAACTACTTATTATAGCCGTTGGGCTGAACAAAAATATAAATCCAGATTATTGGGTACCGCTTTCAAATCATCTCCATTCGGTGGTTCATCTCACGCTAAAGGTATTGTTTTAGAAAAAATTGGTATTGAATCAAAACAACCAAACTCTGCTATCAGAAAATGTGTTCGTGTTCAATTAATTAAAAACGGTAAAAGAGTTACTGCTTTCGTTCCAAACGATGGTTGTTTAAACTATGTTGATGAAAATGATGAAGTTTTATTAGCTGGTTTTGGTAGAAAAGGTAAAGCTAAGGGTGATATTCCAGGTGTTAGATTCAAAGTTGTTAAAGTTTCTGGTGTTTCATTATTAGCTTTATGGAAAGAAAAGAAAGAAAAACCAAGATCATAGATTTATTGGATTTTATCTTTTAATGTTATATTATATATTTTCCTTTCTGCACAGTAAAATAATGTATATTTTTTGAAATTGAGGTATGCACATGAGTTAATTAGAATTATAATGTAGTAATAAGTAAGAGTAATTTGAGCGAATGACATATTTTCAAGTTTTAGTTGTTCTACGCTCACACATATGACTACTATTTTCTGAAAATCCATTTCATTTCAATTCTATTATACAACATAAAAACTTTTCTTTCATTCAATTCATAGTTTTTCTTTATCAATACTAACACCACTTTTCTTACCACCAACTTTACCTTTTCTACCAGTTAATCTTTGATTAATTCTCTTGAATTGATCATCTCTATTTAATGTAGTACCAACACCAGCTTGTTGAATTGCTTGAGCTCCACTACGATCCAATCTTGATTTTGGTGCATATCTATAATCTGAAACTGTTGGTACTGGTGCTGCTGCTCTACCTCTTCTTGCAGCTTGTTGTTCATATATAGATTTTTCACTTTCTTTAATATGAACTTTATCTGCACTATGTTTTAATTTTTTACGATGTCTTTGAGCATCATAATCAATTGAATGGAATTGTTTATCACGATAATTATCTGATGCACCAATAATTGGTCTTGTCCAATCTGAAATTAATTTATCTGCAACTCTTTTAATTTTTGGTTCAACTCTTTTAGATTTTTGATAAAATAATAAAACTTTACCAATACCTGATTCTCTTAAATGATTTGTACTAATTGGTAATTTTAATAATGCAGCAAATAAAGTCTTCTGAATTTCATATGAAGGTAATGAAGCATCAGGTAAAGGTTCTAACCATTGTCTAACTTCAGCTAAAAGATTATTATCCAATATAACTTCAGCTAAATTTGCTTTTGATAAAATATCTGTAACTTTTGGTAATAATTGAATTTTATTTATTGCAATACCTTGATTATTTTCATTCAATTCAACATCTTTCTTAGCAGCTTCATCCATTTGATTCTTCAAGATTTGAATCAATTCATCTTCATCATTTGTTAAATCTTCTTCACCTTTTCTTCTTTTCATTTTTGGTTTTTTCAAAGCTCTATCTAATTTTGCTTCTAATTCTTGACGTCTTTTAGTTGCTGCATCAACTTCTCTAAAATCAACAGGACGTTGATCTTCATCATAATCATCGTTATATTGGAAACTTCTTGAATCATCTAATTGATTTTGTGATTGTGATTGACCACCAGGAGTTGTACTTGTTTCTCTTGATCCTGATTGAGGAGCATTTGAACGTTTACGAGCTTTCAAACTACTTAAATCTTGATAATCAACTTCATTTGTATCTTGTTCCGGTATTTCTTCTTCACCTTCTTCACCTTCTCTGTCTTCATGCTCGATATTGGTCTCTTCAGGGGTTTCTTGAGGTTCTTGATCAACTTGATTTCCTTCTTTTGGATATTCATCTTCATCATCTTCATTCAACACACTAGCATCAACATTATCCTGGACATCATGTGTGGTTTCTTGCGCTGCAGCAGCATTTCTCTCTTCGTCAGTCATTTTCCAATGGACAGTCTATGGCAAATGATAACAAGTCAACAACCTAGAACTACTCAAAAGTATCAAAAGTTGTCTTGATTTGAGTTGTTTTATATTTACTACTTTCACTTTAATTCGCGCTCATTATCGATTCCACAGAGAAGAAAAGTCGTTCGCGATTTTTACCCGTTTTCTTGTTTTTTCATCGAAATCTTTCAATATTATAAGCATTTCAAAACTATTATTCAACAAATCAAAGCCATCAACTTTAGATCAATAACTTCAAAACACAAATAAACACTATAGACACAATGTACGGTGGAGGTCAACCATTAAGTGAAGAAGAAAAAAAAGCTCATCAAGCTCAAACAAACACTGTTGTTGCCACTTCAGTTTATATCGCTGCTGCATTATGGGTTACTCCAATCTTGATCAATTTTGTTCATAAACAATTCAAATAAGTTTGATGATCTCATGATGGTGGTGATGATTGCTGGTTATTGATTACATTTTTCATTGCAATAAGCATTTTCAATCAACGTTACTTTCGGCTTTTATACAAATCAAGACAAATCATTTACATATAAATTTAAATTGCTATTGTGAAAATCAGGAATTTTATTGTATATATCAAATCTATTCTATGCTAATGACTATTTTATGAATGCTTGATGCTAATTGATATTCTGTAAAATAAATGTTCTTAACCATGGTTCTACTCTAAAACTTGGAAATTCAATTAAATCTGATTTGAAAAATTCACTTCTTTTAATAATACCTTGTCTTATTGATTCATGATGTTTTATAAAATTCATCATTTGTGAATTAATTTCATATTGTTGAAATGAATGTTTCCAAATTCTTTGGAATTTATCAAATATATAAGTTTTATATTCAAATTGATAAAGACTTTTCCTTTTATATTCTCTTAATAGTAAATCTTGAATTTGATTTGGTACATAACCAATTGATCCTTCAAAATTTGTTGGTATCAATGGATTCAATTCATCAATCTTATATATATGATAATCTTTACAAAAAACTAAATCTTGATTTTCAGAACTAACGTTGAAATCTAATTCAATTTCTTCAATCGCTTTTTCAATTTGTGTCATTGTTGAATAATCAAAATTTGAATTGAATACTTTATACATTTCAATTAACCCATCTTTATCATTATCAAAGTTTTCAAGTTTAATTTGATCAATACTTAACGTAGTTATATCAATATAAAGTCCACTTTCAACGTCAATAAATCTTGCGTCAATTTTATTATCTGATTCTTTGTTACGAACTCCATACCATGGATTTATATCAATAATATATTTTCCTAAATTTATTTCATCATTATAATCAATAACCATACTTTGATTACATTGTAACAATTTTTCAAATGATTTAGCTGTAATTTGAACATCTAAATCATCATCCCATGGCAGCATTAATCCATTGAAATAGTATCCTAATAATGAACCATGAGCAATCCATGTATTCAATTTCAATTGATTTGTAAAACTAAACCATGATCTAATTATTCTATGAAGTATTGAAATTCTATCAATTGATGACAACCTACCTTTATAAAACCGAAGATCATAATGTGCTAGGTTAGGCTCTTGTAATAATGAAGCCTCTTTGAAATATCTAAATTTTGTGGAATTTCCAGTTAAAGGTGGTGATAACTTGAATTTAAAATCTGTTGAATTCAAGTAATGATAATCATATTCTATTTCCAATTGTTCTTCATTTGCAAAGAAACCACTAATTGTATTAGAAATTGATACATTTTCATCATCTAATCTCGGTAATTGATCTTCTATACCTTCTTTTGTTGAGAATTGATGAATCTGCTTATGCAATAATACAATTTGTTCAATATTAAACTTATCCATATAATAAATCCCCAATCCAGTCTTATTGCCACGATCTATAACATCATTCCAATCAAATGGTATTGGTTCACTAGATTCCTGGAGGTAATTTAATATTTCAAGCCCAAATCTTCTCGGGTCATAACCTGGTTGAAGTTGATCCAATTTAGCTTTAACCGTTATTGGTAAATCTTGATATGGAGTTGTAATGACTTCTGGATTTGTTTCATTTTGTGGGTATTGCCAATATATGGCAATCACCAATGACGATATGCAAAAGAACAATAGCTTATTGAACATCTCATATTCTTTGATTCTGTAGTTTTTCGTTGTGTTTTTGTTGATGTTTTCAAATACGTATCAGAATCTAATTTTCAAAACAAAAATTAAATAAATATAAGATCACCAAACCGTTAGATCACATAAATCATCACCAAAACTCAAGAACTTCAACCATCACTCAAATCTACAGCTCTTCATCTCCAATGTCCACGCGGATCATCAAACCAAGCATTGCAGCTTTTATCAATTTTGTCAAACCTTTGAACTCTCAACAAGAAGCCCGTTACATATATAACCAATTCTCTAGACTAGGTAAAGTAACTTGGTGGCATGATCATACAAGTCCCGCGGGGTTCAGACATCATGGAGCTAGATCAATGGTGATATATACACTGGATGATTTAAAAGGTCTAGAGACAATGGCATTGGAAAAGGAGAATTTAATTGATGATTTGAATAGTATAGTTGGTATACCATTATTGAAAGATTATGAATCTTTACAAAATGGTGAAATTGATAAAATTGATCCAGTTTATCAATTTGATGATAAATCAATGTCTAAAAATCAAAGAGCAAATGAAATCAAATTGAAAAAATTTAAACCTTTACCCACTGATGTTGAAGTTAGTTCAGCTACTAGAGATGAGCCATTTTTTGTGGCAAATATGTTAACTACTGAAGGTTATATGAGTGAATATGTTCAAATGAAGGCAGCTAATTCAATACCTTTGAGAGTCAGGGTAGATCTGGTTGACTAATATGTTGTCATTTTTGACATATTATAGAAACTTATTTATTAATGAAAATGACATGAATTATCTTATTTATACATTAAATTATGACATTTGTAAATATTATACACTTTCAAGATTGTTCATCTAATCTATTTCAACAATTTTGAAACAATTTCTTCATCATTTTCAATTATTTCTGATAAATATTTAATACCATTTTGTTGTTGTTGTAAAACTTGAGCAATTTTTAAAATTTGATTTTGTTTTTGTTCACTATCATTAATATCATCAACATTATTTGAATCTAATTTTTGAATTCCTAAAGTATTGTCTAATTGATCATTCAAACTCTTAGCTTTTTCTTTTAACACAGCTAATCTTGCCCATAGTTCATTACTTTTACCTAATCCTGAAGGATCTTGAGATTTATTTAATAATTCTTGGAAATTTTGAATTAATTTTTCTTCATTTGGTGATAATTGATAACCTTTTGATTTTAAGACTGCTAATGCAGAAACTAATCTTAAAATTCTTTTAGATATTCTTGTATGTCTTGCCTTTGCTGATATGATTCTTGATGCGGTATCTAAATCATGTTTATCACTCAACATTTTATTTTTTTCACTAATTTGTTGTAATATAACTCTTGCTTGTGCAACATGATTTATTTGAGTTTGAGATCTTTTTTGTAAATCTTCAAAACCAACAGCTCTAACTGGTATAGAATTAGTACTTGGTCTATTAGCATAAGCTTTATCCCATTCATCATTTTCATTAACTGGTTTTGTATATAATGCAGATTGATTTTCTGGAACTGCGTTGTAAAAAAAAGTTTGTAAACTTGCTTGCTGTGATGTTGGATTCCATGAATTTTTAATTTTGGTTAATTGTTCTTGGATATTTGCGGTATAATTTGAATTGATTTGTGAGTCTTGTTGAGTATTTGATGTAAATGATAATGGTTGTTGTTGTTGAGGTAATGTTGTTTGATTAGCTGTAGAAGGTTGGGACCAAGCGAATGATGGTTGTGATGATTGAGCCGGTTGTTGTTGTGTTTGTTGTTGTTGATTGTTATTTCCAAATAATCCACCACTTGGTTGTTGTTGTTGTTGATTATTACTTCCAAACAATCCACCACTTGATTGTTGTTGTTGTGTATTGTTATTGTTGTTACCAAATAGACCACCCCCTGTAGAAGGTTGAGCTGTAGTATTATTGGATCCAAATAATCCACCTCCTGAAGATGGAGGTGTTGTAGTTGCTGGTTTAGAACCAAATAATCCACCACCTGTTGATGGTTGAGCTGTGGTATTGTTATTAGACCCAAAAAGACCACCACCAGTTGTTCCAGCAGGTTGTGAAGTTGTATTATTATTTGATCCAAACAGACCACCACCTGTAGATCCTGTGTTTGTTGTACTTGAGCCCCCAAACAATCCCCCTCCAGTAGCTGGCTTAGGAGCTGTTGAGTTGTTAGCACCAGCTCCAAATGAAAACCCACCACCGGTTGTTGAAGTACCACTTGTAGCATTGTTATTGTTATTCGATCCAAAGCTGAACCCAGATTTTGAACCACCTGTAGAGCCTGCACTGGCACCGCTGTTGCTAGCACCTCCAAAAGAGAAACCACCTGATCCTGAGCCAAACATTTCTCCTATAATGTGTCAATTGAACCAGTCAACCAGTTGTTTGAAGCTGTTGATCTGCTCAATTCCATACAATTTTAACGTGAAGTTGATTTTCAAATTATCAAAAAAAAAACATCAGGATCGTTGACTTCCTAATTAGGAATCTATAGAGTTTCCGGGTTTGGTATTGTAATTTTCTTCACCGCGCTTCTTGTTTTTATGGGGAATTGACTCTCAAAGAAGAACTTCACCAGTAATCAATGAAACAAAGAGCTGAAAGAGAACTAAAAGAGAACATTCATATCCAAAATGTCTGAACAAGAACCTTCATTGAACTATAAGCTCTCCGTGGACCCTACTCCTATGCCTAAGGACATTCCTCAGGTGGATGAAGTTGGTGCTACTTCAGGTCCATTGTATTCTGCTGCTTATTTTATTGGAGCTAGATGTAAGCCTTATAATGATGATTTTATCTTGTGTAAAGAAGAAGCTCAAGGTAAGGGTGAAATTGATTGCTTGAAGGAAGGTAGAAGAGTGACAAGATGTGCATCATCTGTGATCAAAGATATCAATGCGCATTGTGCTGAAAGTTTTAAATTACATTATACATGTATGAATGAACACAATATGGAGTATTTTGAATGCAGAAAAGCTGAAACATTATTGAGAAAATGTGTATTTGATAATTTGAAATTAGATAAACATATCCCTGATGCTGAAGGTGAACAAGTTCATTTGAAGAAAAATCCAATGTATAAACCAATTTACACATATATGCCTCAAGAACTTGCTTATGAAAAGGCTGAAAAGGAAGGGAAAATTTGAGATCATTGTTATTTACTGCGATTTTAAAAGTGCCACTTAGTACTATTAATTAGTGCGTTTATTTATTAACTTATTTATTTTATTTATTCATTATTTATTCATGTTTTGGTCTACTATATCAAACCAAAATGCCAATATTATTTATTATAAATACACAAATTATTATACTTTAACTCACAATTCTTCTTCTGCTGCCATTCTTTGTTCTCGAAGTTGTGTAATACGTTTTGCTAGAGATACAAGTCCCATTCTTTCTGCAATCTTATTACATGCAGCTAACCCATGATCTTGTTTAATTTCTTTAGATAAACGGAATGCTTTACCATTCTTACCTTCTTGACATGCAAACCCAAAGAGTTGTAAAACAGCTCTGTCATGACTAATTGCATAATCAGTCAATCTTTGATTATCATCTTCATAAATTTCACCATCATTAGTTAAAGTTTCACCTAATAATTCCCCCATTGTTCTGGATCTCAAGAATAACTCCTCGGCCTTATTCTCTGCATTATCATCATCCGATACTCTAGTAGCATGGATTGGTAATTTAATCTCTAGTTCTGATGGTAATGGTAATGGATATGTTGGATATTGTGTACCTCTAACTAAAATACAATTTAAATTATCACCGTGTAAACCCAATGGCCAGACATTTAAATCACCAACACCACCAGCTTCTTTAATTGTTTCATTAGAGTCCATAATTGGAATCCAAGTTGCTTGTAACGGAGTACGCCACTTTGCCAATAATAAAACAACACCATCATTTCCTGTTATAACTGGATCACCATAAGAATTGAAAAATATACCTTTTAATAAATCAGAATCATTTTGTAAATCCAAAGGTAATGTTAAATCTCTTTGTAAATATTGACCATCAAGATTTTGTAAGTTATAAATTAATTGATTATTATTTGCAAGTGAAATTGTGAACATATAATTTGTATTAACTGCAGATGCTAAGATTGGTGCAGATTTTTGTAATCCAACTGATAATCCAAATAAGGAATAACTTCTAATGTATCCGAATGATGTACAAACTATAATTATAGATTCACTTAATGATACAGATGTTATAATTTCACCTTTACTAGTTGGAATTAATTTTTCCCATGAATCATTAGCATTTTCATGTGGTCTGAATAAGATTCTTGATGAATTCGAATCTGACCCAGAGTTACCTAATAAAATCCCATCTGGATGTAAAGAAGCTAAATCATAACCGTATAAATCATCAAAATGATATTCTCTATGAATTGAAGCATCGAAAAACGAAACTGTTATTGATGAATGTGAATCTTGTTTGACTGTCGACACATAACCAATCGAATTGATTGTTAAATATCTTCTATCTGAAATATATGGTGTACAACCTTGTGAATATGGTTTAATTCTATACTTTTTAGCACCAATAAATGATGAGGGTTTTGATCTTTTTCTTTGTGGTTCCACACTTTGACGATCTTCGTAATCTGGTTTTCTAGCCGTTGGAATAATATAACCATTCCCATCATCATCAACAACAAATCCATCATCATCGATGAATCCATCATCATCAAAGTCTCTTCCTTGAATGCCATTTCTATCATCATTTTCTTCTTCGTTGTCAGTTAATGCTGTTTGAGAGTTGATATCATCTGCACCCTCTTCTTCATTTTCACTTTCGTTATCTGATAAATCCAATTCAGCTTCTATGTCTGCTATTGCTGAAGATGGTGGTCTTAATGTCTTTTTAGTATTCTGAGTAGATTTTACCTTAATAACACTTTGGAAAATAAAAATGTCACCATTGTCTGAACCAACTGCTAAATTATATGAGTTATCACTTTCATTTTTACCCCATGATAAGTTGTTGATTTTGTTTTCTAATTTTTCCTCTAAAACAGGTTCTCTTGTTTCGGCATCCCATATAATTAAATGATTACCAATATCACCAGATGCTAAGAATTCACCACCTGGGGACCATTTCAAATCTGAAAGATTTTTGGTATGAGATCTTGGAAATGAATAAGATTCTTTGAAATCACTGGATCTTGAAAAGACTTTGATTTCTTTTGTACTTGATGGAACTGCAAAATGATCACCGTCTGGGTTCCATTCCAGTCTTGCTGTAATGATATTATCTTCAGCTTCTTCTTCTTCGTCATCGTCGTCATTATCTTGATATATCAATTTGGGTATTTCTTCTTTAATTGTGGCAATAAACTTTGGCTCTTCTGAAGTTAATGAATAAATCTGAATTTCACCATTTGATAATGATAATGCAATTGCATCTATATTTGGATTATAAGAAACATCATGAACTTGATCTGGTGTTTTCAATTTGATAACACGTGAACTATTGGATAAGTCAGCTATTTGAACTTCAACATCATCACCTGCAGCTGCAATCATAGAACCTTTATGTGTAAAGACAATACCTCTAACAGGTAAAGAGCTTCTAATCACTTTACCAACTGTCTTATTTTCATCAAGGGAATAAGTTTCAACTTCACCAATCTTTGAAGAGACAGCAGCTTTGTCATTTCCACACACTTGTAAATCTGTGATCTCATCCAAAATATCCCAAGTACTTGGTTCTGATTCATCATCTCCAACTTTATAGTTTCTGATTAAACCATTTGAGCCTGCAACAATAAGATTCTTCCCGTTAGCTGTATAAGCAACATATGTGATCCCTCCTGAAGAGTAAACATTTCTCACTTCTGGATCCACCATCTTTACCTGGATATCTTAGCTCTTTACTATGAGTATTAAAGATCAAATGTCAAAACAACGCGTCAGTGAACTTTTAATTTATTCGCTTTTGGCGCGTATGATATTTCTTGGTTCTGGCCACTATTATTTTCAGTTCAAAGAATCTCGAAACTTTACAAAAGTAATATTTGTCACTTTGAAAGTACAAAGAACCATTACTTCCAAGTGTTTGAAAGCTTTTTTTGAATTTGTGAAATATGGCTACTTTTGAAGAGGAGCTTGGAATTGAGGATGAGCAGTTTCCATTTCCAAAAAGAATTACCAGAGAAACATTCCAAAACGATTTACAGATTGATCCTTCCAATCCAGCACAATCAATACTAAGAATCAATGATGTCAAGTTTAATGTGGATCAATTCTTGTATGAGCATTATAGATTTACTTCATTAGAAGACTTACAGTCGGAACTGAACTCTTTGCTGAAAGATCTTGATCAAGAGCTATTCAATTTAGTTAATAACGATTATTTTGATTTTATAAATCTTGGAAAATCATTAGAAGGTGGTGAAAATTTAGTGGATAAATTAAGAGTAGATGTGACCAAATATCAGAAGAAATTGGCTGATGAGAACAATAGACTTGATGAATCAAAATCTTACGTTGAATCTTCTGTGGATAACTTGAAAAAATTACAAGAATTGAAGGTGAGTATATAACCCAATATTGAATAGGGACTTCAAGAATTTCTGAAATTAACATTCGATAGAAACATGCTAAACACATGCTGCTTTTAGAGGACTTCATTAATAAATTTGAACTTTTGCTAAACGAAAACAAGGACTTGTACGTATACCAAGTTAACAATTTCCAAGACGCTTTTTACTAACAACAATTAACCAGTATTCAAATTGAAGTTTTGAAACAGTTAACATCATTATATCTCACAATTCACCAATTATTCACTTCACTCCCCAGCTATCAGTTTGTTGCTAACAAATCAGAAAAAGTTAATGTCCTGAGATATGAGTTCAAAGGTGTTTTAGATGAATTCTTAAGAAACATACGGCCTGAGACAAGCTCCTACAAGGATGTTGCTGAGATCTTGGGTATATACTCTATTATAGGAGATGAAGCTGATGCTGTAAAAGTTCTCAGAGAAAATAGTACTAAGACATAAGTACGGAAGATCTAGATCATGATAAAATGTCAAGAGGTACATTCATTTTCTGTATATTTCCCAATGAAAAAATTAGATTGGACCCCATTTATGTTCGTTTGAGCAAATCACGTAATGTGTGTACCTTTAAAACTAAATATTATATCGTCAACCGACATTGAAAACTTCCCTGAAGCATCGTAGAACTCAATTAACTCCATCAACTTCATCAACTTCATCACCATTTTTGGTTCCCGGCACATTTCTACTCGCGGGTAACCGCATCAATGTGCTGACATAAGCGATGATATTTTATTTCAAAAAAAATTTATAGTGTATAAGCTCAGAAGTGCATGAAATATAAATTAGTGATTTACTTGATTTAAAGAACTAAAGACTTTCATAATCAAACAATCATGGCTGGTGATCCATTCTTATCCGATCCAAAGTCGAGAAAAAAGAGAACAAGAAACAATAGAAATACATCTACTACAACTAAATCTAATAAGAAATCAAAACCTACAGCTGAAGAACTTGCTGATGAAGAAATCTCTGGTATAAGTGATAGTGATGATGAACAAGGAAATGTTTCATATGACGACGCTAAGGAAAATCCAGAAGATGATAGTGAAGATGTGGATAGTGAAGAAGAATTTGGTCAAGAAAGTGCAGCAGATAAACGTCGTCGTTTAGCTAAACAATATCTTGATAACTTAAAACAGGAAACTGAAGATTATGAATTTGATGCGCAAGATTTAGATAATGATATTATTGCTAAAAGATTGAGAGAAGATGTTGCTGAAACCAAAGGTCATGTCTACAGATTCATCGCCGATAATTTGTTACTTTCTGATATCAAACCAACAATAACAAGAGTGGGATCAAAAGCTTTAACTGGTCTTTCAGTACGATTCCCAAACGCATACACAGTTTCTAAAGATATGGAGCTAATTAAATGGGATATCAAAGATTTCAAAAGAAAACCACAAAGAGTTAAACATACAAGAGGTGGTAAAAGATTTACAGAAATTTCAAATGAACCAAAAAACAATGGACACTGTGATGAAATTTTAACAGTAGCAGCAAGTCCTGATGGGAAGTATGTCGTTACAGGTGGTAGAGATAAAAGATTAATGGTTTGGAGTACAGAATCATTAGCTCCATTAAGAGCTTTAGATACCCGTGATCGTCGTGGTGAAGTTTTAGGTTTAACTTTCCGTAGAGGATCTGATCAATTATATGCTTCATGTGCTGATTTAAAAGTCAGAAGTTATAGTATCAATCAATTTGCTCAACTAGAAATCTTATATGGTCATCAAGATCATGTTGTTGATATTTCAGCATTGGGACAAGAACGTTGTGTTACTGTTGGTTCTAGAGATCGTACAGCAATGTTATGGAAAATTGCAGATGAAACCAGATTAACATTTAGAGGTGGTGAATTTGAAAAAAAGAAGAAAAAGAAGAAGGATGGTGAAGATGATTTAATGGATATAGACGATGAAAAATTTTACTCAGAAGGTAGTATAGATTGTGTTTCTATGATTGATGATTCACATTTTGTTACAGGCTCTGATAATGGTAGTATATCATTGTGGTCATTAGCTAAAAAGAAGCCATTACATATACAGCATTTAGCTCATGGAGTCTTACCAGAGTTTACATCAGAACAAGCATCAGCTGAAAGTGATGCTCAAAAAAGAGATTTACAAATACCTGAAGCACAACCATACTGGATCACATCAATTCATGCAATCCCATATTCTAATGTCTTCATATCGGGTTCATGGAATGGTAAATTGAAAGTATGGAAATTAGATGAAAAATTAAGATCATTTTCTTTATTAGGTGAATTGCCAAATGCCCGTGGGGTTGTTACAAGAATTGATGTTGCAGAATATGGTAATAACAATCAAGAAAGCTTTAGAGTCATTGCAGCATTATCAAAAGAGCATAGATTAGGTCGCTGGATAGATGCCGGATCTGGAGCTCGTAATAGTATATATTCTGTTGTTATTGATCAACAGATTCTTAAAAATTGAAATTAAAATCAAAAAATAAAGCATGGAAGTGAAAACATTCCAAATTAGTGTACAATAAAACATAATAGATTAAAATTTTGCATCTTTTAATGGTTGATTTCCGTAACATAATATTCAATAATGAATTACGCCTAATCATTTAAGGATAAAATTAAGTTGTCCATTAAAAACTAAACATATAAAAAGCACAAGTCATTAAAAAAATCAATAAACACCTGGTAAAAATAAATATAAAAATACTCGACACAAATAACAGTTGACCATCATTAAAATGTAAAGACTCTTAACACAAAAAAATGATATAAATAAATCAATATAATAACTATAATTGGGTGGAAACAATCTTCAGCCAGTAGAACACGAATTAAAAAGCAGTAGAATGAACAGCATCTGAAATATTTGACCCTGAAACAAAAAAGAAGAAATAATATAAGCATTTGATATCCATGTAATATGACACATGATATAACACAAAATAACACTCAGGAGTTCATAAGTGAACAATAAAAAATAATAATATCATCAATTAAAAAAAAGAAAGACACCACAAGAATACTTTGGGAAAAAATTAGCTGTGATTAATTAATAAAAAATTGTTGATTAAAAAAAAAATAGTGGTATTATCTGTAAGAATAGATAAATTAATATCTCTCTTTAATTTCATTAGATTAATGAACCTAAGATCAAACCCATCATACCGACAGTGAAAGCAGCTGGAACAGCTTGTTGAGCACCTAAAGCTTTAGAAGATGAAGATGTACCGTTCAAAGCAGTTGAGCTAGCAGAAACAGCTGAAGTTGATGAATTTGATGAATCTGAAGCAACGGCAATTAAACCATTAGCAGCTGATAATGATGGTTTAGATGATGATGAAGATGATAATGGAGCTGATGAGGATTCTGATGAGGATTCTGATGTTTGAGCAGCTAAAACTGATGATTCTGAGGCAGCAGCAGCGATTGAGGCAGCAACTTCTGCTGATGATTCTGATGCAATAGAGATTGAGGCAGCAGCTTCTGCTGATGAAGATGCAATAGCTCTATCAATAGCAGCTGATGCAGCTGAAGCTGAAGCTGCTGAAACTGAAGCGATTGAAACATTTGCAACAGAAGCTGATGAAACTGAAGCAATTGAAACGTTAGCAACTGAAGCTGATGAAACTGAAGCAATTGAAACGTTAGCAGCTGAAGCTGAAGAGACTGAAGCAGCTGAAGCAGCTGAGACGGATGAAGCTGAGGAAGCTGAGGCTTCGGCTGCATCTGCTGAAGCTTCTGAAGCACTTGAAACAGCTGATTGAGAAGATTGATAAGCTGCTTGGGCTGAAACTGAAGAAGCTTCATAAGCAGCTTCTGATGATGCTGAGGCAGCGGATTGAGCTGAGTAGAATGAAGCTTGAGATTCTGCTGATGCTTCTGAAGCTTGGGAAGCTGCTAAACCTGAAGCTGAAGCTGCTGAAACACTTGATAATGAAGCAGAGTACTCTGAAGCTGCTGATGCTGAAGCTTCTGATGCTGATTGAACAGATGCAGATGAAGCTGAAGCGTTTGAGTCATCTGATGATGAAGATGATGATGATGATGATGATGATGAGACTTCTCTGTTAACTGGAGAAAGAGAGTCTGAAGAACTGCTGACATCAGTAGTTTGGGTGGTCCAGATTGTTGAGGTATAAGTGGTGGTTGGTTCTGGTGATTGAGCTAAAGCAACAGAAGCTAAAGCTAATGGAATGATAGTATTTTTGAATTGCATCTTAATAGTTTAACTTGATAAATTTTGTAAATTGTAATTGTGGTAGTATAGCTTTGTATGTATTCTTGATCAAAAAATTGAATGAATTCTTTGTTGATTTAAACGAATGTGAAGTAGCTTGAATAGAACACTCTGAACTGATATAAATGAATGACTGGAGTGTGTGTTAAAAGTTATGGTTTGAAATTGTTATATAAATTCGAAAATTTGGTAACGAAATATTAAAAATGTGATGAAAGAGAATTCTCAAAGGTTTTTATTAAGAATTCATCAGAGAATGGATGGCTTTCAAAAATGTGTGGAAACAAGGTTGTTTACATTCGGGAACCCAAACGGGAATTCTGTAAACACAAGTGACTGCTAAATGTTGTTATGGTGATGATATTGCATCTGAGATACATCAACGCGCATCAAAAACTCCCAAAACTTCAGCATTCTCGCTCGAAGGGGTAAAGCGCGCAACCCAAACCAGATAGTTCGTTAACACTGGGTTAATGCTGTACTGAACAGTGAAGTCTGATAGTCATTTTTTAAATAATTAGAAAAGTACATATAAGAAGGTGGCACGAAGATATATCTTAATATGTTTTTTAATTATCTTAAACCTTAATTTTGGTTACTTGTTTTTATTTTATAGAAGTCGTCACTGGTCAGATCTCTCAGATTTTTAGTGCGAAATGTTGTTTGAGGTTGGATCTGATCAATACCCTGTAAATCGAAACTGTAGAGTTCTGGTTTCCCTCAAAATACAAATTGATCACCATAACAACTCTTCATATTCTTATGCATGTTGGAAAACTTTTTTCTTTGTAAGTTGTAACTTCCAAGTTCCTGGCTTTCTGGGTACGTATTACGTCGTATCTTTTATACTCATTGTTTTTGATGGTAAATGGTTTATTCCATAATGGTACAGCTACAATTTAACACGAACTGGGAACTGATTAATATTAGCTACTTTTAGGTTCTGGCATCACTACGACTCCTGATTCCACTCCTGTCTCTTTGTTGTGACTAATGCGCTCGTGTGTCAAGAGAAGAAGAGTTTCAAAGTTTGGAATCTTGGGCTACGGAAATCTTCAAGTTTGGAATTTTCACCAAATTCTTGGGTACTTGTTGGAAAAGACGAAGAGACAAGTTACGGCTAGAGAATCATAGCTTTTGGACAGGACACAGGATTCATCGTACATTCGTGGCCTTGATGCCTTGATACTTGAAAATTGATACTCTTGAAAGTTGACTTCTGAATCTTGGCTCTTTGATCAGATTTTCATGAATTATACTCGAAGTTTCAAATCTATGATTAATTGATCTATATATAATTGAGTTATATGTTCTACGTACTACGAAGTATGTAGCTAAACTTTATACAACTCCATATATTGCATGGTAGAATTTGATAAATTTTTTGGAACCTGAATAATGGCAGCTGAATTGAAAGGCTTTTAAATTTTAATCGTTCATTAATTGGTTGTCCAAAATTTAAGACTATATATAACATCACATTTCCTAGTTTTCAGCTTTCAAGGCATTTCAATTGATTATACTTCAATTGCAAATCCATAAACTTATTTGAACAACTTATTATTCGCTTGAATTTTATGTTTGTCGGATGTCGTGACTCGTGACTCGTAAGATCTGATCACGATATTCAATTGTTGATGTAATTGTTGTTGTGTTCAGTAATTACGGTATAACGCATTTTGTAGCTTTCTAGTTTGATTGCGTTGAATGATAACCGTTGGAGATCTTCATGTACGGGCAAAATAAATTCAAAATTGCGTAAGAAGTTAGAACTCGGTTTCATTGAACTTAGATTAAATTTCAAAAACTAATATCTAAGGTTCTTTTACATTCTACTACTCCTTTATTATTGGACTTTTGCTCTTATAGGCTTATACGTGTGTGACCGTATAACTAGAACTATAATCGAAATGGTAACTTATAATTTGTGTTGTTTCTCATGTCATGATTATACCATCTATTCAAAGATTTTTGATCAGGTTTTAGCATCAACAGATCGATACAATTGAAACCATTTTTAGTTTCAAGCCATCATCCTGTGAAGTATATAAGTGATGGAAGCTTCTTAAAGTGGCCAAATGAGTCATAATATCACATTGGTCTTTATTGGTTCAATGATTTGAAGCGTTCTGGGTCTATCTTTTATGGTATGAATGTAACATCAATATTTTTTCGCTCTCTGAGAACTATTAATTTCCATGGTAGCCTGTAAGCTTTAATGGTGTTTCATTGCTATTCACTTAGCACAATTAATCCTTAATAGCTTCACCTCGAAGATGTAACCAAAATTATCAAAGTCAGCATAAATAAATCGACCAATCTAGAATATCTGAAGCTCGGATTGAAACAATATTTTGAGCCTTCTGAGTATTTCACTCTTTTCTTTGTGTACTAATTGTTAGTTATTTTGAACCTTCAACCAGTTTCTGAATGCAATAATGTGAACAATGGCAGAAATTAAAAAATAATCCAAATAACCTTTTATAATAATGATGATAGAGGTTTCAGTGGTGCTTATGTACCATTCTGGTACTCTAAAATACCCCTTTGAGCTTTGCTGACAGTATTTTATAATGTTAAGGATAAGTATAAAGTCGATCATCTGGGTGCTAGAGCAAAATTTGGTCCTCAGTCTGGATGTTTGAATTTTGGAAGCTAAACTAATTTATCCTTTAAGTTCAGCAAATAATTAGCAGTTCCTTCTCTAAGTTAATGTTGATGTAAATGATTCAATGAATATCCAACATTAATTGATATGAAAAATGACGAGGATAAATGTCGCCGAGAGATGAATTCACTTCTCATAAATTGAGTTATGGAAAATGTTCAGTATTAAGCTTACTCCATGTTTGAGGAGAGCAGTGGTATAGTATAACAAAATGGCATTATGTCGACATTATCTCGTGAGTATAATCAACAAACCAACATTAACATTTTATGGAATCTTTGATTAGCTTTATTGTTGTGGAAAGTATCAGTAGTAATGTATCCAATACATCTGATCCCAATGACTGTGCGTGTGTTAAATTGTTGTAACCTCTAATGGTAGGACTCTAGATAGTAATCTTTTAAAATGAAATATATTGCTGTTTAATCAAGTTGATTTATGAGATAATTTTGATTGATAATTTTGATGATCCCAAATTATGACGTAATCATATTATGATTTTCCAAGTTAATTTCAAATACATATATATCGCTTAAACTTTGTATGGGAATATATGTATATTTTTAGATTATAGTAGTCAGAAGAATTTAAGTAACAATATGGTATTAATTAAAAATGATTTTAAGCAGTTTCAAAATTTGAGTTTTTTGTAATTCAAAGAAAAGATTAATGTCATAAATTTTATTTTTAGTTTAATATTGAAGAAATTCAAAAAACCAAAATTTGAAACATTATAAAATAGCTCAAAAGATATCCCAGACTATAATATAGAACAAAAAGAATAATTAAATAGGGTTTAAATAATATATTGTCATACAAATACTGTGATCTATTGTTATTCCAAGATTGTAAAATTATTATATAATCAAAATCGAAATTATTACATAATATTGTGGAGGTTAAATTTGACGCTTAAACGATCTACTCAATATCTCTTTTTTTTAGACCCAAATATACCTTTGAGAACATATGGTTTTCAAAAGTTATAAAAAACAGACAGTCTCTTCAGTCCTGGTCAAAAGACTTAAGAAAGTATCCTTTAATTAGGGTCTGGTTGTCTTGTTTATAAGTGGTTTCGTAGTACCACTTACGTACTTGTCGCCGTTTTGTTAAGGACAATGCGTTACACAATAGCTGTCGTAAAACGGAAAGATAGGAAGCTGCAAAAAAGAAATTATAAGCAACATTGAGCATTTTCATCATCATAGTCAAGAGTCTAGAGCTGTTAATCTCTGAATCTTGAAGCTGATTGTGAATAAAAGAGAAGAAAACGTGCTTAAAATACCATGATGAACAGTTAGTTATTCATGTCTACTTAAAGTTAAATTATACGACGCCCTTAACCTAACTGAAGTGTTAATGAAGTAACTCGCTTTGTAACTTTATTTTAAGGAGACACTAAAAGCAATCAAGATAATTTAGGGTGACAAGTAACCAGATTTACATTCAAAATGCTTCAAAATGTATATTCTAATTGATGGAAGATCGATTGCAACACCATAGGTAAGAAATTTTACCAAGATTTACTATTGTGCTACTTCTGTATAGCAACTGAATTCTTTGGTTTGGGTTCTTGCGTGAACACTAGGCCGTGATAAAACTACAATGTTATAAGTTACAAAAACTGTTTGGTGGATAATATGTAGCGTTACCAATTTTCAGAACCCTTGGTCTCCGCTTTCAATACTTTAACGATCTATTCTTCTCTTTATAGTTTATAGTTTAGCTCTGATGATCTATAAGGTCTAGCTTGATTTAATTGTCGAAAAGCATTTCTACCAGAAGAAAGTTCTTGTTTGATTCTGTTTCTGAATTATAAAAAAATAACAATGTCCAGACATCTATCATCTTTTGTTAAATGATCTCACCTAATGAGGTTATGAATTTGTTTCCCCAGAGTTAACGTTAAATTAAAGTTTCGCAATTCGCATTTCGCAACCTTTAAAATACACAACGTCCTTCATAACAATAACACTTTAAATATTATATATAGCAAGATTTTCAACGGTTCGTATGGGCCCTGGCTATATTCAAATTTAACCAACCAAAGTAAATTTTGTAAATAATAAATTTATCTGTAAGCTTTACCTTTTAGCAACTTCTAAAATTCTAGGATAACTTACGAGTTTCACAGCTGGAAAGAATTTTGGTACGCAAGTACAAATTTAGTTGATCTTTTCTTGTACGATCAGATTGAGACATTGTCAATTATTCATAGCTAGACAGGAAACTTAGTGGAGAGTTTGGAAATCATATTGGATTTGGATGTTCATATTTCCCTATACACACTTGAGAGTTCTTATCTTTCTAT